GGTAAGCAATCGGCGCCACCCATGGACACCAGTAACAAGGGAAGAGTGACGAGTGCGTTGCCGACCTTTTGAGGATTCAGAGATTGGGGGAGAAGAAGGATTGGGTCATAAGCTCGAACGAAGTAGTACCAAGACCTCGCAACCCGGTGAGTGAGGTTTCCAGGCTTAATCCTTCTCCGCCCCCCCTAATCCTCAAACCTCCTATCGTTAAATCCTTAATAACCAACTAGAAGTCGGCAACGCTCTTGTAGTAACTACTTTGGTATTATTTATTATGTTTTCGGCTTACTCACGTAATAATTTGACGAGATACTCGACTAGTTTCAAGCCATGCTACTTTGGTATTACAAGAGTCCATGGACGACGCCGATAGCTTCCCATCAACGAAGCGGTCAAAGAAGTAATACATTCATAATCCATCGTACAGGTTCATAATTGGTTTACAATAAAAAATAAATACTAATATAATTTAACGACAAAAATACAAAGCGTACACGATCTATTTAGCCAAATGTTAAATGTGAGATATTATTAAATTGTATTGTTAAAAAAACCTGCTTACCTCCAAGGGAAGACAGTCGTTGAGGAGTTTGGTGAAGAAGGTCTTCTGGTGGGCGACACACATGAGGACCACGACGGAATGATCGTCTTCCAGCGGCCTGCAGGCGCGTCCGATCATTTGTAGGACGGTCGTTATCGGGTACTGCTCGTACGCGTGCAGCTTGCCGTTGTAACTGTTGACCAAATCATCATCATCATCATTGAATTATATTTCGTCATCATTTCATCACCAATATCGGTCGTCTGATCTCACTTTTTGCCATGACTCCATCATCTACATCGTCACCATAATAACATCATTATACATTATTACGATTTCATCATCATCAAGCTTTTACTGTCATAATAAAAATCATTTCATTTTTTATCACACCCAGACCCGGAACAACAATTTGTGGACTATATAAAGAGTTGTTCTGTGCTGAAATCGAACCCGCGACACGTTGCACGGCAACCGGTTGCCTAGCCACTGCATCATCATCAAAATTATTGATCAAAATCAATCAAATCATTTCAAAATGTTTATCATTTCATCATCACGACCATTCTATCATAACCATCATCATTATCATAATCATGTCATCATCCTACTCATTTATTCATTATTAATTCATCATCATTCCTACAAATTCGTCATCATCATCATCATCCCACCACAATCATCATCAAATCAGCATCAATCTACCAAAACCATCATCAATCCATCATCATCATCAAACCATCATCATCATCAAACTATCACCATCATTTCTCCAAAATCATCATCAATCTACCAAAATCGTCATCAAACTATCATCATCATTCCTCCAAAATCATCATCAATATACCAAAATCATCATCAATATACCAAAATCATCATCAATATACCAAAATCATCACCATTCCACCAAAATCATCATCAAACTATCATCATCATTCCTCCAAAATCATCACCAATATACCAAAATCATCATCAATATACCAAAATCATCATCAATTTACCAAAATCATCACCATTCCACCAAAATCATCATCAAACTGTCATCATCATTCCTCCAAAATCATTATCAATATACCAAAATCATCATCAATCTACCAAAATCATCATCAAACCATCATCATCATTCCACCAAAATCATCATCAAACTATCATCATCATTCCTCCAAAATTATCATGCCATAATCATCATCATTCCACCAAAATCATCATTGTATCATCAGCCCGCTACAACTCATGTACTTACACATAAGTATCAGCGATGATGACGGTGTGTACATGCGCGGCGAGTCCCCAGGCCAGCTCGGCGGCCACGACGCAGAGCGTGACGGCCCCGGACTCCAGGAGCTGCTGGACCAGGCGACGGTCCCCGGCCTCCACGCCCTCGTGCAGGTACGCCACTCCGGCTGCTAGGGTTTCCTTCAGCATCTGTCAACACCAAATACAAATTATCATTAATGAAACAATGTTCCATAAGATTAGTATAGATGGTGGTGTTACCTTATCGTTGACCCGCTTGAGGAAGGGCTGCAGCATGTCGGGGCGGGCGCGCAGGAAGGCGGCGGGCGCGCCCTGCGCGGCGGCCAGCGCCAGCAGGTCGGCGGCCAGCAGGCGCGCCGCGCGCCGGGACGGCACGAACCCGGCGGCGGGCCGCGACCCGCGTGACGCCTCACATCCATCGCAACTGTCTACACGTATACACGTGTACAACAGCCCCTTCAATCGGAGCGGGATTACCCGCCGCAGCCCTCGGCAGCGGAGGCTGACCCACCAGAGACCGCATCTACATCAGATCTGCACCAATGGACAGGAGAGACAGTCGAGCGTTACCTACAAGAAATATGCACAATTTCTTCTGAGGGAAAACTGAACTCTGAGCAGAAATTGAAGATCAACAATCTCTGTCGTAAAGTATGCCAAGGGTTTTCCCACGTAACGTTGCAGTACCAGGCCCTGAAGGATGAGGCCCTACCGAAATGCGCTACATGCTCTCGGTTTAAAAAGCCGAGCAACCATCAAATCGGAGACGCTGATTGACCAGCCAAAAAAGCAGCCGACAACAGGTACATAAACTCCGTAGGTATATTATGAAGGCGCCAAAGAGCGCCACCTATTTTGTAGTTTTGCTTCTAAATTAGTTTAGTTATTATGGTCACTGACTTAGTAAATGAAATAAATAATTCTTTTTTAAATGTCAGCAACTTTTTTGAAGTTGAAAACTGCAAAACTATGTTTCCAAAAATCCGGATTCACTAACAATTCGAACCCAAAACATACGTAGCTTATATGAAAATATAGATAGTTTACATGTACTATTACAACGACTTAACTTCACCTGTGACATTATCGTTCTAACAGAGTGTTGGCTAACAAATAGATCCGATAACCTTCCCAACATTCAGGGATATAACGTCTTCTGTAATACTGAAAATACCAGCTAAAACGAAGGAGTCGTGGTCTATGCTAAAGACTCAATAAAAGATGCTGTAGAGGAACCTAATACACCAGGATGCAATTGTTTGGTCATTAAAATGAATACAACTACAGCAATAATAGCTATTTACAGACCACCCTCCTTCAGAAACATAGATTCGTTTCTACGCTCATTAAATCAGACATGTCAAACACTAACCTCATTTAGAAATATTGTAGGTACTTACAGGTGATATAAATATTAACGTAAATTCCGAGAATTATGACTCAGGAACACAGGATTATAACAATTTATGTGCATATCATGGGCTCTTAGCAGCTCATACATTGTCAACACATCAAAGCGGTTCCTGTTTGGACCATATGATAGTGAAATCTAACTCAAACTATATTAGCCTTGTCACTAATTCTACATTAACTGCACGTGCGTCGATTCTATAAAATTTGTTTGATTTTGAATCTAGTTCGAGTGTGAAGTGAGCGTCGAAGTAACAGGAAAATTACATTTTGGAATGCCACTTTTAATGCCATCTCATACTTTATCTATCAAAATGTTGCGGTCAATTTAGTTCAACTCTCAAGTGTAGCGCTAGTGTACTACTACTCACAGCGGATTCAGATTTGAAGTTTATAATGAAGTCTTACAGAATCACACTGCTGATCATCATGCTGTTTTAGGTACTAATATTAAACATCTCGCTACCGAAGCACAATCGTCATCAATTTAGGTCTCAATTTAAGGGGTTTCGGGGAGGGTCCGCTAGTTGTATGTAGATATGTAAAAAACTACATGAAGCCATCATTTCATATCTGACTACTCTGAGAAGAAATGGCGAAACAAACTTATCCTTTATGAAGCCCAAGCAGGGTGCATGTGGCTCCCCCAACACATGAAGAGTCAAAGTCAAACTCACCTGCAGGCGGCGCACCCTGCTGACTCACAGACGAGGCTCTGCCGCTCCTGACCTTCCCCAATGTGACTTGTGAACCAAGATCAACAACGCACTTGTAACTCCTTTGGCGCTTCCTATGAGCTGGTGACTGCTTACCATCAGGTGTCATAGGAACGGATTAAGTCAGCCTTTATTTAGATTGGCAAAAGTGCATAAGTCATTCCTGGGATTCTGTGTTAAATGTTAGAAGTGAGTTGTAAAACTGATTGAAAAAGAGTAACCATGGAGTTTGTTGCTCGTTCTTCTTCATTAGAATCTACACTTTGGAACGAGCAAATAGCTTCATTTGAGGACAGACAGACAGGCTGACACGCAGAAAGTTAAAGCTCTTGAAATATATTTTCTTATTTTTATGCTTGATGTTCAAAAGTGCGGTCTATTAAAAATAAATGATTTGAACTTTGACTTTGTGATCCTATTCTCATTTTCCCCAGAAGTCAACCAACATCTTTGAAGACTTCAGTGTCTTATATTGAGGAAGACGAGGTTTCAGGTGTGATTCCACTGAAGAAATTCTACAGACAATGCATTCCTGTGTTTAGGACTTCTTGCCTTAGAAAGGCATCTGTTAGGAGTAGATGTATTACACATTCACAACGTCTGCATAACATACCTATCTCCAATTGTGTAGTTTCCAAGGTCAAAAATAAATTAATTCGACGTTTCAATACAATCAAATATTGAAAAACAACTATACTTTTATTTATCGATCGATCGATACAATAAGTTTTAGGTTCTTTTAGCTAATTTTTAAGAAATAAGTAAGCTATTTGACGCAAAAATGTTATGTCATAGCTCAGTTTTTCATTCAAATTTCATAGAAAAGTATCGTTTTTGACGTTTGGATAAAAGTATTGAATTTGACTTGTTGGAAACTACAGTATTCTTAAACATCAGATTGTATATAATTAGATTAAGCTACTGTTTATATTAACATTTACTGAAACTTGGTATTTTTTCTGACAGGAAAATAATATAAACGAGCTCGTAGCTCTAGTGTGGGACTATTCCTTGTATAGTAGTCTAGTATAGGATATAGGGTAAGAGTAAAACAGCAAAGACAAGTATCGAATGGTTTATTCCGAGTCGCTGGAGTCCGAGGCGGCCTCTGCGACATCGGCGGTGAACCTATACTCCTGGTCCGCGCCGAGGTACGCGTCCGACATGAAGTATAAAGTGTACGTGTGGCGCCCTGGGGCTCCGCAGACGAAGTCCAGCCGCACCTGGGGAGTACATAGTCATTGTCAGATATACAGGAGCCAGTAGCGATGCTGAGCATGGCTTGTGGCTTGGCTCCAAGTGCTTACCTTGGCGGTGCGGGCCAGCGACACTCGCTTGATGGACAGCAGAGTGTTCGTCTTCGGGTCTCCGATCACCACCCACCAGCCTTCCTCGCGTTTCTGAAACGTTACAGTTTGAGTATGAGAGCACTGGGGTCTGGAGGCAGTGCATAGACAAAGTGTCGTCTGGACAATGAGTGTATGAGCTATGAGCCCTCGGTACCGACCTGCGGGAAGAAGGGCGCGATGACAGGGCCGGCGATATCGTCCTCTCTCTCTAGCGAGACCTCGACTACGACGGGCTTGCCGGCGCGCAGGTGGCGCTCGTTCACCACCTGAGAAATGTATCAATGTATCATATAGCCCACGTACATGTATGGGGCTATATCTCACGCGGGTCTGCTCACCTCGTAAGTCAGTTCGACGTTAGGGTATCTGTTACAGAACCGCGCCACGTCCGCCATCTCTGTCGGTGACAGCTGAAGCAGTTTGGCGCGAGCGTTGTCTTCTAGTTCCATCACGTCGAACACCGTCTCGACTCCCTGGCGGACACGAATCACTTAGAACGGCTCTTATATGTAAATGGATTTATACTTTAGGAATGTAGACGAGTACCTTCTCGGAGCACCGGTGCACCAGGTCTGCCGTGAAGTGAGGCAGCTGGCGGAGGTACGAGTCCTTGGCCCACATCGCCTGCGTCACCATCTGCGCCAGCTCCATGGCCGCCACTGCTGGGGACAGCCACCCACTGCTGGACACCACGTCCACGCACGCTTGGATCAGCCGGATGGCCTGCGGAGATGGCTCGATGCTTACATTTGTAGCTCAGTGGGACACTCGGAGGCTGGTGAGGATGATGGCTGAAGATGTCTGACCTTGGCGAGTACGAGCGCAGTATCGGCCTGCAGTTCGGCGGGCAGCTGCATGCGGGAGAGGTGTGCCTGCAGGAGCACGTGCGCCTTCACGTGCGGGTCGTTGTACTTCACCGGGCCGGACGCCGAGCTCGGCTTGTGGGGGACTCTGGGGGAAGTCCTCAGTACATAGCATGGCCTTACATCTAGACCTACTGGACACCAATACTTCGCGTCCACAAGCGGATACAAGGCGTCCCTAGTCTATACTAATATTATAAAGAGGTAAAATTCGGAAGTTTATGTATGTAGGGGGTAATCTTTGCAACCGCTGGTCGGATTGCCAAAGTTCTTTCACTGATAGATAGCTACAATGTTCCTCAGGGCTATTAGCTATAAAACGTAACGCTACTATTAAATGGAACCGAGTAGCGGGTCAAACCGCGCGAAAGTAGCTATACTCGGAATTTTAATTCCATTCCAGATTTGACAATTTCAGTGTTGCAACGTTATGACACGTAATAAATAGTGACGTTGCGAAATTATTCGATATGGAAATCGAATATTTCTGAATCGATTCCTCTCGTTTATAAATTTACTCTCGTAAACTAAGTTTATCAGGAAATAAAATATTTCTGAACCGATAATTTAGTTTTGACAATTAATTAACGATCTGAGACTTTTCTTTTGTAATTGTGTGTGAAATTAATAAAAAATGTGATCATGAAGAAACGTGACAAATAAAACAGACATTTTTTAAATTGTCGCCGTCATCGCTATCGCTATCGCCGTTACTCAATGTAACATTTATTATGAATTCTGTCTTTGATATTTATTGTCAACTAACATATCTAGCTTACTCATTTTTTCCTCCTCTTTGAAAACATGGGATACACATTTAGACCATTCGGTAGCCGTTATTTTTTGAATGCCTTCCAGAAACTGATTCACTGATTGCTTATCGATTTTTGTGTTCATCACTACACTGTTATATGTGGTATCATTATTTCACAAAATGGCAGTGGTCAATGTCAAATCAGGAATCGAATTAAAAGTCTGACTATAGTATTATATATAGATATTAGGGACGCCTTATTGCTCCCAGTAAACGTGTCCAGAGAAATGGAGCGCTAACATATTGATACAGAAGAGGCGTGAATAAATACTAGGAAAATTCTTTGTGTAGCGAAATAATTACTGTTCACTCACTTAGCAGCTAGCGCCTTGATGATATTCTCCTCGCGATGTCTGATGCAGAGTTCCGAGTACTCCGCGGCCGAGGATATGATCTCCAGCAGGCCACGGATCTTGGTCTTATTTGTAAGGGAGAGGGAGAACAGCTCTGTAACAAATTTAATGATAAATTTGTATTTTTGTGGGACACTAGCGACCCGCCCTGGCTTCGCACGGGTGTAAATTTCTCCACTATTAAAGTCAAAATAATTTATTTCAAGTAGACCAAAGTGGACACTTTTGAACGTCAAGCAAAAAAGGAAAAAGAAAATATATTTCAAGAGCTTTAACTTTATGCGTGTCAGTCTGTCCGTCTGTCCTCTAGTGAAGCTATTTGCTCGTTCCAAAGTGTAGATTCCTATGGAGAAGAACGAGCAACAAACTCCATGGTTACTCTTTTCAATCAGTTTTACAATACATTTCTTTGTTATGTTGTATATTGTATATAATGGATGTTATTATACATACAAAATCTTCCTCTTCAATCACACTACTATATGTTTAAAAAAACATATTATCACTACATAGTATAACAGGATAGAGAAAGCGAATTTCTTTGTCCTAATGTACGCGTAAACCTAAAACTACGTAACAGACTTTAATGCGGTTTTTTTAATAGACAGAGTGATTGAAGAGGAAGGTTTATATGTATTATTTATTATAATTATTTATATAACATCCATTAAATAGTGGAGAAATTAAGTATTAGCATTGCACCCGAGCGAAGAAGAGCGGGACCAATTTTCTCTTTAAAAAACCGTTAGGATTTACTCTAGTATTTTCTTCTGTGTCGTGGGTACAAACATACACACATACACATACACCCAGGTGTGATGTATATGTTTGTAACCGCACCAGTTTTCCAGGTCTGGACCCGGAACAACAATTCGTGGATCACACAAAGAGTTGTTCCGTGCGGGAATCGAACCCGTGAAACGATGCACGGCAGCTAGTTGTCCAGCCACCGCATTAAAGGTGTAGTCGAAGTCGGGTCGGTAGTAATATATATGAAAATATCTTTGTATAGATTGCTATAATAAATTTACCTATAGTAGTATAGTTTATGTAATAGTATGACGCGATCATTCCCAGGTTCAGGGGCTGGACATCCATGTCATCCTCGATGGCGATGCACTTGGACTGCTCCAGGTCCGTGAGGGTCGTCTCCACCAGCTCCGAGAGGTGATCTGATAGATGCCTGGTGGGAATAGAGAAATATTTAGCTTACATGGAGGTCGTCATACACGAAGAGTAACAGTAGTTTCCAACTATTCAAATTCAATACTTTTATCCAAATGTCAAAAACGATACTTTTCTATGAAACTTGTATGAAACACTGAGATATGACGTTATAGCATTTTTGCGTCAAAATAGCTTACTTATTTCTTAAAAATTTGCTAAAAAATTATCTAAAACTTAGTGTATTGATCGATCGATAAATAAAAGTATAGTTATTTTTCAATATTTTATTGTATTGATTGAAACGTCGAATTAATTTATTTTTAACCTAGGAAACTACCCAATTGTTGTTCCGAGTCTGGGTGTGATGCACCCAAGATTAAGCGTGGTGGTTATTGCTCAAACCTTCTCCGTGTGAGAAGAGGCCTTTGCTCAGCAGTGGGCACTTATAGGCTGATGATGATGAAATGGACTTACCTGTGCGTGACTCCTTGGAGGTTGTAATAGTTAGGATTCTGTGTGAGACGGCGGTAGAGGAAGGTCCATGTGAGATAATCTACAGCATCCTGCTTGTTCTCTATAGTTTTCGTTACAATCTCAGCATTCATATGATCGTGGAGTCTGTGATCGAGGTGGCTCTGTTATGGAAATAAAATACATAGTTTTATTATTATTATTTTTCATGTGATAAGGCGGCAAATGAGCAGACGGATTACCTGATGGTAAGCAATCGGCGCCACCCATGGACACCAGTAACAAGGGAAGAGTGACGAGTGCGTTGCCGACCTTTTGAGGATTCAGAGATTGGGGGAGAAGAAGGATTGGGTCATAAGCTCGAACGAAGTAGTACCAAGACCTCGCAACCCGGTGAGTGAGGTTTCCAGGCTTAATCCTTCTCCGCCCCCCCTAATCCTCAAACCTCCTATCGTTAAATCCTTAATAACCAACTAGAAGTCGGCAACGCTCTTGTAGTAACTACTTTGGTATTATTTATTATGTTTTCGGCTTACTCACGTAATAATTTGACGAGATACTCGACTAGTTTCAAGCCATGCTACTTTGGTATTACAAGAGTCCATGGACGACGCCGATAGCTTCCCATCAACGAAGCGGTCAAAGAAGTAATACATTCATAATCCATCGTACAGGTTCATAATTGGTTTACAATAAAAAATAAATACTAATATAATTTAACGACAAAAATACAAAGCGTACACGATCTATTTAGCCAAATGTTAAATGTGAGATATTATTAAATTGTATTGTTAAAAAAACCTGCTTACCTCCAAGGGAAGACAGTCGTTGAGGAGTTTGGTGAAGAAGGTCTTCTGGTGGGCGACACACATGAGGACCACGACGGAATGATCGTCTTCCAGCGGCCTGCAGGCGCGTCCGATCATTTGTAGGACGGTCGTTATCGGGTACTGCTCGTACGCGTGCAGCTTGCCGTTGTAACTGTTGACCAAATCATCATCATCATCATTGAATTATATTTCGTCATCATTTCATCACCAATATCGGTCGTCTGATCTCACTTTTTGCCATGACTCCATCATCTACATCGTCACCATAATAACATCATTATACATTATTACGATTTCATCATCATCAAGCTTTTACTGTCATAATAAAAATCATTTCATTTTTTATCACACCCAGACCCGGAACAACAATTTGTGGACTATATAAAGAGTTGTTCTGTGCTGAAATCGAACCCGCGACACGTTGCACGGCAACCGGTTGCCTAGCCACTGCATCATCATCAAAATTATTGATCAAAATCAATCAAATCATTTCAAAATGTTTATCATTTCATCATCACGACCATTCTATCATAACCATCATCATTATCATAATCATGTCATCATCCTACTCATTTATTCATTATTAATTCATCATCATTCCTACAAATTCGTCATCATCATCATCATCCCACCACAATCATCATCAAATCATCATCAAACTATCACCATCATTTCTCCAAAATCATCATCAATCTACCAAAATCGTCATCAAACTATCATCATCATTCCTCCAAAATCATCATCAATATACCAAAATCATCATCAATATACCAAAATCATCATCAATATACCAAAATCATCACCATTCCACCAAAATCATCATCAAACTATCATCATCATTCCTCCAAAATCATCACCAATATACCAAAATCATCATCAATATACCAAAATCATCATCAATTTACCAAAATCATCACCATTCCACCAAAATCATCATCAAACTGTCATCATCATTCCTCCAAAATCATTATCAATATACCAAAATCATCATCAATCTACCAAAATCATCATCAAACCATCATCATCATTCCACCAAAATCATCATCAAACTATCATCATCATTCCTCCAAAATTATCATGCCATAATCATCATCATTCCACCAAAATCATCATTGTATCATCAGCCCGCTACAACTCATGTACTTACACATAAGTATCAGCGATGATGACGGTGTGTACATGCGCGGCGAGTCCCCAGGCCAGCTCGGCGGCCACGACGCAGAGCGTGACGGCCCCGGACTCCAGGAGCTGCTGGACCAGGCGACGGTCCCCGGCCTCCACGCCCTCGTGCAGGTACGCCACTCCGGCTGCTAGGGTTTCCTTCAGCATCTGTCAACACCAAATACAAATTATCATTAATGAAACAATGTTCCATAAGATTAGTATAGATGGTGGTGTTACCTTATCGTTGACCCGCTTGAGGAAGGGCTGCAGCATGTCGGGGCGGGCGCGCAGGAAGGCGGCGGGCGCGCCCTGCGCGGCGGCCAGCGCCAGCAGGTCGGCGGCCAGCAGGCGCGCCGCGCGCCGGGACGGCACGAACCCGGCGGCGGGCCGCGACCCGCGTGACGCCTCACATCCATCGCAACTGTCTACACGTATACACGTGTACAACAGCCCCTTCAATCGGAGCGGGATTACCCGCCGCAGCCCTCGGCAGCGGAGGCTGACCCACCAGAGACCGCATCTACATCAGATCTGCACCAATGGACAGGAGAGACAGTCGAGCGTTACCTACAAGAAATATGCACAATTTCTTCTGAGGGAAAACTGAACTCTGAGCAGAAATTGAAGATCAACAATCTCTGTCGTAAAGTATGCCAAGGGTTTTCCCACGTAACGTTGCAGTACCAGGCCCTGAAGGATGAGGCCCTACCGAAATGCGCTACATGCTCTCGGTTTAAAAAGCCGAGCAACCATCAAATCGGAGACGCTGATTGACCAGCCAAAAAAGCAGCCGACAACAGGTACATAAACTCCGTAGGTATATTATGAAGGCGCCAAAGAGCGCCACCTATTTTGTAGTTTTGCTTCTAAATTAGTTTAGTTATTATGGTCACTGACTTAGTAAATGAAATAAATAATTCTTTTTTAAATGTCAGCAACTTTTTTGAAGTTGAAAACTGCAAAACTATGTTTCCAAAAATCCGGATTCACTAACAATTCGAACCCAAAACATACGTAGCTTATATGAAAATATAGATAGTTTACATGTACTATTACAACGACTTAACTTCACCTGTGACATTATCGTTCTAACAGAGTGTTGGCTAACAAATAGATCCGATAACCTTCCCAACATTCAGGGATATAACGTCTTCTGTAATACTGAAAATACCAGCTAAAACGAAGGAGTCGTGGTCTATGCTAAAGACTCAATAAAAGATGCTGTAGAGGAACCTAATACACCAGGATGCAATTGTTTGGTCATTAAAATGAATACAACTACAGCAATAATAGCTATTTACAGACCACCCTCCTTCAGAAACATAGATTCGTTTCTACGCTCATTAAATCAGACATGTCAAACACTAACCTCATTTAGAAATATTGTAGGTACTTACAGGTGATATAAATATTAACGTAAATTCCGAGAATTATGACTCAGGAACACAGGATTATAACAATTTATGTGCATATCATGGGCTCTTAGCAGCTCATACATTGTCAACACATCAAAGCGGTTCCTGTTTGGACCATATGATAGTGAAATCTAACTCAAACTATATTAGCCTTGTCACTAATTCTACATTAACTGCACGTGCGTCGATTCTATAAAATTTGTTTGATTTTGAATCTAGTTCGAGTGTGAAGTGAGCGTCGAAGTAACAGGAAAATTACATTTTGGAATGCCACTTTTAATGCCATCTCATACTTTATCTATCAAAATGTTGCGGTCAATTTAGTTCAACTCTCAAGTGTAGCGCTAGTGTACTACTACTCACAGCGGATTCAGATTTGAAGTTTATAATGAAGTCTTACAGAATCACACTGCTGATCATCATGCTGTTTTAGGTACTAATATTAAACATCTCGCTACCGAAGCACAATCGTCATCAATTTAGGTCTCAATTTAAGGGGTTTCGGGGAGGGTCCGCTAGTTGTATGTAGATATGTAAAAAACTACATGAAGCCATCATTTCATATCTGACTACTCTGAGAAGAAATGGCGAAACAAACTTATCCTTTATGAAGCCCAAGCAGGGTGCATGTGGCTCCCCCAACACATGAAGAGTCAAAGTCAAACTCACCTGCAGGCGGCGCACCCTGCTGACTCACAGACGAGGCTCTGCCGCTCCTGACCTTCCCCAATGTGACTTGTGAACCAAGATCAACAACGCACTTGTAACTCCTTTGGCGCTTCCTATGAGCTGGTGACTGCTTACCATCAGGTGTCATAGGAACGGATTAAGTCAGCCTTTATTTAGATTGGCAAAAGTGCATAAGTCATTCCTGGGATTCTGTGTTAAATGTTAGAAGTGAGTTGTAAAACTGATTGAAAAAGAGTAACCATGGAGTTTGTTGCTCGTTCTTCTTCATTAGAATCTACACTTTGGAACGAGCAAATAGCTTCATTTGAGGACAGACAGACAGGCTGACACGCAGAAAGTTAAAGCTCTTGAAATATATTTTCTTATTTTTATGCTTGATGTTCAAAAGTGCGGTCTATTAAAAATAAATGATTTGAACTTTGACTTTGTGATCCTATTCTCATTTTCCCCAGAAGTCAACCAACATCTTTGAAGACTTCAGTGTCTTATATTGAGGAAGACGAGGTTTCAGGTGTGATTCCACTGAAGAAATTCTACAGACAATGCATTCCTGTGTTTAGGACTTCTTGCCTTAGAAAGGCATCTGTTAGGAGTAGATGTATTACACATTCACAACGTCTGCATAACATACCTATCTCCAATTGTGTAGTTTCCAAGGTCAAAAATAAATTAATTCGACGTTTCAATACAATCAAATATTGAAAAACAACTATACTTTTATTTATCGATCGATCGATACAATAAGTTTTAGGTTCTTTTAGCTAATTTTTAAGAAATAAGTAAGCTATTTGACGCAAAAATGTTATGTCATAGCTCAGTTTTTCATTCAAATTTCATAGAAAAGTATCGTTTTTGACGTTTGGATAAAAGTATTGAATTTGACTTGTTGGAAACTACAGTATTCTTAAACATCAGATTGTATATAATTAGATTAAGCTACTGTTTATATTAACATTTACTGAAACTTGGTATTTTTTCTGACAGGAAAATAATATAAACGAGCTCGTAGCTCTAGTGTGGGACTATTCCTTGTATAGTAGTCTAGTATAGGATATAGGGTAAGAGTAAAACAGCAAAGACAAGTATCGAATGGTTTATTCCGAGTCGCTGGAGTCCGAGGCGGCCTCTGCGACATCGGCGGTGAACCTATACTCCTGGTCCGCGCCGAGGTACGCGTCCGACATGAAGTATAAAGTGTACGTGTGGCGCCCTGGGGCTCCGCAGACGAAGTCCAGCCGCACCTGGGGAGTACATAGTCATTGTCAGATATACAGGAGCCAGTAGCGATGCTGAGCATGGCTTGTGGCTTGGCTCCAAGTGCTTACCTTGGCGGTGCGGGCCAGCGACACTCGCTTGATGGACAGCAGAGTGTTCGTCTTCGGGTCTCCGATCACCACCCACCAGCCTTCCTCGCGTTTCTGAAACGTTACAGTTTGAGTATGAGAGCACTGGGGTCTGGAGGCAGTGCATAGACAAAGTGTCGTCTGGACAATGAGTGTATGAGCTATGAGCCCTCGGTACCGACCTGCGGGAAGAAGGGCGCGATGACAGGGCCGGCGATATCGTCCTCTCTCTCTAGCGAGACCTCGACTACGACGGGCTTGCCGGCGCGCAGGTGGCGCTCGTTCACCACCTGAGAAATGTATCAATGTATCATATAGCCCACGTACATGTATGGGGCTATATCTCACGCGGGTCTGCTCACCTCGTAAGTCAGTTCGACGTTAGGGTATCTGTTACAGAACCGCGCCACGTCCGCCATCTCTGTCGGTGACAGCTGAAGCAGTTTGGCGCGAGCGTTGTCTTCTAGTTCCATCACGTCGAACACCGTCTCGACTCCCTGGCGGACACGAATCACTTAGAACGGCTCTTATATGTAAATGGATTTATACTTTAGGAATGTAGACGAGTACCTTCTCGGAGCACCGGTGCACCAGGTCTGCCGTGAAGTGAGGCAGCTGGCGGAGGTACGAGTCCTTGGCCCACATCGCCTGCGTCACCATCTGCGCCAGCTCCATGGCCGCCACTGCTGGGGACAGCCACCCACTGCTGGACACCACGTCCACGCACGCTTGGATCAGCCGGATGGCCTGCGGAGATGGCTCGATGCTTACATTTGTAGCTCAGTGGGACACTCGGAGGCTGGTGAGGATGATGGCTGAAGATGTCTGACCTTGGCGAGTACGAGCGCAGTATCGGCCTGCAGTTCGGCGGGCAGCTGCATGCGGGAGAGGTGTGCCTGCAGGAGCACGTGCGCCTTCACGTGCGGGTCGTTGTACTTCACCGGGCCGGACGCCGAGCTCGGCTTGTGGGGGACTCTGGGGGGAAGTCCTCAGTACATAGCATGGCCTTACATCTAGACCTCGTCCAGAGAGGGCGAATTCGCGCGTTAGTAACATACAAGACATCAATACTTCGCGTCCACAAGAAGATACAAGGCGTCCCTAGTCTATACTAATCTCTCAGAATACAGAACAAACCAGAAGGCGTCATCGCGCTTTTCAAACTAAAGCAACTAAAACCATTCTCAACTAGAATAGTATGAAATTTCTACGATTAGTCAATTTTGGCACGTGGCATGTCGTGACGTATTTACGAGTATCAATTTTAATTTCATTATGCCGTCTTGTGTTATTACTACGAGTAAAAATGCGACTGGAATTACGAAAAAAGTGGATTACATTTCATCTGCAAGTATCGACTGCAATAGTATATTTAATTAATTATTGAATTTTTTTTATCGATTTATTTTTCTATGAAAATGATGCGGCCATTTTGTGAGTGTTGTCATTTTTGGTGAAAATTTTACCCACTTATTTATTTGTTGTGGGTTATATTTTTGTCCATTATGGAGCCTATGTCATATAAGTTTCCCTGACAAAAAAATAAATACAAATCATACAAAGGGCACGGTTAGATTAATTTTGGAAACCATCTAGCCAGAGCATAGTTTGCTCAATTCACTTTGAAGAGATATATTTATGACAAAGGTGGTTTGAAAACAGCATATCCTACTAAGATATATCTATACTAATTATAATGCTGAAGAGTTTGTTTGTTTGTTTGCTAGAATGCGCTAATCTCAGGAACTAAGTCAAGTAAGTAGACTTCTAATCTTTAGTTCCGAATCTAAAGACAATATATATAAAAAACTAAACCAGCACAAGGGAACGCAATAAAACCTTTGTACTTATTGAAGCTTTATTTTATTTGTTGTGTATAGTAGGTGTAACTAAAATTAACAAATCCAGAAATTGTCAACTTTTATGATACCTCTATGAAATGTGGGAACAACTAGTCTGTTGCATTTATCGTAAGTTTACCTATTTTGTTGGGTTTACTCGTATCTTATCCTCCTGTTGTAAAATTACCCCAAACCAAGGGAATTGTTCCACTGTCGGCAACACTACGCGGGTGGGAAGTGCGACTGGCGGGGGGATTGACGTATTGTTTTTGGACACATTTGACGACATAATTATGAGTGAACGCGGCTTCTGGTTTGTTCTGTAGTCTTAGACTAATCTTAAAGAGGTAAAACTCGGAAGTTTATATGTAGGGGGTAATCTTTGGAACCGCTGGTCGGATTGCCAAAGTTCTTTCACTGATAGATAGCTACAATGTTCCTCAGGGCTATAAGCTATAAAACATATCGCTACTTTTAAATGGAACCGCGCAGCGGGTGAAACCGCGCGAAAGTAGCTAGTATTATATATAGATATTAGGGACGCCTTGTTGCGCCCAGTAAACGTCTCCAGAGAAATGGAGCGCCAACATATATTGATACAGAAGTGAATAAATACTAGGAACATTCTTTCTGTGTAGCGAAATAATTACTGTTCACTCACTTAGCAGCTAGCGCCTTGATGATATTCTCCTCGCGATGTCTGATGCAGAGTTCCGAGTACTCCGCGGCCGAGGATATGATCTCCAGCAGGCCACGGATCTTGGTCTTATTCGTAAGGGAGAGGGAGAACAGCTCTGTAACAAATTTAATGATATATTGGTATTTTTGTGGGATACTAGCGACCCGCCCCGGCTTCGCACGGATGTAAATTTCTCCGCTATTAAAGTCAAAATCATTTATTTCAATTAGGCCACAGTGGACACTTTTGAACGTCAAGCAAAAATAGAAAAAGAAAATATATTTCAAGAGCTTTAACTTTATGCGTGTCAGTCTGTCCGTCTGTCCTCTAGTGAAGCTATTTGCTCGTTCCAAAGTGTAGATTCCTATAGAGAAGAACGAGCAACAAACTCCATGGTTACTCTTTTTCAATCAGTTTAACAATACATTTCTTTGTTATGTTGTATATTGTATATAATGGATGTTATTATACATAAAAAATCTTCCTCTTCAATCACACTATTACATGTTTAAAAAAACATATTATCACTACATAGTATAAATAGGATAGAGAAAGCGAATTTCTTTGTCCTAATGTACGCGTAAACCTAAAACTACGTAACAGACTTTGATGCGGTTTTTTAATAGACAGAGTGATTGAAGAGGAAGGTTTATATGTATAATAACATCCATTAAATAGTGGAGAAATTTAGTATCAGCATTACACCCGAGCGAAGACGGAGCAGGACTCATTTTCTCTTAAAAAAAAAAAACGTTAGGATTTATGCTAGTATTTTCTCCTGTGTCGTGGGTTCGGTTACAAACATACAATTTCACATACACATCACACCCAGACCCGGAACAACAATTCGTGGACCACACAAAGAGTTGTTCCGTGCGGGAATCGAACCCGCGACACGGTGCACGGCAGCTAGTTGCCCAGCCACCGCATTAAAGGTCCAGTCGAAGTTGGGTCGGTAGTAATATATAAGAAAATATCTTTGTATAGATTGCTATAGTGAATGTACCTATAGTAGTATAGTTTATGTAATAGTATGACGCGATCATTCCCAGGTTCAGGGGCTGGACATCCATGTCATCCTCGATGGCGATGCACTTGGACTGCTCCAGGTCCGTGAGGGTCGTCTCCACCAGCTCCGAGAGGTGATCTGATAGATGCCTGGTGGGAATAGAGAAATATTTAGCTTATATGTAGGTCGTCATACACAAAGAGTTACGGTAGTTTCCAACTAGTCAAATTCAATACTTTTATCCAAATGTCAAACCGAGACTTTTCTATGAAATTTGGTATTTTAATATTTTTGCGTCAAATAGCTTACTTATTTTTTTTCTAATTAGCGACAAAATATCTAAAATTGAGTGTATCGATCGATCGATGAATAAAAGTATAGTTATTTTTAAATATTTTATTGTATTGATTGAAACGTCGAATTAATTTATTTTTGACCTAGGAAACTACCCAATTGTTGTTCCGAGTCTGGGTGTGATGCACCCAAGATTAAGCGTGGTGGTTATTGCTCAAACCTTCTCCGTGTGAGAAGAGGCCTTTGCTCAGCAGTGGGCACTTATAGGCTGATGATGATGAAATGGACTTACCTGTGCGTGACTCCTTGGAGGTTGTAATAGTTAGGATTCTGTGTGAGACGGCGGTAGAGGAAGGTCCATGTGAGATAATCTACAGCATCCTGCTTGTTCTCTATAGTTTTCGTTACAATCTCAGCATTCATATGATCGTGGAGTCTGTGGTCGAGGTGGCTCTGTTATGGAAATAAAATTAAGTGTCATTATTATTATTTTTCATGTGTTAAGGCGGCAAATGAGCTTATAGATTACCTGATGGTAAGCAATCAGCGCCGCCCATGGACACTCGCAACGGAGGAGTTACGAGTGCGTTGCCGACCTTTTAGGGATTTGGAGATTTAGGGATTGAGGAGGGATTAGGGACGGGGAAGGATTGCCAAATGTTAAATGTGAGATATTATTAAATTGTATTGTTAAAAAAACCTGCTTACCTCCAAGGGAAGACAGTCGTTGAGGAGTTTGGTGAAGAAGGTCTTCTGGTGGGCGACACACATGAGGACCACGACGGAATGATCGTCTTCCAGCGGCCTGCAGGCGCGTCCGATCATTTGTAGGACGGTCGTTATCGGGTACTGCTCGTACGCGTGCAGCTTGCCGTTGTAACTGTTGACCAAATCATCATCATCATCATTGATTTATATTTCATCATCATTTCATCACTACTATCAACAACATATATATTTCATGATCTCATCATCAATATCGCAATCATGATTTCAACATCATCATCATTTCATCATTATAATCATAATAATCATTATCAACAATTTAACGTTTCATCATCATCATCATAAGCATAATCATTGTCATCATTTCATTATTATTACATGACACTCATCACTCCATCAACATTATTTTCCCATCCTGATCATCAATCTGTCATAATAATCGTCATTATTCTATCAAAACCATCATCACCATCATCATTCCATCATCATGCTATGACTACTAGAAATGTACTTACACATAAGTATCAGCGATGATGACGGTGTGTACATGCGCGGCGAGTCCCCAGGCCAGCTCGGCGGCCACGACGCAGAGCGTGACGGCCCCGGACTCCAGGAGCTGCTGGACCAGGCGACGGTCCCCGGCCTCCACGCCCTCGTGCAGGTACGCCACTCCGGCTGCTAGGGTTTCCTTCAGCATCTGTCAACACCAAATTAATCAGCGTTGAGCATATTCGCTCAACTATATGCTGAGGTGGAGGCCCTTTTGGTATGGGCACATGAATATTATTATTTTAATAACGGTCCTAAATGTGATCCTTGGGGCATCCATGATGGAATTTTCAGAAAACGTGATGTATAACCCTTCAAAAATACGGCTTGAGAGCGATTTTTTATGTATTAACTTATATAACTAAGCAGATGACCATGTATTCCGATTCTCCAAAGCTTCCCAATTAGCAAATCGTGATTGATTTTGTCAAAAGCCTTGGAGAAACCGGAATACACTTCATCCACCTGAAGGCCCCTCTCCATAGCATTGACAAGGTAATCTGTAAAATTGAGCAAATTTGTCTCCACAGACCTACCTTTACAAAAACCGTGTTGATTAGGAGAGATGTGACGCTGTAACAGACGTGAGAGCTCACTCGCTACAATTTTTTCTAATATCGTACCAAGTATATTAAGTTTGCTTTATGGTCGGTATTGCGTCACATCATCCCTTTTATCATTTTTTGGAATTGGCGTAACTAAAGCCTGTTTCCATAACTTCGGAAAAATGCCCTCTTTAAATGACTTAGAATAAATTATGCCCTCGGGTATTGTTAATTAAGCTGCACATTTGCGGATAAATAGTGGATGAATACCATCGCAGCCTGTTCCTTTACTGATGTCAACATCCTGAGCTCTTTATAAACCTTGTGCGTCTACAGTTAATACATCGACTTCCAGTGGAGAGTTTAAGGGTGGGTTATTTAAATCAAAATGAAAGGGATAGGTTGGTGAATGAACATAAACTGAATAAAAATACTCTTTGAAGAGCTCACAAGTATCCTTGCCAGACCTAGAAATTTGTTGATTACATTTTACTGTAATGGGAGTTTCATTATTCGGTAATTTAGATTTAACAAAGGACCAGAAAAATTTAGATGACATGAATTTTATCCTCACTAAATGCTATAAATCTATCATAGTCGGCCCTTTGCATCCTAAATTCTCTTTTACGGAGACTTTAGAATGTTTGATGATCAAGTAGGTTACCGTACCTCTTCCATTTAGCGTGATACTTTCTTTTCTCTTTTGCCAACTTAATTAGTGATCGACTATATCAAGGGGGATATCGGTGTGTGCTCAATATTTTACGAGTTGGTACATGTTCATTAATTATAGCATTTATAGTACCATAGAATTTCTCCAGCATGGCATCAACACCATCAGTAGCTAGAAACTTAGATTGCCAGGTCACTGAAGACATGAAACAATGTTCCATAAGATTAGTATAGATGGTGGTGTTACCTTATCGTTGACCCGCTTGAGGAAGGGCTGCAGCATGTCGGGGCGGGCGCGCAGGAAGGCGGCGGGCGCGCCCTGCGCGGCGGCCAGCGCCAGCAGGTCGGCGGCCAGCAGGCGCGCCGCGCGCCGGGACGGCACGAACACGGCGGCGGGCCGCGACCCCGCGTGCCGGACCACCGCGTGGTAGATGGGCTTCGTCATCGCCGCCAGACGGGACCCCGCGTGCGATATGTTGAAACCCTGGATATAACAAAACATGATAATATGATATTGTAGGAGATTAAGGAACTACCAGCTGAATCCTGCTTTATAAGCCTGTGCGCACCACCGCTCGGGTTCACTTGCCTATCAGCCGTCGTCGCGATCGGATCGGAGTTTTCGGTGTTTTCGTTTTTATTGATAATTATTCTTTTTGTAAAAATTTAAATAAAAACCGGTTTTTTTTTATTGAATAGGTCGGCAAACGAGTAGACGGATTACCTGATGGTAAGTAATCAGCGCCGCCCATGGACACCCGTAACGGAGGAGTAACGAGTACGTTGCCGACCTTTTAGGGATTAGGGTTTTGGAGATTTAGGGATTGGGAGGGATCGGGGGAGGGGAAGGATTGGGTCTCAGGTGTGACTATTTAAAAAAATACTCGCCCTTAGTATTCCCTAGATCAGAAGTGGGATAGGATCAACGTGGTTCTATCCAGCTGGCCATTCTGGTTGTGTGTTTTTTTGGTGCGAGTGAAGTGAAAAGACAAAAATGTCTGACCGCGAGCGTCATAGCAGCCGAAAGCGTAGGCGTCATAGTAGACATCGCGATCGTACCCCGGTGGATAGTAGTTTAAAGCGTGAAATGAGTGCCATGTTAGCTAGGCTTAGAGCACTGGAGGGCCAAGTAGCTGCGCGAGACACGTCGCCGCCGGTGCAACGTAGTGAGCTGCCTGCATCACCGTCTCATAGGCGTCGGGACTCGGAAAGACGCGTGACGTCACCCGCGCCTGAGAGGCTTGCGTCACCAGCGCACAGTACGGGACGCTCCACGACGCCGCCGCTCCGGCAAATACTCCATATACGTATCAAGCAGCAGAGGTCGTATGTTTCAGAGTACGGAATTTATCGATTGGATTAGGGATATGGATTGTGAAGTTCATTTTATTACACCCGAGATGCACCAATCCAACGGTCGGGTTGAACGTTACTGCAGGACGGTGTTAAATATGATTCGCATTGAAGCTCATCATCGGCAGCAGAAGTGGCCCAGTGTTATCTGGAAGATTCGACTCGTATTGAACATCACTCAGCACAGAACAACGCAGTACTCTGCCCTGAACCTGCTTGTTGGCATAGAAGCGGCGACGCCTCTCATCCAAAGTTTGGTGCGCGACGTGGTTATGGAGGGCTCCAGTCCAAACCGGGAGGCTTTACGTGAAATGGGTCGACAAAGAGCATCGGAACGGCTCAAGCAAAACCAGCAAAGCCCGGACAGTTACGTAAACCAAGGCAAAAAGGCGCCCCGTGGTTTTGAAATTAATTTCTTAGTTTTTATCAAAAAGCAAGTGTGGGAGAGCCATGCTTCGGCACGAATGGGTCGGCTCGACTGGAGTGATACCACGGCCTCACAGAAAACCGGCGTGAAACAACTACAGCGTTGTGTTTCGCCGTGTGAGTGAGGTTACCGGAGGCCCAATCCTTCCCCTCCCCCAATCCCTCCTCAATCCCTAAATCTCCAAATCCCTAATCCCTAAAAGGTCGGCAACGCACTCGTAACTCCTCCGTTGCGAGTGTCCATGGGCGGCGCTGATTGCTTACCATCAGGTAATCCGTCTGCTCGTTTGCCGACCTATTACATAAAAAAAAAAGCAGGCGCAGTCAACGGGAAAGCTGGACTCTGGTATGCGTGGCCCGTACCGCGAGATAATATTCTCCCGCATGGGCGCTATGAGCTGCAACTCCTGGCCGGCTCCTAAGCGACGTGGCACGGAGAGTGGACACCTGAAGATCGTGCTGCTTACTTCGATGGTAAGTCGCTTGGCTACCCCAGACCAGGTTGGAAAATGTCCTTGGGTATGTCGACAGAAATAGCACACGTAGTGCTTCCTTTCTGTGTATTTAATTGGTGGGAACAAGCAAACGTCGCGCTTCCTTTCCTAACAGATTGTGGGGCGGACATGCGAACGTCGGGTCTCTGGCTCGCCGGGCTAAGTTATGCTAACGTCGTGCCTATGACTTAATATATGCTTGTGATGATTCGCATCTTGTTTATACAGGGTGTAAAAAGCCACGTATTCTACCCATTATTTGGATCATTTTTTTCTTTAATGCCATAGCTGGGACTCCACGGGTTCTCGAGATATTGAAGGTCAAAGATGCATTTTTAATTTTTTTTGCGCAATCGAATTCTAAATATTATTACAAAACTTTTTTCCATACAAACATTACCTGAATTTTCGATTTTTCTAAATAAATTACGCATTTGAAGTTACGAACAGTAATGTACGTAATAAATAAATGCAGACCCGCACAAAAAACATCGTGCATCTCAGTAGGATTTTTATTTTACAGAATTGTTTTGTTGTTGCGAAGTAAAACGTCGACCTACGTACTTATCACAGCGTTTTAATGCTAAGCTGTGAACCTACGCACACAATGACACGAAGCCCGTTTGCTTTACATTGCGCGCAATAAAATTATTATTTTTTTGATACCTAAAAATAAAAGTCGTTTCCCAGTGATAACGAAACGACTTTTATTTGCTGCTTAGTTAGAACTGCAGTATGCGTAGTTAACGGCTTCGTTAAGTGTCTTTTTACACCCTGTATGATGGACGCGTCATATTAATGAGATGTTAAGCTTCGCACTTTAAATTGCTGTTAATGTGTGTACGTAAGCTAATGCTTGTTTACGCGCATAGGTAGGTAGGTACGCGCAGACACGGAAGATGAGGACCCTGGTGCCACTCAACCTGATGAAGCAACTGAGCTTGGTCGCGGGTTACCGCCACCTACTCTAGCTGCGAGGCTACCTGTCCACAATGGGCAACAACCATCAGCGTCCAGGATTCAGAGACATGCAAGTGCTTCAGCCAGACTTGCCGCTGAGGTGTACCGGGAGCAAGAGTCCATAGCAGAGTCTGGGCCGGGGCTATCCATGCCCCTGCTGGACTAATCCAACAGGAAAAGAGGAGGGCCCGAGGACGGTCTCCTGTCAGGAGAGGCCGTGTAGGAGATCAAGCGTTGCCGACATTTAAGGGATTAGGGATTTAGGGATTGAGGAGGGATTGGGGGTGGGGAAGGATTGGGCCTCCGGTAACCTCACTCACACGGCGAAACACAACGCTGTGGTTGTTTCACGCCGGTGTACTGTGAGGCCGTGGTATCACTCCGGTCGAGCCGACCAATTCGTGCCGAAGCATGGCTCTCCCACACTTAAATTATAATTTTAAAATTCGAAATTTAATTCAATTTTCATAGAAAAGTACAATTTCGTCAGAAAGTACAATCAATCGTACCGGCAGGCGGCCATACGCGCGACTGCTGGTGTCGCGCACGTCGTGGGTAGGATCCGGCGGCTGGGCTTAGAGGTGGCATTGCACAGATCGGAGGCCCTGTGTTTTCATGGGCCGAGGATGAAGCCGCCTCAAGGATCCAGCATCATAGTAGGAGGGGTTTCCATCGCTGTTGAGTCCACGATGAAATACCTCGGACTCGTTCTCGACAGTCGGTGGAATTTCGGGCCGCACTTTACACGGCTCGCCCCCCGGTTGATGGGCGCCGCTGCTGCGCTGTCGCGCTTACTGCCCAACTAGGGAGAGGGGAGGGCATCTAATCTTGTCGGAGGTTCTCTCGAAATCTCTCGCTTCCGGCTGTAGTGTCTACTATGGTCGGGAGCGAGTCAGGGTGGAGTGCCGTCGCTACCTTCTGCGAGGCCGTGATTCTCGCAAAGGAGGCGGCGGAAAGGGAGAGAGAGGCTGCCTCCTCTCTCCCCTCCCACAGCAGACTCGGGGCGTCTTGCCGTCCGACCAGCAGTAGGCCTCGAGGCCGTGTTCCGCGCGCGCCTCATAGTTGAGTCATGCGGTCGGGGTGACGGCCGCAGTGGGTGACGGGGCCCGCCTTACCATCTGGCGGGACAATACTTGTCGGGGGGATGCGACGAATGCTTCGGTGATACCCGCCCCTCCGACACATGGGTAAGTGGAGGAACACCACCGGGTTGATTTTTAGTCAGCAAGAGTCTGACAGTACCCTTTGCCCTTCCCCGAAGGCGATGATTTTCCAAACCGACACCAAAAAAAAACAATGTAACTGTTTAAACAGAATTAAGAAAAAGAAAAACACATGAAATAAATGTGGGAGAGTCAAGCTTCGGCATGATGGAGTGACACAACGGCCTCACAGAAAACGGTCGTGAAATAACCACAGAATTGTATTTCACCGCATAAGTAAGGTGTCCTGAAAGCCGATGCCTTACTCTAATCTCCAAATCTCCTACACTCAAATCGTCAAAAAGCCGGCTATACACTCGTAACTCCTCAAGCGTTACCTATGTCCATGAGCGGCGCTGATTGCCTCATTATCATCATCATCAGCCTATAAGTGCCCACTGCTGAGCAAAGGCATCTTCTCACACGAAAAAGGTTTGAGCATTATCACCACGCTTGCTCAATGCGGGTTGGCGATTTCAAACTTACAATTAGAAAATATAAGTCCAGGTTTCCTCACGACGTTCACCTTCACCGTATCTCAGTGGTGTCTAAATAGTCATAGATTGCTTACCATCAGGTAATCTCGTTTGGCGTGGAATGTCATACCTGTATATGCAGCTGTAGAGGCAGTGGCCTGACGCTGGGGTGGAAGTTGAAGGTCGTGTTGGCGGAGCAACCCAACCACTGCGCCACGTCGCGCGCGTCCGCCAGGGGGAGCGACAGCGCTACTATACGGATCGGACGACCTGGAAATACATACATTTTCATTACAACTACTATTTTCACAGTGATATCTCTGATGCCGCCTACATTTCTCCTAAATTATAGGCAGCTATCCCAAGTGTGGGAGAGCTGTAGGTCGGCAAACGAGCAGACGGATTGCCTGATGGTAAGCAATCAGCGCCGCCCATGGACACTCGCAACGGAGGAGTTACGAGTACGTAGTGTCTTTTAGGGATTAGGGATTAGGGATTTGGAGGTTCAGGGATTGAGAGAGGGGAAGGATTGGGCCTCCGGTAACCTCACTCACACGGTGAAACACAACAATATGGTTGTTTCACGCCGGTTTCCTGTGAGGCCGTGTTATCACTCCGGTCGAGCTGACACATTCGTGCCGAAGCATGGCTCTCCCACACTTAAAAAAAATATTTGCTGATACTCCCCCGCCCTCCATCTAACCTAAGATCATAGACGACAACGAATAAATGTCACTCACCAATCTGAGAGGATATGTACCGCATCCTGGAACAGACGACCTCCAGCACGGGTCCCTCCTCTCCTCCCAGCAGTTGGAGAGCGTCCACTATGAACAAGGAAACGCTCTGCACGCTCTTACGGACCTTCCATCTACGGAGAAAGAGAAAGAAAAAATTGAATTAATAATATTTTATTTCATATTTAAACTTAATAGGTTTCAAAGTCAAAGTCAAAATCATTTATTTCAATTAGACCCTTACAGACACTTTTGAACGTCAAACAAAATTTTGAAGATATAGTGTCAGTCTGTCCGTCTGTCCTCTAGTGAAGCTATTTGCTCGTTCCAAAGTGTAGATTCCGATGGAGAAGAACGAGCAACAAACTCCATGGTTACTCTTTTTAAATCAGTGTCACATACAGATTCCTTTTACAAACAGTTGGTTCAATTATGTGAGAACAGTGTAACACTAATATTTATTCAGATAACCGGCTCGACCGGAGTGATACCACGGCCTCACAGAAAACCGGCGTGAAACAACCACAGCGTTGTTTTTCGCCGTGTAAGTGAGGTTATCGGAGGCCCAATCATTCCCCTACCCCAATCCCTCTTCAATCCCTAATCCCTAAAAGGTCGGCAACGCACTAGTAACTTCTCCGTTGCGGGTGTCCATGGGCGGCGCTGATTGCTTACCATCAGGTAATCTGTCTACTCGTTTGCCGACCTATTACATAAAGAAAGATAAATAACCTTAAGGACGATAGACAGTCCGGAGCTGACCAGTCCTAAATTGAGAAAAGCTCTTATGATAGTTACTGTACAAGAATAATGTTGAAAATACCTTCTGGAGAGAATGTCCCATTTATCAGCTGTGGTGACGATGATTTGGCCCTTGTTGAGCAGCTTATGGTCTGTCGCCGTTTCACCCGTCAGTTGAACCACCTGGGCGAAATTTTATAAGCATTAATTTAAATGAGACTATTTTTATAATAGGTTACATATTATATTATATTGTTAGTGTTAAATCCAAACTAATAATAGGTATTTACCTATGAAATTGCCGTTGTGCAGTACTGGCCATTTCAAATCAAAATAGTTTTTGTTAGGCTAACACCCGGTTTCTGAAAGGCTTGTCAACGCTAAAATTATCTAATCTCCTGTTAAATCTCTTGTCAAGTCATCTGATTGGTTGTTGATAATTCAGTCAACCAATCAGATGACCTGACAAGAGATTAAATTGATTTTAACATTGATCGGCCTTTTGGAAACCGGGCGGTAAGGCTAATTAATTTTGTTTTAAAACATGGGATTCTTTTTCCAAAAGTAGTCATTTGTTTATTGATTAGTGTTACATTTTCATCGCATTACAAATAAAAAAATTCGTTTGTAATTCGTCTTGAAAAACGGCAATTTCATAGGTAAAGACCTATTATTACAAATGCGAAAGTAACTGTCTGTCTGTCTTTTCTTCACGCCTAAACTACTAAACCGATTTCTGTGTAATATGGTACAGACATAGTTTGGAACTCGAGAAAGGACATAGGATAGTTTTTATAAAAAAAATCTGCAGAAAGTCACTATTCTACTCGAACGGAGTCGCGGGCAAAAGCTATTAGATTATAAGCGACTTTAGATGTTAAATTTTAATCAAATATATTGTTTAGACTTTTCAAATAATAATGCAAATTTTATTGACAATGAAGACTTATAAATATTGACTTATTATTAACAACTGGTCTCTTTATTTTTATCACTTTTACGCGTCCGAATCCACTAGCGAAAGCTAGTAGAATTTAAGAATCTAAGCCATGATATTATATATTATGGACATGTTATGAACGCGCAAAAGTAAAGACTCGAAAAGGATACAATACGGTAGTTTCCAACTAGTCAAATTCAATACTTTTATACAAACTTCAAAAACGATACTGTTCCGGACCTTCACATCGTGCCGGCCTGAGACACCGTGTCATCGTGCGTCATCGTGCGCCCCACCAGCGCTAGGCCCTCGACCATACGCCGCGCGCCGGACCCCGCCACTCTCGCTCACCGACCATTACTGTGCGCACATATCGGCCATACTCCTTTGTGAATAATACAGTCTTTATATCGAAAATAGGGGTTTTATTTAGTTGAGACCACCAGCAGCACAACTGGAGCTCAACACCCCAACAGTGGTCCTTCGAAGAACCTCGCCAGTGGTTCTACAAAGAAGATATTTGCCGTTCTTACTGTGCCACGCCACCCGTGGACTTTGGACTGCCCGCTCGTACGATCGCCTCCACGTGTTAGTGGACACGCAGAAGACAGTCTATCCAGGGAGGAACATAATTCTGAGTGAGTTCGTTCCGATCTCCTTAATTCCTGTCTTTTTATTGCCCTATTTCCAGGAATTTAAAATAGTGCTATACTACGGATCAGTCATAGTTGATCTCTTCATATGTTATAGCTTAATTCAAATTTAATTGCATTCATTAATTTTACAAAAAACATCTAGCTTTATCGCCATAGCAAAAAAACATACGTTCGTCATTGCACGCTTATTGCACCGATGCAGTTTTAAACGTAAACAAAGTCATTAGTACCATTTTTTTTGCTTATCTAAACCGGTTGCAGTGGCTTATAAGCGTTATAACATCTGTTCAACGGTAACTTTCCATACAGATTCTAATACATTGTAGCTGTTTATGTTTTAATATTTTTCTACACTCTTCGGCTTATTCAAGTTTCGCCCTTTGCCTTGTCTTTCCTTGCTTACCATTATGGCTGATGCAAAGTTAAGGGACTTAGTTAAGAAGCGTGGTAGTTTTAAAGCTAAGCTTACTCATTTTAATAACTTTTTAAGGTTACTACCTAGTAATACAGACTTAGACCATTTCCAAGAAGTCGAATTACAAAATCGTTTGTCGTTAATGGAAACTTTATATAAGGAATTCGACGTGTTGCAGACTGAGTTGGAGGTGCTGTCCGAGAACACGGACGATATGTATGCCGAAAGGGAGCAGTTCGAGACGCAGTACCATGCGTCGGTGGCGCGCGCGAGAGCATGCCTCGCCTCCGCGCGTTCCTCCTCGCCCGCGCTCGTCTCTGCTTCTTCAACTGATAATCTCGCGCCGCACGGCTCTGGCTGCGAGCACGACTTCGTTCGACTGCCCAAGATAGACTTGCCTCACTTCAACGGGGACTATCAACACTGGCTTGAATTCCGAGATACGTATATTTCCCTTATTCATAATAATAGTAGCATACAGGATATTAACAAGTTCCACTACCTTCGTGCAGCTTTAATCGATAGTGCATCTTTAGTTATTAAAAGTATTGAATTTAAAGCCGATAATTACAATATAGCTTGGCAAATATTAACTGAAAGGTACGATAACGAGAACCTTCTTGTTAATAATCATCTACAGTCATTATTTAACTTTGAACCCATTCGACAGGAATCATCTAGTGCATTACGTAACATGATTGACGTTACAAATAAAAACCTCCGAGCTCTCGAAACACTTGGACATCCAACACAACATTGGGACATATTAATTATTTACATGATGTCAAAGAAACTAGATTCAGTGACCATTCGTGAGTGGGAGAAATTTAAAAATGATTCAGACACATTTCCACACTTAAAACAATACTTAAAATTTATTTCTAACAGAGCCGACCTACTTGAATCTCTGAGTCATAACAACAACACATCACTTACAAATATCACATTTACAAAAAATACAAATGAACATAATAAATCTAAAGATTATCTTACTACAAGCAAATCAAAACCTATCCACAGTTCTGAGAGTATCAAATGTCCTATGTGTTCTCAGAATCACTTTTTATTTAGTTGTCAGTCATTCAGAGACCTAAATATTGAAGCTCGCATAAAAAAGGCATTGCAAAGCAATGTTTGTATGAACTGCCTTCGACCTGGTCATACAATAAAGCGTTGCAAATTATCACATTGCAAATATTGCAAGTCCAAACACAACACCCTCTTACATAGGGAGTCACAAAATGAGCTTCAGTCAGAGAACAATGTAGCATTGTCAACAAATGTCGTATTGCCCTCACTGAACTATTATAAAAATCAAATTTTACTTTCCACAGCATTGGCTAAGGTGGCAGACGTTAATGGACACCTTCATACTGCCAGACTCCTATTGGACAATGGCAGCACCTCCAACTTTGTTACCCGAGAGCTCTGTGGAAGGCTTGGTCTGGTGACTCACAGCACTAACTCCACCGTCACAGGTATTAACGGACAAGTATCTAGTACCACAGAAAGTTGTCTTCTTCGGGTGCAATCTTGTTATGGTGGTTATCAGGCGACGATAAGCTGTTTTGTCTTACCTACTATCACACAATCGATGCCAGGCTCTTATGTGGATAAAAAATACATAACCATTCCGCCCGGTATTCAATTAGCAGATCCTTCATTTAATGTACCTTCAGCTATTAACATTCTTGTAGGCGCTGAGGTATTTTGGGACGTCTTAGGTTCCGATACAATTAATTTAGGTAAACATCAACCTAGATTACAGTCATCAAAATTAGGTTGGCTCATCTCGGGCTGTGTCACTCAGTCTCCGCAACGCACACCACCCTCTTATTGCCACTTTCTTACACATGAGGAGTCTGATCAACTGACTCGTTTCTGGGAACTCGAAACTGTATCCACTGGGAACTGTTTTTCTTCAGAAGAACAGGCCTGTGAAAAACTTTTTCAAGAAACTACACGTCGTGATACAAATGGACAGTTTGTGGTCACCATACCTTTGAAGGACTCACCCGAGTGCTTAGGTGACTCTTACGCGCTGGCCAAGCGTCGCTTTCTTTCCCTCGAGCGTAGGTTTGAGCGAGACCCAACATATAAACAAAGATATTTACATTTCATGCAAGAATACATTGACCTTAATCATATGACAGAACATTCAAACACAGACAGAACACATATTTATTTTGTGCCTCATCACGGTGTCATTCGCGAGTCGAGTACAACTACAAAACTTCGAGTAGTTTACGACGCTTCAGCCTCTAGCACCTCGGGCAAGTCCTTCAATGATATCCAGATGGTAGGTCCGACAGTACAAGAAGATTTACTGTCTATTCTTTTGAGATACAGGCAACATCTATATGTTATTACGGGCGACATTGAAAAATTTTATAGAGCAGTGTTAGTCGAACCATCGCAACGCCCTTTACAACAGATTCTCTTTAGATTCAATGATTCAGATCCGTTGAAGAAATACACACTAAACACATTGACTTACGGGACTTCTTCAGCTCCTTATTTAGCCACCAAATGCTTGGTGTCTCTGTCAAATGAGTGTCCAGACCCAGGGGTTAGTCAGTCTATCAGTCGTGACTTTTACGTTGATGATTACTTGAGTGGCGGTGACTCAATTGAGTCAGTCATCAATCTTTGCCAAGGTGTAGTCAGTACACTCGAGTCAGCAAAGTTTCACCTCCGTAAATTTCAATCAAATAGTCCTAAAATATTACAATCAGTCACAAAATTCAATTCAGAAAATAACAATAAAACTTTAAACTTAGACCATACTCCTAATAAAACACTTGGGCTATATTGGGACTCTAAATCAGACATACTTTTCTTTTCCATAACATTAAAACCCATTTCTAAAATAACTAAGCGCAATATATTATCTTTAGTAAGTCAGGTATTTGATCCTCTTGGCCTCGTTGGGCCATGCATCGTTCAAGCCAAACTTATTTTACAGCAACTGTGGTTATTAAAATGCAACTGGGATGATGAAGTACCGACTGAAATAAAAACACAGTTTCTTGAGTTCATACAATCACTTTCAGCTCTCAATTCTCTTCAAATTCCTCGTTGCATTAGGACACATTCTACTGATAAAACTTATTTTGAACTGCACACCTTCACAGACGCTTCGGAACGTGCTTATGGTGCGTGCACGTATGTGAGGATGGTTGCACTCGACGGAACCGTTTGCGTTCGCCTGTTAGCCTCTAAAAGCAAGGTTGCTCCCATAAAACCCACTACCATACCACGTTTGGAGTTGTGCGGTGCGTTGCTAGGCGCACGACTTTATCAAAAGGTACGCAAATCACTCACTCTAGAATTCAATGAATGTTTTTTCTGGTGTGATTCAACGATCGTGTTGGGTTGGCTGACTACATTGCCGAGTCGACTCGATCAATTTGTCCGCAACCGAGTGAGTGAGATTCAAGAAACTACGGGTAACCATACATGGAACTATGTGCCTTCAAAGAGCAACCCCGCTGATCTTGCATCTCGGGGGGTGAAGGCTGATTGCATCAGTTCGTCCACTCTTTGGTGGTCGGGCCCAGAATTCTTGAATCAAAAAGAAATACAATTTCCCACGTCACCCAACACACAGAAACAACCATTACCTGAAACTAGTTTACATACCGTTACTAAACAAAACAAACAATACAAAAATAATCTAATTTCTAATTTAATACACACAAAATCATCATTTACATCATTAATTAGAATTACAGCCTATATACAAAGATTTATTAACAATTGCAAAAAACATAATCACAAAAAATCATCTCATCTAACATATTCAGAATTACAATCATCACAGAACCTTATAATACATATTTCTCAGCAGGAAATGTTCCCTGATGAATACGAGAGTCTTAAAACTAATCAGACCTTACACAAAAAGAATCGATTGATTAGTCTTTCACCTTTCATCGATTCAGACAACTTAATACGCGTCGGTGGACGTCTTAAAAACTCACACTATAGCTACGACCTAAAACATCCTATTCTTATATGTAGTAAACATGCCTTAACAAAACTCATTTTCGAAAAGGAACACAAAACACTTTTTCATGCAGGGCCTCAACTACTTCTGTCACACATTAGACTTACCTATTGGCCTTTAGCTGGCAGAAACTTAGCTAAACAGATAGTGCGTAACTGTGTTCGTTGTACTCGTTTTAAAGCTCAACCTGTTCAGGTTGTCATGGGTAACTTACCAAGAGATAGGACGCAACTCGAGTATCCTTTTTTGAATACAGGGCTAGATTACGCCGGGCCAGTGTTGATAGCCGACCGCAAGGGTAGAGGATGTAAGCTTATAAAATCTTATATTTGTGTTTTTGTCTGCTTTGCAGTCAGAGCCGTGCATCTGGAGCTTGTCACTGACCTCACCAAGGAAGCTTTCCTTGCGGCCTTCAGCCGATTCATAAGTCGTCGTGGTCTACCTCAGCGAGTCTATTCCGACAACGGCACTACTTTCGTGGGAGCTTTCAACGAACTTTCACGCTTCTTAAAGGCTTCGTCTAATGACATAGCGTCAGAGGTGGCAAACAAGGGCATTGAGTTTCGCTTTATTCCTGCCTATTCCCCACATTTTGGTGGTATTTGGGAGGCAGCAGTTAAATCCACCAAGTATTTATTACGTCGCGTCATGAGCTTAACTCATTTAACATATGAAGAGCTCTCAACGTGTCTGTATCAGATAGAGGCCATTTTAAACTCCAGACCCTTAACTCCTCTATCCACTGATCCATCTGACCTTTCATATCTTTCCCCTTCTCATTTCCTGATCGGGCGACCACTCACTTCAGTACCTCGTCCTGAATTCACCGACCGCAATATCCAGAGCCTTCATCGCTTTCATCGCATAGAAAAACTGCGACAACATTTTTGGCAGCGGTTTGCTAATGAATACGTGTCTCTTCTGCAGCAGAAAACCAAATGGCAGACAGCTGGTCAAGACCTGAAGATAGGCACCATGGTCCTAATAAGAGATGCTAATCTCCCTCCTCTCCTGTGGATGCTGGGCAGAGTGATCGCCGTGAAACCAGGATCAGATGGACACAACAGAGTCGCCGAGATCTTGACGAAGAAGGGCACCATTACACGTGCATACAATAATATTTGCCCTCTTCCAGTCTCGTCATCATCACCAACATCTTGAAGCCTTCATACGCTTCAACCCGGGGAATATGTTCCGGACCTTCACATCGTGCCGGCCTGAGACACCGTGTCATCGTGCGTCATCGTGCGCCCCACCAGCGCTAGGCCCTCGACCATACGCCGCGCGCCGGACCCCGCCACTCTCGCTCACCGACCATTACTGTGCGCACATATCGGCCATACTCCTTTGTGAATAATACAGTCTTTATATCGAAAATAGGGGTTTTATTTAGTTGAGACCACCAGCAGCACAACTGGAGCTCAACACCCCAACAATACTTTTCTATAAAATTTGTATGAAACACTGAGTTATGACGTCATAGTATTTTTGCGTGAAATAGCTTACTTATTTCTTAAAAAAATCCAAAAAGGTATCTAAAACTTAGTGTATTGAATAATCGATCGATGAATAGTTATTTTTCAATATGTTATTGTATTGAAACGTCGAATTAATTTATTTTTGACCCAGGAAACTATGCAATTGTATTCAAGTGCATTTATGATATTATGTCTGCGTTGAGTACGTAATTGATAACATTAGCTGTTTCGTTTTTTCTTGTTGCATTTATCATACTATCCTTTTTCTATAATTTTAACTTGTAGTGATATGAACACATTTTTCGTGCTGTTACGGGAGTCCTTTTAGGATACTTTTTAAAAAAGGTTTTTTAACACAAATTAATTGGTTTATTAATTAAAAGGACAATAGTAACAAATAATATTATGGACTATAGTGATTACGGACAATAGACGACCGTTCCGTGAGGAGATGTTTCTCAGACTGGCAGGCAATCTTTACATTGGATGTGTTTACTGACGTTGCATTAAATTATCGTAATGATGACGTAACACGGTCTCAGCATAAACCCTTACATGTCGGGGATGTAACAGTGCGTTTTGTGAGCGCATAATATAATTATCTGTGTTAATATAATATCATTAATTCTGACCTTAACGTTGAACCGGGAGCTGAACTTGTGGTAGACGTCAGCGAAGACAATGTCGGCCAGAGCGTCGTTGGGCAGCAGGTAGACGGCGCGGCCGGCGCCGGGGGCGGCGCCCCCCAGCAGCCGGAGCAGCGCCAGCTCCGCGAGGACAGACTTCCCTGCCCCCGCCGGAGCGCCCACGAACACGTTCTCGTCAGAGTTGTATACAGCGTTGAATACCTAATATTATAAACAAACTTTTACTTAATGACGGATTAAATAACAGACGGATCACCTTTTTTTTTCAGATAAACGTTCCCAACATTTAGGTTTTTGTCCTGTATCGTGGGTGCGTTTACATACACATTACACCCAGACACGAAACAACAATTTATGAATCACACAAAGTATTGTTCCGTGAGGGAATCGAACCCGCGACACGTTGAGCAGCAGCCAGTTGTCTAGCCACAACACCAATGCACGATTAAGCAAAAGCAACGCAAGTCTGTGATTTATTGATCATTAATAACATTTATTGATTGAGTTTCAATTAAACTAAATGATGACAATATTTTTTTATAGAGTTAGAACATACCAAACAGAATATGATGTGTTTATAATTACTTATCGAAGAGAGTTATACAAAAATGGGGAGAGCCATGCTTCGGCACGAATGGGTCGGCTCGACCGGAGTGATACCACGGCCTCACAGAAAACCGGCGTGAAACAACCACAGCGTTGTGTTTCGCCGTGTGAGTGAGGTTACCGGAGGCCCAATCCTTTCCTTCCCCGAATCCCTCCCCATTCCCAAACTCTCCGAATCTCCTAATCCCCAAATTGTCGGCAACACACTCGTAACTCCGCCGTTGCGGTTGTCCATGGGCGGCGCTGATTGCTTACCATCAGGTAATCCGTAGGCTCGTTTGCTGACTGATATTACTTAAAAGAATTGGTTCGATTTGGTTGGAATTTGGTATGTAGATTGGTGATACCCTGTTTTTATCAACCCACCAAGCAGGCGAAGCTAAAGACGTTACAATAACAAAAATATCCTACCTGAGTTTGCACCGGATTGAATTGTGGGAAGGTATCATTGTATAGCTCTTCAAACTTGGGGTTCCGCAATGCAGATATTGGGAGTGGCTGCAGGTCCAGGAGCTCGGTGGGGGGGAGGTTCTTTTCGGGGAGGATCAGGTGGCGGAACGACACAGGTAGCTGGGTCTCCGCTGCTATCCATCTGTAAGTAAACCAAACATTATAACTTTAGTGAGACATTCTAAATAAGCGCGTCGCGGAATGCTGCTCATGAATATGGGCCTATAGCATGGCTTGAAACTAGTCGAGTATCTCGTCAAATTATTACGTGAGTAAGCCAAAAACATTATAATTAAACCAAATATGTTTGTTATGGGGGAAAATGGATATTGAAGTGGGAGAGCCATGCTTCGGCACGAATGTGTGAAAGGCCTCACAGAAAAGCGGCGTGAAACCACGCTTGCATTGTGTATATAAATATTTGTTTACCTATCAGAAACGACCCGCAAGAAGTACTGCGGCGGCAGAGGCTCGAAAACAGGCACGAACAGCTTGACATGATGCTCATCCTTGCAGTACTTCTCCTTCAGCAGGAAGTACTCGTGGTGGAGCACCACCTCAGAGTCCACATCCTCCACCAGGATCCAGAACGCTTCTGATTGCCCGTGAATCTGATACGAAAAGAAAAAATATAAATAATTAGATACAATCGGACGTTTTCATTCTCTACTCGGCTCCTTTTGATTGAGCGTGATGTTTTGTAGCCTATAGCACTCAGGAACATTGTAGCTATCTATCAGTGAAAGAATTTTGGCAATCCGACCAGCGGTTCCAAAGATACAAACTTATAAATAAAATATAAGTAAGTATAGATATCTTGAGATTAGATAGATTAAACCACTTTCTTATAAGGGGAAAATCATCAAATGACTTTTCTCACCCAGGGTGAGGCGAGAGGGAGTGTCAGACTCTTACTGACTATAAACCCTCCCCGTTCCTTCTCCTGCTCCAGGCCCAGGGTGCGGTGCCAAAGATCGTGGCTTGAAACTAATCTAGCTACATCTATACTAATATTATAAAGAGGTGAAATTTGTAAGTTTGTATGTAGGAGGTAATCATCGCTGGTCGGATTGCCAAAATTCTTTCACTGATAGATAGCTACAATGCTCCTGAGTGCTATAGGCTATAAAACATCACGCGGCAATCAAATGGAGCCGAGCAGCGGGTGAAACCGCGCGAGAGTAGCTAGTTATTAAATATATCTAATTTAGTGCCTGAGTTATTGTTTTACAAACAGCACAATTTTTGAGAGTCAAAACTTCCCCTACTCAAATTCATCCCCAATCCCAAAATCTCCAAATCCCTAATCCGCAAAAGGTCGGTAACGCCCACGGTTACTCCTCCGTTGGTGAAGCAGTCAATGGCCGGCGCTGAATGCTTACCATCAGGTAATCCGTCTGCCGTAGTATCACATAAAAAAGACCCCTAACAAGGCTTGACACTATTGTAGAAAAATTATTAATAATTCACACGAATAAGCTGTTATGTCTAAAACTTTATGATAGTGCTCTCTAATTAAAGAAAATTACATTACATCCCACATGGGTATAATACACCCACGGGAAGAGTGACGGTGGATAAATATAATAAAACTTGTAACATACCTTCTCGTCCCAATGGAAATCAGGAGTGATGGTCAGCTCGACCCTCAACGTGGACCTGGTTATCGGCTGTATATGGGTGGCCAGCTCCAACTTGGGGAACTGGTGTACGTACTTGTGTATCATTTTACCTAACTTCGGAGCCCTGACGAGCTCGCCTATCTCGTTTGGCCCGAGCTCATAGAGTTTCTCCCACGGAAAGTTTTTCTTTTCAAGTTTTTTTATTACCTGTGAATGAAAAGAGTAAATAGTTAAATGTTGGAGAGCTCTGCTTCGGCACGAATGGGTCGGCTCGACCGGAGTGATACCACGGGCACACAGAATACCGACGTGAAATATACTGTGTTTCGCCGTGTGAGTGAGGTTGCCAGAGGCCCAATCTCTGCCCAATCTCAAAATCTCCAAATCCCCAATCCCCAAAAAGTCGGCAACGCACTCGTAACTCCTCTATGTTGTTGCGGTCGTCCATGGACGGCGCTGATTGCTTAGTTACCATCAGGTAAATCAGTCTGCTCGTTTGCCGACCTATACCACAAAAAAAAAGGTTGCCCAATCCCAAAATCTCCAAATCCCTAATCCCCAAAAGGTCGGAAACACACATGTGCATATACACGATTGCATAGGAGTGGGATTGCATCATGCAACAAGCCTGGATTTTTGATGTTTTTGAATTAAAACTAAATATTTTTCCTAACATTTAACATAAAAAAAATGTTATCTTAAAAATTACTCACTTCCTCCGGCATCTTCCTGAACTGGCGCAATGGCGACATTGACTGCCACATCCGTCTGTCGACCATCTTGCAGAGGGCCAGCGTCTTGTCAACTAGCTGGGCCCAACCTGGACGTAATTAAACAAAACATATTTTATATGTATGACGATATAATTCAGAATACTAAGTTCGAAATACTCCAAATTGCTCGCTCAAAAACTATACTCGGAATTTTAATTCCATTCCTGATTTGACAATTTCAGTGTTGCAACGTTATGACACGTAATAAATAGTGACGTTGCCAAATTATTCGATTTGGAAATCGAATATTTTCGGATCGATTCCTCTCGTAAACAAAGTATATCAGGAAATTAAATATTTCAGAACCGATAATTTAGTTTTGACAATTAATTAACGATCTGAGACTTTTTTTTAAATTGTGTGTGAAATAAATAAAAAAATGTGACAAATAAAACAGATTTGTCACAGTCCTGTTTTATTTTATAATACTAATCTGTTAAGAAGTTTTTATTCGCTATTCTGCTAGTCTAACTAATTGTAATCTGTTATAGGGCACTCACATTTACAAATTCATCAAGTTTGACAACAAAAATGGCATGCTTACAATTTTACTAAATACTAAAAAGTCCCGTTCAAGCAAAGATCCACTGGAACATTATTTATTTTCGTGTAGGTAGGTATCCTGTGGAGCAGGACCAGCGTATCTCCAAGCATCACAAGTTCACTTTACTTTCAAAAATCTCGGACTAAAGCAAAAAACCAAAGCGATTGTTTATCGATTTTGTGTTCATCACTACACCATTATAATGTGGTATCATTATTTATTTTCACAAAATAACAGTATTTAATGTCAAATGTGGAATCGAATTAAAATTCTGTCTATAGACAATCGCAATATTTTTGACAACGGCTCATTGTTTCGCTGTGTGAGTGAGGTTACCGGATGCCCCATACCTCCCCCTCCCCCTCCCCCTATCCTTTCCCAATCCAAACCAAAGGGGTTCTTTTTCATCAAATGACTTCTCCCGCCCAGGGCAGGGCGGGAGAGAGTGTCAGACTCTTACTGACTAAAAACCCCCCTGTTCCTTCTCCTGCTCTGGGCCGAGGTCGCGGTGTCTCATTGCGCTTACCCACCACCCCGGCTGAGCATGAGCCCTATAGGCCCCCGTCTATGGTGGTCTATTGGGTCTTTGCGTCGCGCGCGGAACGCTACGCGCCGTACGCTCGGGCGGCGAGCTGTCCGCAGACCCGCGCTAGATGGCCGGAGATCATCTAAACCAAAGATGGTTGGTGCTGGTGTTCCAAACTTTCAACATACCTCTATGGAGTACGATCTCGAAGATAGCCCTGAGCAGCCTACAGGCGGACTGGGTGACATAGACCATGTCTGCCATCAGGGCGAACCCTTCCAGCTTCAGCTGCGAGATGTACGCTTGTAGTAGCACGTTGATCTTAGCTGAGGGTTCTTCAATGCTCTCCTTTATAGGAATCGGTACCTGGTATTAACAGTAAAAAGTACTTATTACTGGATATCGTGGTAATGTAATACAGACTGGCTTCTTTGTAAACTTTAAGAAAGGGTAATAAATAGGTGTGGTAAATTGTAGTGGTGGCCCGGAGGTTAAGGAGCCCGCTTCTCATGCATGAAGGTTCGAAACCTGGCAGGTAGGTATGTGACTTTTGCCGAGTTATATGTACTTTCTATGATTATTTAGACACCACTGACATACGGTGAAGGTAAACATCGTGAGGAAACTTGGACTTTATAATTTCTAATTATAAGTTCTAAATCGCCAACCCGCATTGAGCAAGCGTGGTGATCAATGCTCTAACCTTCTCCGTATGAGAAGAGGCCTTTGCTCAGCAGTGGACACTTATAGGCTGATGATGAATAAATAGGATAAAACTAATTGTCAAGACAGAAAGAATGATATATTAATAATTGACTGGTTGGTGCAGTGGCTTGACAACTAGTTGCAGTGCAACGTATCGCGGGTTCGACATTCCCGCACGCAACAACTCATTGTGTGATCCACAAATTGTTGTTTCGTGTCTCTATTTTACATTGCTCTACTCTAGGATTTTCTCCTGTGTCGTGGGTGCGTTTACAACCATACAATTTCACATACACATCACACCCAGACCCGGAACAACAAATTGTGGATCACAAAAGTCGTTCCGCGCGAGAATCGAAAACCGAAAAAACACGTTGCACGGTAGCCAGTTGCCCAGCCATCGCGCCAACCATGCAGTAAATACCCAAATTCAAAAAACTTAATTTCAATTAGACTTTTACAGGAACTTTTGAACGTCAAACGAAGCTTTAATCTAAAAGTGTCAGTCTGTCGGTCAGTCCTCTTAGGGCTGATTTTTCAATATTCAGATAAATGTTATCTGAGGAATAAAATTGTTGCTATCACTGTCTTATACAAACATTCTGACGCGACAGCATCATAATTGGGTAGATTCCTAGGTGAAAAATAAATTAATTCAATGTATCACTACAATAAAATATTGAAAAAATAACTATACTTTTATTCGTCGATCGATCGATACACTAACAACCAGTTTCCGAAAAGCCGATCACTGTTAAAATCAATTTAATCTCTTGTCAAGTCATCTGATCGGTTGAGTGAATTATCAACAACCAATCAGATGACTTGACAAGAGATTTAACAGGAGATTAGTTAATTTTAGCGTTGACAAGCCTTTCAGAAACCGGGGGTAAGTTTCACATATTTTGTAGCTATTTATTAAGAAATAAGTAAAACATCTGAAGCAAAAATACTATAACGTCATAACTCAGTGGTTCATACAAATTACATAGAAAAGTTTCGTTTTTGACGTTTGGATAAAAGTATTGAATTTGACTAGTTGGAAACTACCTTATTATTCCGCAGGTAACTTTTATCTAACCATTGAAAAATTAGCCCAAAGTGTAGTTAACACTCATTATTTAAATGACTGACTGCACGGTTGGCGCGGTGGCTGGGCATCTGGCTGCCGCGCAACGAGTCGCGGGTTCGATTCCCGCACGGAACAATTTTTTGTGTTATCAACAGATTGTTGTTCCGGGTCTGGGTGTGATGTGCATGTCAAATTGTATGTTTGTAAACGCACCCACGACACAGGAGAAATTCCTAATGTGGGGCAACGTTTTTTTTAACAAAAAAAAAACAAATTAAAAAATCTCACCCTCTCCATAAGCTTGCATAGCTCAAGCTTTTCCTCCTCCCTTACAGCTATATGCTTGAACTCAGCCGACAGGGAGAACACCCTGAACAGCTCAATTTCCCCAAGGGTGGGCTTCAGCAGCTGGGAGTAACATTGCATGGTCTCGTAAGTGCAGTAAAAATGGCTCGCTATACGGCCCAACTCCGTCGGCTGGAAGTGGCCGGACTTACGCTCGTAGCGGATGAGGCCGGCTCTGGGAAATTAAGGAATAATTTTTAAAAAAAGTCAATTAAAAGTCAATTAATGAATGTGAAGCGGGCGCCTTAACCTCTGGGCCACCACGAAAACCTTCTAAGTAATTTTAGTAATGTTTACTGGATATTGTTTGACAAGGGCACGGATCCCGAGTCCGTGGACATTGTAAATCATCAATATAAAAAATAAAAAATCTCCTTATTCCTTGTCCAGCTCAGGAACAAGGATGCGGTACATTAACACCCGGTTTCTAAAAGGCTTGTCAACGCTAAAATTAACTAATCTCCTGTTAAATCTCTTGTCAAGTCATCTGATTGGTTGTTGATAATTGATTATAAATTTTATAATAGGACCTTCGTCGTCATAGATGACAAGTTTATGTAATGTTTCGTTTTTCTGTCGCTTGACGTGCCGTCGTTATTGTTTTGTAATGTTGTCAATATTTTCTTGGCTAAAGAAAATAATAAAAAAATCTTACTTAATTGGACGTATTAATTAAAATAACCTCAATCCCACATCAGTCAACCTATCAGATGACTTGACATGAGATTAAATTGATTTTAACATTGATCGGCCATTCGGAAACCGGGTGCTAGACGCGGTACGGAAAAAATAAGAGAAATACTAAATAAACTTACTTATCCAAAAGACTAGCGGCAGTATGCACTAGATCAGCTCTATGCAGCTCCAGGAGAGAATCTTCCTGGAACTTCTCCTGGGAGATGCCGTATAGGGCCGGCTGACGCAGCATTCTGATGTACAGGTAAGTGTAGCCTGAAATATCATTACATAGTAAAAAATAAAGTCGCATTCTCTGTCCCTATATCCCTATGTATGCCTAAATCTTTAAAACTAGGAAACGGATTTTGATGCGGGTCTTTTAATAGATAGAGTGATTGAAGAGGAAGCTTTATTTAATAGAAAAAAATCTGAGGTGATTAAGGTATACAAATTTTCAGCTCAATGAAGCTTAATAAAGGTATCTGCTACAAATTTTATTGGAAGATTCCATTCACAAAAAAATACATTTGAAGAGCCTTGCCTTACTCAGTACATCCTCAGACCCTTTGTACAGAAAGGCCGGTAACGCACTTGAAACTCCTTTGGTGCCACGGATGTCCATGGGTGACGCTGATTGCTTACCATCAGGTAATCTGTCTGCTAGTTTAAGTGTGGGAGAGCCATGCTTCGGCACGAATTGATCGGCTAGCATGGAGCGATACTACAGGCCTTACAGAAAACTAGCGTGAAACAACCACAGCGTTGTTTCGCCGTGTAACCTAATCCTTTCGCTCCCCCCATCTATACCCAAATCCCTAATCCCCAAACGCCGGCAACGCAGTTACAACTCCTTTACAATTGCGGGTATCCATGGACGACACCGATTGCTTACCATCAGATAATCCGTATTAACACAAAGAAAAATCTTATAACAAATAAAATCAGCTCATGATATAGAGTACATACCCAACCAGGTGACAGCATCCCTGACGCTCTGAACGGATCCAAGAACTATCTCAGCGTTGAGCATATCAGGGAGCTTGCTGACCAGCTGAGATTCGATGGGAAGCTGCTGGTTCAGGAGGGACAGGTAGTACTGGAGCTCCGAGTGATTCGTTATCAGGATACCTGAGGGAATAACATTATAGCTATAGAGAGGGAACAATGTATTCTTCTGTGTTTGAGCACATGAGTGACAGAGGGAACAATGTATTCTTCTGTGTTTGAGCACGCGAGTGACAGAGAGAACAATGTATTATTCTGTGTTTGTGCACGCGAGTGACAGAGGGAACAATGTATTCTTCTGTGTTTGTACACGTGAGTGAGAGAAAGAACAATGTATTCTTCTGTGTTTGTGCACGTGAGTGAGTGAGGGAACAATGTATTCTTCTGTGTTTGTGCACGTGAGTGAGTGCGGGAACAATGTATTCTTCTGTGTTTGAGCACGTGACGTGAGTGAGGGAACAATGTATTCTTCTGTGTTTGAGCACGTGAGTGAGTGAGGGAACAAAGTGTTCTTCTGTGTTTGTGCACGTGAGTGAGTGAGGGAACAATGTATTCTTCTGTGTTTGAGCACGTGAGTGAGTGAGGGAACAATGTATTCTTCTGTGTTTGTCCACGTGAGTGAGAGAGGGAACAAAGTGTTCTTCTGTGTTTGTGCACGTGAGTGAGTGAGGGAGGGAACAATGTATTCTTCTGTGTTTGTGCACGTGAGTGAGAGAGGGAACAATGTATTCTTCTGTGTTTGTGCACGTGAGTGAGTGAGGGAACAATGTATTCTTCTGTGTTTGTTCACGTGAGTGAGTGAGGGAACAATGTATTCTTCTGTGTTTGTGCACGTGAGTGAGTGCGGGAACAATGTATTCTTCTGTGTTTGTGCACGTGAGTGAGTGCGGGAACAATGTATTCTTCTGTGTTTGAGCACGTGACGTGAGTGAGGGAACAATGTGTTCTTCTGTGTTTGTCCACGTGAGTGAGAGAGGGAACAAAGTGTTCTTCTGTGTTTGTGCACGTGAGTGAGTGAGGGAGGGAACAATGTATTCTTCTGTGTTTGTGCACGTGAGTGAGAGAGGGAACAATGTATTCTTCTGTGTTTGTGCACGTGAGTGAGTGAGGGAACAATGTATTCTTCTGTGTTTGTTCACGTGAGTGAGTGAGGGAACAAAGTGTTCTTCTGTGTTTGTGCACAGTCAGGAAACTGAGAAAGCCCCTGTGTTTGTGCACTTAAGTGAGAGAACTGATAGTGCTTCTGTATTTGTGCACTTAACGCAGTGAGTGAGAGTTTATTGGCACAATGGAGGAACAGAGAAAGCATCTATTTTATTTGGTTCATAAAAGCTAGGTGAGGGAAAGTACTAAGTAAGTAATATACCCTCTCCCTTGGTGTCGTACTGCGGGCGTCCGGCGCGGCCCAGCATCTGTAGCACGTCGAGCGCACCCAGCTCAGCCCAGCGCCCCCTCTCGGGGGAGTACACCTGGGTGCCCTTCACTATGACCGTGTGAGCTGGCAGGTTCACGCCCCAAGCTAACGTCGCCGTTGATACTAGAACCTGTAAGATAGAATTATATCAGGAGAGTTATATTAGAGTTAGGTTCGGCATACGAGCTGAGGATTACCTGATGGTAAGCAAATCAGCGGTCGTAACAACACCGCGGCCTTTTTGGGGATAAGGGATTGAAGATTGCCCCTCACAAAGCGAAACACAACTCTATAGTTGTTTCACGCCGGTTTTCTGTGAGGCCGTGTTATCGCTCCGGTCGAGCCGACCCATTCGTGCCGAAGCTTGGCTCTCCCAAACTTATTCACAATTGAAAGACCCTGATTCCCATAGCAGGAAACGCGCTCGCAACTCTTGGTTGCTTACCATCAGATAATCCGTCTGCTCTAATTATTTATTAGGATCTCCTACAAAGAAAACGCATTACATGCCTAATATAAAAAAATACAATTTTAAAAGTCGTGTGCTTCTCCATTTATGGGAGACCACATTATTAAAAAAAAAATCCCAACCCCTCCCCATTCCCAAAATGTCCAAATCCCTAATCCCCAAAAGGTCGGCAACGCACTCGTAACTCCTCCGTCATTATAGGTGTCCATGGGCAGCGCTGATTGCTTACCACCAGGTAATCAGTTCGTTTGTCGACCAATCGCATAAAAAAATATTAAAACAGAATAAGATTGAAATCAAATTAAACATTATGCAATCTATCTCCTAATACCATAAAGAAACTAACTTCAACATAGTTTTAAAAACTTTATACCTGACTAATATTATAAATGGGAAAGTAACTCTGTCTGTCTGTCTTTTCTTCACTCCTAAACTAATATACCGCTTTCTATGTAATTTGGTACAGACATAGTTCGGAACTCGAGAAAGGACATAGGATAATTTTTAAACCAAAAATCTGCATAAAGTCACTATTCCACGCGAACAAAGTCGAGGGCATAAACAAGTACCTGAATATGTCTATCAGCGAACAGATCTTCGACCAAGGTCCTGTCGACCCTGCTCATGCCGGCGTGATGGATCGCGAATCCATACGGCAGTAGCTCACGAAGTTCCGGGTTCTTCACCTGTTCCGCTTCAGTACGGAGTACCTCCATGCTCGCTGAGCCCTCCCTGTGGGAAATTTAATGTAAAAAATCGAAAGTTTTTTTTATAATTTATAGAATCAGGCGTTACTTTGCGGAAATCCATGACATTAAATATTAGGAAAAATATGCGTTGAAGCTGCGCTTCGCAGCCGAGCGCTCGTCGAGTCAACATCTCCTGAGGATGCCCTGTGGGTCCATGGGCGGCGTTGATTGCTTACCATTAGGTAATCCGGCCGCATGTACAAAATACTATTTTGCTCAATACTCAATACTTTATTGCTTTCCACGTGTATTCTTAGGTGGTAGTACTTATAAATAGTTCACATGGACCCTGTCGGGCACAGCAAAGTAAGTGGGATAGGAGAGAGGAAGCTCTTATCGGCTTTGTTACTTATTTTTGTTGACTAAGACTAAGGTTATATAGGCAAGTAAGTTATATATATTTATGTTTGAAAGTTTTTTTTTTATTATTTATTGAATCACTTAATCTACACTGTAAGTGTGTGATCATATTTTTTTTAAATATAGATTTTGATCATTTATTTTTTTAACATCTAGTTCTTCAACCAATGCAGAGTTTATGGACGGATGGATGTATGTATGGAACTTACCTGAGGAACTGTCCAAGAGTATCTTTTTCTAAGCACATGTCCCGTATAGCGCGCGCCGTCTTCCCAGTCTCCTTACGCGAGTGGACAAATACTAAGATCTATAACAAAAGAAACATTTTACAATTATTATCTATACTAATATTATAAAGAGGTAAAATTTGTAAGTTTGTATGTAGGGGGTAATCTTTAGAACCGCTGGTCGGATTGCCAACATTCTTTCACTGATAGATAGAAGCTACAATGTTCCTGAGTGCTATAGGCTATAAAACATCACGCTTTGATTGCGATTGAATGGCGCCGAGCAGCGGGTGAAACCTCGCGAGAGTAGCTAGTATAATAATAAATTGACTTCAGGCCCTCGTACGCCTCCCAAATGGGCAGGACCCTGTGGTTCCGTGATCCTCTTATCTGTCGATATATGAGTGACAATATAAAAAAACCTAATTATGGTTTTGCTCCTAATGTCTTGGGATTTTAGAGATATGAGACAACAGGGTGGAAAGTTCCTCATCCTCTATTGAACAGGGAGGATCCTCCGACCAGACGGGTGTTATGTTTGGTGGGCTACTGCCCGACGGTTTTTTGTATTGTTTCTAATTGCGTTGAGAACTCCTATAAACGATGTAGAATCTTGCACGTGATTGGTGCTGTTGTTAATGTAGGGCAATAGATGTCGCTACAGGATAAAAAAGTAGGATTTTTTTTGAGTTATACTTCGGCACTCACGTGTCGACTCGACCGGAGTGATACCACGGCTTCACAGAAAACCGGCGTGAAACAACCAGAGCGTTGTGTTTCGCCGTGTGAGTAAGGTTAACAGAAGTTCAATCCCTCCCCTCTCCCCATCAATTCCCAATCCTTAAATATCCAAAACCCTTATCCTCAAAAGGCCGGCAACGTACCCGTAACTCTTTTGGAGTTTCGGGTGTCCACGGACGGTGCCGATTGCTTACCATCAGGTAATCCATCTGCTCGTTTGCCGTTTAGTAACATAAAAAACTGCATTTTTTTCTGTCAGAGATCCAATCTTCGGCGCGAATGGGCTGTCACAGAATACCTTTTCTTTTCTTTTATCTTTTGAGTAGGGAAAATCATCGAATGACTTCTCCCGCCCAGGGTAAGGCGCGAGAGAGAGTCAGACTCTTACACCCGGTTTCTAAAAGGCTTGTCAACGCTAAAATTAACTAATCTCCTGTTAAATCTCTTGTCAAGTCATCAGATTGGTTGTTGATAATTCAGTCAACCAATCAGATGACTTGACAAGAGATTAAATTGACCGGTCTTTAACCGGGTTTTAACATTGATCGGTCTTTCGGAAACCGGGGGTTACTGACTAAAAACCATGACAGTCAACATACCTGATTCCTGCCAGCATGTTCCATAGTCTTTTCGTAGACTATGTCGTTCATAACTTGGAACCGCTTCAGTGCTTTCTTTTCAGTAACACCTATGTATTGCTGTTCAAGGGCTACGGGCCTGAAAATTGTGAAAAAAATACATTAATGACTGAACAGTTGGCACGGTGGCTGGGCAACTGGCTGCCGCGCGTTCGAATGCCGCATGGAACAACTCTTTCTGTAATCCACAGATTGTTGTTCCGGGTCTGGGTGTGTTGCGCATGTGAAATTATATGGTTCTAAACGCACCCAGGACACAGAAGAAAATCCTAGTGTGGGGTTAACAACAAACACCAACTAGTAGCAGCGCGACAGTCGCCGAGTCGCGTGTCGCGGAATGCTGCTCATAAATATGGGCCTCTAGCATGGCTTGAAACTAGTCGAGTATCTCGTCAAATTATTACGGGAGTAAGCCAAAAACATACCTAATAATTAATTAACAAACAACAACGTTTAAAAAAAAAGATTTTCGATTTTGAGGTTCGGTTGGAGAGCCATGCTTCGGCACGAATGGGTCGGCTCGATCGGAGTGATACCACGGCCTCACAGAAAACCGGCTTACCGGTTACCGGAGGACAAATCTTTCCCCTCCCCCATTACCTAAATTTTCAAATCCCTAATCCACCACGTAGCATGGGCAGCGCTGATTGCTTATTATCCGATAGCTGGTTTGCCGTCCTATCGAATAGATAAAAAGATAGTTTTATTATAAGTGGGTAATTAACATAACTGATGTCGTGGTGGCCCGGAGGTTGAGCGCTTCTCATGCATGAGGGTGTGAGTTCGAAACCTGGCAAGTAACAATGTGACTTTTTCCGAGTTATATGTACTTTCTATGATTATTTAGACACCACTGACATACGGTGAAGGTAAACATCGTGAGGAAACCTGGACTTATAACTTCTAATTATAGTTTGAAATCGCCAACCCGCATTGAGCAAGCGTGGTGATCAATGCTCTCTCAACTTTCTCGGTATGAGAAGAGGCCTTTGCTCAGCAGTGGGCACTTATAGGCTGATGATGATGATGATGATGATGATGATGATGATGATGAATTAACATACCTGAATGAGTTATCGAAATAGAAGAGGCCATGTTCCGGCTTGACTCGGAGGAAGGCGGCGACATCTGTGTAGTTAGGTAGCGTAGCTGACAGGCCTACGAGGCGTACCTGCGATTATAAAGGGCCAAAATTACACAGTGTAATAGCACATAAGGACAGAAACTAGGCCCATAAGGATCAGTTAACGTCGCGTAGGTACCCAACCTAAAAAAAACCTAATAAGAGGTTTTTTTTTATGAGGGGAAAATCATCAAATGACTTCTCCCTCCCGCCCAGGGCAGGGCGGGAGGGAGTGTCAGACTCTTACTTACTAAAACCCCCCCGTTCCTTCTCCTGCTCTGTGCCGAGGTCGCGGTGCCTTATTGCGCTTACCCCTCCACCCCGGCTGTACATGAGCTCTATAGGGCCCCGTCTGTGGTGGTCTATTGACTCTTTGCGTCGCGCGCGGAACGCTACGCGCCGTACGCTCGGGCCTGGTTCTGGTCGGGCGACGAGCTACCCTTACTCGCCGACCGCAGACCCGCGCTTACAGTAGCCAGAGATCGTCCGTCCAAAGCCATGGTGTCTCAAGCCACTGCTATCACAGCGTGGCTAAAATCATCATGGATCTAGAGTCAGGCCTTACCTCTTCCTGGGTCTGTTCGACGGTGCGAAGTGTCCTGGCAACGAGTGCCTCGAGTACAGGCCCTCGCTCGTCGTGCAGCAGGTGGACCTCGTCGATGATGATCAGACGCACCAGGTTCGTGAACGAGCGCTCGCCACCTGAAGGTGATGTAGAAAGAATTAGGAAGTTTCCTAAGTCAAACATAAATTAATTTGACGTTTCAATATAATAAAATATTGAAAAATAACTATACTACTTTTATTCATCGATCGATAGATACACTAAGTTTTAGATATTTTGCAGCTAATATTAAGAAATAAATAAGCTATGTGACGCAAAAATACTATGACGTCATAACTCAGTTTTTCATACAAATTTCATAGAAAAGTATAGTTTTTGACATTTGGATAAAAGTATTGAATTTGACTAGTTGCAAACTACCGTATTGTTATCAAATCATTTTTATTTCACCCTTAGTGTTAGTACATACTAAACTTTTTGTCTTGTGTTAGTTATTAACAAGTGGAAGGAAGAGGTAACTTGAAGGCCATCCTTTTTTCCCCCGCCCTACCCATACTCGATCCTCAAATCTCTTACGCCTAAATCCCTTATAGCTTGCAGTTCAATTTAAAACTTTTTGAAATAATAAAGTGTGGGAGAGCCATGCTTCTGCACGAATGGGTCGGCTCGACCGGACTGATACCACGGCCTCACAGAAAACCGGCGTGAAACAGCTTTTGTTTCTTCGTGTGAGTGAGGTTACCGGAGGCCCAATCCTTCCACTCCCCAAACCCTAGATCTCCAAATTCCCTAATCCCGAAAGGTCGGCAACGCACTAACAACTCCTCTGTTATATGTGTCCATGGGCGGCGCTGACTGCTTACCATCAGGTAATCCGTCAGTTCGTTCGACAGTCTATTAAATAAAAAAATATTGAAAGCCTCGAGTGGTCAGTCACCAACAACACTTACCTTTTCTGGTGATAATATCCCACTTCTCCGGAGTGCAGACAATGAGCTGGGTGGCGTCGATCTGTTCCCGAGTGAGCTGATGGTCTCCCGTCAGCTCAGACACGCGAAGGTTGTACGCTGACAGACGCTTCGTGAAGGTACCAACCTGGGGATTAATTATTAAGTAAATTATCTATACTAATATTGTAAAGAGGTAAAATAAAACACCAACCACCTAGAGGCAGAAACCACAACAAACACTAATCCCCAACCATATCACCAAGTGTGGTGATTAGTGAAAAACCTGTCTAAACATCAAGTAATTGCTGCCGAAGATGATAAAACAAACGACTCACCATTTCCTGTACAAGTGAACGCATGGGAGCTACGTAGATCATCTTGAAATCGTGCACGTTGACGGAGCCATCATCGTTGACATGCTTGCCCAACTCCCGGAGAAGGCAAAGCAGTGCCACGTTGGTTTTACCCGCACCAGTGGGGGCACAAACTAATAGGTTTTCGTCAGTTTCTAGGGCAGCTTTGCAGATCCGGCTCTGTTGATTTGAAGATAAAGAACACAGTTAATAAAAAAACATATTTATTTATTGCAAAATCGCCAATCCTACTCTTCATGCGGTCGTGGCATACACGACTAAGAGACTCCACATTATTTTATTTATTTATTTATTTACTTCATGCACAATTTATTTGTACATAAGGCGGACTTAATGCATTGAGCATTCTCTACCAGTCGACCACATTAGACCAAGGCCTGGCAGCAGCGTACTTTGATAAACCTGAACCTTTTAGACTGTAATCTCCAATCTGACTGCCAAGCATGGAGATAAAGGTAGACCTTTTTATCAAGAGAGGGGGGGGGGGTTCATAAGCATAACGCAGTCGTGACTCCTCTGTTGCGGGTGTCCATAATCAACTTTGATTGCTTACCATCAGGTAATCCGTCTGCTCATTGGCCGATGTATTACAGAAAAAAAATGAGGCTCAATCCCAAGAATGCCGACAACGTACTGGTACTCCTCTCGTAATGGGAGTGTCCATGGGCGGCGCCGATTGCTTACCATCAGGTAATAAATTCTTATTATCTGATGGTTTGCCGACCTATCTATGCGAGAGGGAGTGTCAGACTCCTACTTCCTTCTCCTCCTCTGTGCCGAGGTCGCAGTGCCTCATTGCGCTTACCCCTCCACCCCGGCTGAACATGAGCCCTATAGGCCCCCGTCTGTGGTGGTCTATTGGGTCTTTGCGTCGCGCGCGGAACGCTACGCTCCGTACGCTCGGGCCTGGTTCTGGTCGGACGGCGAGCTACCCTTACTCACCGTCCGCAGACGCTTACGGCGGTAATACCTGTGTGGGTGTGGTTCGTTCCTCAAAAGACCACTACACAAGAACTTGCACGGTTCTCTCACATTATGTTATTTTACATTGTCTGGACTTGAAAAGAGACTGACCTCTGAGTTTGTTTCGGCATTTCTTCTCAGAGTAGTCAGATAGGAAATGCCGGCTTCATCTAGTTTTTCATATATAATTTTACGTGTAAAAGTGCCGTTTTATGGCCTATTTGCAAAAATAAATTCATTGTTTTATTATAAAATCTAACCTGTATCCTGTTTAAGGTCTTGAATCCCTCGAAGGCTGGCTGTGCATATTTGGGCAGCTTCTCAATGGGTAAGAGAGTCTCCCCCTCATCGAACGGCTTGGGCTTCAAGGCTGGCACGTGGACTTCTTCGTAACCTGATGATGAAGAGGATTTGGTAAGTAATTGGTTAAAGAATATTTTATGTAATCAGACAGTCTTGTTGGTATCTCAGGTGCTTGTTCGAAAGTATACATTCGTATGGAGAAGAAAAAGCAAGAAACTCCATTTCTTATCAGTTAAAATGTTAAGTTTATCTCATGTTTCGATATGAATGGGTCGACCGAAGCGATACCACGGCTGACCTCACAGAAAACCAAAGTGAAACAACCACAGCGTTGTATTTCGCCAAGAGACTAAAGTTAGTGGAAGCCCAATCCCAAAATCTTCTTACCCCACCACAATCGCAAAATCTCCGAAAGTCTAATTCCCAAAAGGCCCGCAATGCAATACTCTGGTGTTGAGGGTATCCATGGGTGGCGTTGATTGCTTACCAGCATGAAATATTAATTGCTGGGAGGCTTAATTATCCCGTTATAATTTTTTGAATAAATTCTCTTACACATAAACTTTAGCGTGGTGATTAATGCTCAATCCTTCTCGGCGTGAGAAGATGCATTTGCTCCGCAGTGGGCACTTATATACACATAACCTTAAGATTCTTTAAATTTTTCTCCTTCAGTCCTAGGTGGAGCGAGAGGAACTCTTACTGACTAAAAACAACCCAGTTCCCTCTATTGTTTCAAGCACCAAGGGCCCTAACAACAATGGGGATTGTTCATTTTTTTTTTAATGAGTAAATATGAAATCCATTTCGAGGAATAGGGTCACTCATGACAATTTAGCGTTTAAAATAGTAAAATATTCACGGATTATTGTTATTTATCGCTAAAAGTAAATAACCTTTATTTGACCTCTAGTGACGTCATCGTTTGGCTCTAAAGGGAGAATTCCTTTGCCATCAAATATAATACACACGCTCACACACACTTACACGACAGTTTACAACTGTCAAAAGTGTCAAGATATATAACCAATAAACATAACCTCTAAAAACATTCGATTATTCTATTTAGCGTCTAGCGAAATTACCACCAAAAAACTATGGAATATAGGAAGTGCTTCATTCCGACATGTAAAAATGACTCAAAAAATAGTCCAGACAAAATTTTTTTTTTGACATTTCTCTAACGTCAAAGAAATTTTTTAATTGAAAGGCCACAGATACGTGAATTATACAGCCAAATGATGACGTCACCGTAAGAAAGTTACTCCTAATTTTAAATAATTTATAAAAATAGAACGACTTCATAAAAATAATAATTATTCAAATTAGTTTCTTAGAATGCTCTATATTATCGAAATCTTAAATAAAAAATGAGGGTCGAAAAAATTGTTCAATGCCCATTTGTGGATCACACAAAGTATTGTTCCGTGCGGGAATCGAACCCGCGACACGTTGCACGGCAGCCAGTTGCCCAGCCACCGCACTAACCGTGCAGTCAAGATTTTATTGTAAGTTTTGATTACAAGCTTACAATAAAAAAACATAAAAAACCTTAATCACCTTTTCTCTGTTTCCTGAAAGACCCAGGCGGCAACTGGCAACGTTTGTTCGCCATGAAATGCGCCCCTGCAGCGAACATCAGCTCCTCAAGCTGCAGGACCTTACGGTTTCCTGTGACCTGGCCTGTTGAAGATGTGGACTCGGGATCTGTTTTATGACGCTTGCGGGGCGCTTCTGATGATTGTAGCGATGTCTGAAATAATAGAAACCGGAAGTTACCAACTAGTCAAATTCAATACTTTAATCCAAATGACAAAAACTATACTTTTCTATGATATTTGTATGAAACGCTGAGTTATGACGTCATAGTATTTTTCGGTCAAATAGCTTACTTATTTCTTAATAATTAGCTAAAAAATGTCTTAAACTTAATGTATCGATTGATTGTGCTGAACCAATTTTAATAATCCTTTAATTGATTGTAAAGATAGGTAGGTAGCCTCAGCGTCAACCATGTACCACCCCATGTTTTATCCAGCAAAAATGCCAAAGATTATGAGCTCCAGACAAACCTCGAAACTAGACAGGTTTCCTCGACAAATAGTGAAATTTAAGATTTATCCATCCTTACCTCATCATCACCTTTCCCAGTTTCCAGTTGAGCGAGGATCTTTTGCAGATGTGGCTGTTTGGACATCTCCTCCCTAATGGCGGCGCGTTCGCTCTCAGACTGAGATGAAGCCAGCTTCGTGCAGTACAGAACTGGTGGGAGAAAGAGAAAATAAATCACCACATAGTATAAAACAAAGTCGCTTTCTCTGTCCCTATATATGTATGCTTAAATCTTTAAAACTACACAACGGATTTTGATGCGGTTTTTATATAGTGATTGAAGAGGAAGGTTTATATAGAGGGTGTAAAAAGACACTTAACGAAGCCGTTAACTACGCATACTGCAGTTCTAACTAAGTAGCTTTACGCTAAAATTATCACTGGGAAACGACTTTTATTTAAAAGGTATCAAAAAAAACATAATTTTATTGCGCGCAATGTAAAGCAAACGGGCTTCGTGTCATTGTGTGCGAAGGTTCACAGCTTAGCATTAAAACGCTGTGATAAGTACGTAGGTCGACGTTTTACTTCGCAACAACAAAACAATTCTGTAAAATAAAAACCCTACTGAGATGCACGATGTTTTTTGTGCGGGTCTGCATTTATTTATTACGTACATTACTGTTCGTAACTTCAAATGCGTAATTTATTTAGTTAATCGAAAATTCAGGTAACGTTTGTTTGGAAAAAAGTTTTGTAATAATAATTAGAATTCGAAAGTGCAAAAAAAATATTTAAAAATGCACCTTTGACCTTCAATATCTCGAGAACCCGTGGAGTCCCAGCTATGGTCTTAAAGAAAAAAATGATCCAAATAATAGGTAGAATACGTGGCTTTCGGTTTCGTTAAGTGTCTTTTTACACCCTGTATTAAGTATAATATCATCTATTAACGCTGTGTTGCCAGCAAAACGCAAATAAAACGTACCGGAGATGCCAAACCTATATTATAACTTTTTTTTATATCATTGTCTCTTCATTCTGAGTATCTGACCTTCAAGCACTACTCACTAGAGGGCAGACGGACAAACTGACACGCTTAAAGTTAAAAGCTCTTAAAATACTTTTTTCCTTTTTGTGTTTGCTTGACGTGCTACTGTGGTCTAATTGAAATAAATGATTTTGAATTTTTGACTTTGCATGAAGCTATTCACCACCAAAAGCTTTCTCTTTCTTTTATCATCAGAAACGCTGAGAAGTTGAATTCTTTGCCGGAGTCTGTGTTCCCCGAAGGGTATAACCTGGGTGTCTTCAAGGCCCGAGTGAATAGGTTGCTTATGGGTAGACGTGCTCCATCGTAGGTCGCATCATGGCTTACCACCATTCTTGTCAAGGACAAAAAGCCTGTCCAATACGAACGTTAAGTGTGGGAGAGCCATGCTTCGGCACGAATGGGTCGGCTCGACCGGAGTGATACCACGGCCACACAGAAAACCGCCGTGAAATAACTACAGCGTTGCGTTTCGCCGTGTGAGTGAGGTTACTGGAGGCCCAATCCTTCCCCTCCCCCAATCCCCCCTCAATCCCTAAATCTCCAAATCCCCAATCCCTAAAAGGTCGGCAACGCACTCGTAACTCCTCCGTTGCGGGTGTCCATGGGCGGCGCTGATTGCTTACCGTCAGGTAATCCGACTTCTCGTTTGCCGACCTATCACAAAAAATAAAAAAAAACCGACTCACCTGTATACCTATATTTGTTCAGGAGCTTCACGAATTCGAAGCAATCGTATCCTAGCAAGAGCACCAGCCTGTTTTCCAGGTCCCTATCGTCGGCAGCCTCTCCTAACGCCGTGAGGACCTCGCTGGACTTGGCTTGGGAGACCATGGCGTCAGGGAAGTGACGGGAGAGACGTCGTTGTAGCCAATAGGCGTCAATGTCCATTGGGTGAAGGGTCATATCTCTTCGCTTATTAGACTGTTCTTCGGTAAGCTGTAAAAAAAATATATGTAAAGATAATAATCTATTAGACAAAATGAATAATAGAATTAACTGCACGGTTGGTGCGGGGACTGGGCAACTGGCAGAACTTTATGCCAAAATTCTTTCACTGATAGATAGCTACAATGTTCCTGTGTGCTATAGGCTATAAAACATCACGCTACGATCATATGGAGCTAAGCAGCGGGTGAAACCGCGCGAGAGTAGCTAGTATATATATATATATACTTACATTAGCGTGTATGGCATTCCTCTTGCCCTCTGCGTCGCTGTCCTCATCAGCGCTGCTGTCTTTCTCTTTCTCATTCTCTGAACCCTCGCCATCCTCCTTGTCTTCTTCTCGGACCTGAAGAAAAAGTAAGTAATCAGGTACTTATTTTGAATGTAAGTGGGCAAACAAGCTGACGGATTACCTGATGGTAAGCGCCGACCATGTACACTCGAAACACAAGAGGAGTTACTAGGGCGTTGCCGGCGTTTTGATGATTAGGGTTTTGGAGATTTAAGAGGTTGGAGGGGAAGGAAGGAGGTAACCTCACTCACACGGCGAAACACAACGCTGTGGTTGTTTCACGCCAGGTCTCTGGCGCTATCACCATTCAACCCAAGTTACTGGTGGCAGAATCCTTGCGCGCCCCCGCCCCCACTCCTCTTACCACATTCTCTTTCCTTAAATCCTGAATACCTAATACATAAGAGGCCTGCAACGCACTTGTAGTAACTCTTTTGGTATTGCGAGTGTCCATGGGCGTCGTCGATTGCTTACCATCAGGTAATTTTTAAAAACAAGACTCCAAATCCTTACCTCTCCGTAAGCATCTTCATCATCTTCTTCTGAAGACTCCTCAAACTGTACATTGATGCCGTATGTCTCATCGATTTCACTGTTGCCCTCCGCTGAGGAACTGATGTTGAAGTCTGTGATCTTCTTGCCTGCGGGTACATTGAAGAGTTCAATGATTTGAATACTAATTATGATGTCTTGCCATTACATAACACTAAGAACAATATTCTCTGTCGAAATTGCGGCTGCAGAGCGCTACAATGTAGGAAGGAACAGGGTAGATTTTAACAAATTCCATCAGGGCTAAAGAAGTAATTAAAAAAATTCTTACACTATTATTTTCTTCTGTGTAGTGGGTGCGTTTACATAAAGACAATTTCACGTACACATACTTAATTATTTTTCTATACCTATAAGTTTTATTTTGTTTGTTCCTTTCCACTCACGGGACCACAGGGTACCGGACCTTTGAAAGGCGTACGAGGGGCCGAAGCCAACTCGCTGAGGCCCGTTGAACAACTTTAATATAAGTAAATTAGGACATCAGCCAGCAATTATCCCTGTATGCACTATGAAAGTGCAACCAAAGATAATTCCCAGTTGATAACAGGCAGCTAGGACTATTGCGAAATGTGGTAAAAATGTATAGGGTTATGGGTATGGGATGCTATGGACTGGTGGATATGATAACTATGGAAATACTATATTATTACTAATTTTGAGCCCCCCCCCCCCCCCCTCCTTACCCCGTGCGTCGCCCGATCAGCTGTTAGCGGCGAGGCACCGCGCGACTTATTTGAAATTAGCACAATAATTTTGCTATAGTAATGAAAATAAAACTAATGACTATAGAAAAATAGTTTCTTTGGGAAAGTTGTTTCTTATATAAGAGTCACAAATTACCAGTCAGCCTATATAAAAACAATACTACAAAACTCACCCAAATTAACAAGCAAAGCGAATCTCTCATCAGCAACGGGTCCGAGGAGCATCTCAATCTCTTTCTTCTTCTCCGGATCCTTCAACTTATCATTCTTCAGTACGACCAGCACTTCGTCACATGCTCCGCAAAGAATATCCCTGGGCTGGTCTCCTAGAGCACTCTGCATGAATGTGAGGAGCATTTCGTAGGCATGCCTCGTGTGTTGAGCTCTTGGTCGGTAGAGGACTCCAGGTGTATCATCAGCCCAGGCTACCCGGGATGTTTTGGACTTTGACAGCTCATAGGACGCTTCATCTCTTTTCTGTCTCCTGTTAAGAAAGGGATAGTGAATTAATATAGTAATTAGTTAAATTAAGACCATTTTGCATTGGAGTATACAACATACTGGAAGAACACAAACTGGTACTCCTGCACCAGAGTTACATTTTCAATGGCCAACCCTCTCTCGGCCACCTTATTTATACTCGAGGATGACACAACTCCCAACACAAGGAAAAGTCAGTTTTTTGCTAACCAACCTTTTAGTATGACTTCTAAAACTGCCCAGTACCTACTTCTGGCATTCTTACGCAAAATACCTAGCAGATACTTGGTCAATAAACCACATCTTTGCTTAGGCATTTCTTAATTTAAATAGTGCAATACAAAATCAATTACACTATTGAATTCTTAGGTAATATTATTATACTTGATATAGGCACATGAGCCAGTGTTTCCTAGCCAAGCTGCTGGGTGATCTGTTGCCCTATTGATACACTAGATGGGTTAAATAAATAAAACCGCCTCAGTGTATTGATCTATGCTGGTATAATAACACTTGATCTAACAAAATAACAATTTCCCTTATACTATGACTAACTATGGGTAACATAACCATAGCTTGAATTTTAGTCAAGCAACGCTATAAGACAACTCGTTGAAATAATCTTTGAACTAAACATATATCTGATGATCTTGAACACAAAGAGAGAGAAAACAACACAAAATTTATCCAATATTAATGCTGTATTCTCGCTCATCTCTACTCTGTGATGACTCACTAACTCAATGATGAATGTGCATAGCTATGATAAAATTAATAATGTTTCCCATACAAGAGGAGGTCATGTGATATAGCAATGATAAAATTTTAACAAAAACACTTTTTGAAAATACTGCGTTTTAAGATTGTTTGCTACGTAAATGGGAATCACATTTTGCTATCTCGATGTCACTGACTGCCTTATTCCACTGCACGACGTCTTCGCGACGTGCATGCTTTTTATCAATAAGGGTCTTAATTTGACTTGAAAATAGTAAACCTTTCACGTTTTCACTACCTTATTGATATTACTGTGATTGTGTATCTGTCTCCTTTTTCATGTGTAAGGCAAAAATTTTCAAATGGCTTTTCTATTCTCTTACAGACTAAAAATCCCCCATTCCTTCTCCTACTCCTGGTGGAGGTTGCAGTGATTCATCACACTTACCCGGCAACTCTGGCTGATCTGTCTTTTATGTTGGAATTCATACATGTACAATTATTCATTCATACAACATACATTCATACATGTATGAAGCTAGACAGCTTTATACAGCAGTTTTACCTTCTCATGAAAAAGTATTTGGAATAAACTTTGCATGTGTCAACAAACACAATTACAAACTTTCACATCTATAAATTCATATATGTATATGAAGAACCACAAAATGTGTTGGTAACAGCATAACTCAATAATGCCTGGACCAATTTTAACAAAAATTTTTTGGTGTGTCAGGGGTAGTCACAAAAAATATTTTATGAAGAAATTTGTATAAAATGTACATCTGGAAAATGCAATTCTGACCATAATTGGATAACCGCGCGAAGCGGGGACATGTTTGTAGTTTCTAATATTAATAGGATTTTGTATGGGGACATAGTTAAGAAGCTAGACAGTAATACAGGGTACTTACAATTTTAATTAATTATCCTTTACCCTGACATATCCTTAATCCTATATTTACTTATCATCAACACTACACGAAATTCTCCTAAATAAATGACATAGGAATGAAATAAATCTGATAAGAGAAACATTGTCTCGAGCAACACGAGTACTTACTTGACTTTTCTCTCCTCAGTCTTGTCGGGCTTCGTGCGCTGAGCCCTGTCCCCCATACGGGTCCCACCAAGCTTCCCCGACAAGGACAACACTTCCCCAGTAGCCTCATCACGACCACGACGCTCTATGAGTCGAACATCAGCTTGCAGTACAAGATTTGAGTTCTATGGAAAAGTAAAACGCAAATTATTCAAAAACCTTCACAAATAATAACAATTTTTACTGTAAATTAACCTTTAATTAGTTTAAACTCTGTTTTTAGGCAAAAACATGCTGCAATTGCACAATATCAAGGAGAATTATGCAAAAATAATAATAACAAAATAAAAACTTACAGCTTTGTATTCATATTGCAACTGTCTCGCAGCCGCGTCAGCCATGATTATTTACTTATTTTATACACAAATAACTATCATTTATTCACTTATTATAGTTTTAATTCACTATTTTATCACGATAACACAACACAAAACAAAAATTGTTAGGTTATGGTTATGCCGCCGTTGTCAATCGCCATTTTTTGCATAGATTAAAAATAGTTTTGAAATAACACCGTTTTGGATACGAGGTTTTTAAGTAGTTTTCGGCGCAAAACAACTAAAAAAGAAGTTTTGTTTTACAAAATTAATTTTGTTATGTTGGTAACAATTTTTTTGATGATTGTATAATTTCTGACGTAGAATAATTATTATTATTAGCATGTCTGACTAACTCTGTACGTATCAATGAATTGATTAAAGGAACTTTATGAAAATAATTAGATTTGTCATTAATCTCAAACTTACTTTACTGTTATTAAAAACTTTATCGATTTGACGTAGCATTCGTTTTTTTTTTTTGTATTCATTTTATTTCATACATTTTCTGTATTGTATGTTTATGAATGACTTCGCTACCTTACGCCTTTCGCAGATATTCACTATGTATATTTATCATTATTAAATCTCGGTTGAGGTTATTGACCACTAGTCAAGGACGTCACGTGTGTGTTAGTAATGCAAAAAAAGATTCACTTCGGTCGACTATTACATTACATGGATTAATTATGATGTATGACTTGCCTCTTTGGTATCTTTTCTGGCGTTTGTGGTACATAATATCACGCCCTATAATTTCTTTAAAGAGTAAGTGAGCGGTAATCAAATCTTTTCTATATAGATGTATTCATTTATTTTATTAAAAAAGTTTTTGCACAATTGTTGCATATTGGCGGACTTAATGCCAAAGGCATGGATCGTAGGTAATTTTTTTATCTTAAACTCAGTATGACCTAAGACTGATTTGAGCGTTTGTCCTAATTGACTCTCAATGATATTAAAATATAATCGGATGTTTATACTCTATAAAGGGGTGAGCAGGAACGTTTAAACGGGAAACGGGCCTATGGTTGACCTTTATTTATTTAAAACTTCATATTTAACTGTTTTTTATCGTCCACACGTTTGCCACTTTATTCTGAAGTTAAGCAACCAGCGCCGCTCAAAGATACGCGCACCTAAAGAGGAGTTAGTGGTCTTTAAGGACTTGAGGCTTTGGTTCGGAGGAAGAATAAGGTTACCTCACTAACGTTGCAAAATACAACGCAGGCGTTGTTTCACGCTGGTTTTTTGCTAGGCCGTATTATCACATCGTACTGGCCCATTCATGACGAAATATAATTCCAGCCTGACGAACTTGATGTTCTCAACTGGGACTTCGACCTCCGCCGTGTAACCATTGCTTTGAATAGCATGCATTACCTTTCCATCATCATCATGTTAGTGTTAGCCGAAAAATCTCTCAGAATGCAATTTATATTATAATTGCAATAAAAAATCGAATTCCGGAACATCAGGTACCTAGTAGAAATCTCATATCGTGAGAATTACAAAGAAAGTCTTCTTACAACAAACTTAGATGTCATGTCCACGTTTCAAAGTTTACAAACATTGTCACGTGATGTAAACATTGACATGCGCTCGCACATGCACAGCGCGGCGCGCGACGCGACTTAGCGACCGACGACGGCGACCGGTCGACAACTATTTTATGTCTTGAAGTTGCTCACATTGTAACCCTTTTGTTAAGTTAAGTAGCGTAGGTAGACAGAATAATAGCCGATTTTTATAGTTTTTTAGATCAATTTCATTAACTTATTTTACTGATGAGAACGTTAAGCCTTATTAAGACAATTTAATCGTTTACATTAAGTACCTAGCTATATTTCAAACTTGAATAAGTAGCACCTGTGTTTCATAAGGGTTTTTCAATATCCAAATCATTTGTTTTTTTGGACAATCTTATGTTCAAGTTGGTAGACAGAGATGATTTCCGGGAAAATCGTGGCAAAAAAGCCTAATTTCTCGTCAGCCCTAATTTATTGATCCCTAAAAAGCAAGCTAGCAAAATTCAATCAGCTCAAGTGCGAGGGAGATAGCAACAAATTGAGAGTGTAGTAGTGATGTGCGTGAATCATCCACCAGCCTACAAAATAAGGTTCACTTCTGTCATGGAAGCACATAAACAAACATCGGCAAAATAAATGTGATAAAAAATGGCGGCTCCGTCAAACGGTAGTGGTAATCTAGTAGAAGAATTTGAAGAATCCTTTCAGGTGAGTCGGATTCACTCAAAGCAACTCATATTTGCATCAATTTTTGTGTTAATTTTGCATTTCATTCATAACCTTTACAAAATAGGTTTATTCACAAATGTCAAACTACGATAGTACAATACTTGTGTACCAACCTAGCAAATCTAATCTAATCGTGGCCGGTGTTGCTATTGGTTGAAGCTTCGTATGCTGAATAAAATCGGCAGTCGAAGAAAGTCGAACAACTTTCGTGTGTACGTGACAAAAACCACCATACGAAGCTTCTATTAGTCCGCGACTGTCGTGAAGGGATTTTGTTGCAAGCGCATCTCGATCGTGTCGGCCATTTTACTGATAATGTTTTCACATCGTTACGAAAGGTTTATCGCGTGTTTATTAATTCAATTAGTGAACTGAGAACTGTGAGACATTATGTTATATCGAGTTCTTAATCAATAAAATCGTGGACATTAGGTGAACCATGGTGTAATAGTGACTGAAGTGTGATGAAACTTACTTGATTGATTTTTGGTGTTTGTGATTATAAAAACGACAATGTCGGTGGCTGGTGATGATGTTGGTGTGTCTTCCAACGGGTTGGCGATACAAGTATTCCGCCCTACATGGGAGGAATTCAAGGACTTCAACAAATATATCCAGTACATGGAGTCCAAGGGTGCCCACAAGGCAGGGCTCGCTAAAGTGATTCCTCCGCCGGAATGGGTGCCTCGCAAGTCGGGATACGACCTAGACCAGCTGAACGTAACGATCCCGTCGCCTATATGTCAGGTAGTGACTGGCAAACAAGGTTTGTTTCAACAAATTAATATCCAGAAAAAGGCCATGACTGTGAAGCAATTCGCTGTTATGGCGAACTCTGCAAAGTACTGCACTCCTCGTCACACCGGCTATGACGACTTAGAAAGGAAATATTGGAAGAATGTTACGTATGTCGCTCCTATATATGGAGCTGACGTGAACGGCAGCATCACAGACCCTGATGTGAAAGAATGGAATATCAATAGCCTAGGCACAATCCTAGACTTTGTAAACTCTGACTATGGTATAGAAATTGATGGTGTTAACACTGCTTACCTATACTTTGGCATGTGGAAGACCACATTTGCGTGGCACACTGAAGATATGGATCTCTATTCAATAAACTATCTACACTTTGGAGACCCTAAGACATGGTATGCAATCCCTCCGGAACATGGGAAAAGATTTGAAAGAATTGCTTCCGGTTTCTTTCCGACTTCAGCTAAGACTTGCCAGGCCTTCTTAAGACATAAAATGACGCTGATATCCCCTCAAATCCTTAAGCAATATTCAGTTCCTGTAAATAAGATTACCCAAGAAGCTGGTGAGATTATGATTACATTTCCCTATGGTTACCATGCCGGCTTCAATCATGGTTTTAATTGTGCTGAATCTACTAACTTTGCCGCTCCGAGATGGGTGGAATATGGTAAGCGAGCTACTCAATGTACCTGCAGTAATGATATGGTTAAGATTTCCATGGATACTTTTGTAAAAAGATTCCAGCCCGATCGTTATGAATTATGGCTAAAGGGACAAGATATTGGTTGTCACCCGGAACAGCCTGAGAAGATGGTTCCAGCTCCTCATCCTTCCGGTCAAGATATTTTATGTAACAAGAACAATACTGAACTGCCTGAATCATTTATTGAGGCGGAGGAAGAAGGGCTTAAGAAGAAGAAAAGACATCCTCTTCATCTGAAACGAGCAATGGCTAGTAAGAGCATATCAGAAGGTGCCATCGCTGTATCTATCCTCGGTCATGATGTTATGGATGATGATGAGATGACTATGGCTGAAGGTGATTTAGATATGATGACTTCAATGAAACGACCCATCATGCCTCTACAACCAGACGAGACGCAACTTGACGCTCTCGAAGATATTTGGCTGAAAGGAGATGAAATGGACCCTTCAGAAGCTCAGCTCCCTGATGTAGGATACATGGATTCTGACAAAGATTCAGACTATGAAGCACCAAAGAACAAAAAGAATTCGAAAACACGGAAAAAGCGTAAAGACAGCCTTAAAAAAGAAGTCAAAGTAAAGAAGGAGATTAAAGAAGAAGGGGATACTAAGCCGAAAGATGGTGAAGAAGACAAACAAATTGAGAAAGAGAAGGACTCTACTGAGAAGAAAAAGGCGCCTGTACAGAGGAGAGGCAAGAAGGTAAAATCAAAGAAACTGTCTGAGGAACAACTTGAAACTATGGCGGCACTAGTCTCTAACTGGGAATCTCCTCCTCATGTTGAAGAGGAAATCCCAATCTTTAAACCTGCGCCAGTTACCGTTGATCCTTTAACTACAACCACTACCGACACTATAATTCAACCACCATCACAGAATCCTACTCCTTCAACCACCGCAAACACACCAGTAGTCACCAAAAAAGAAACTAAAAAGCGAAAGTCACCAAAAATGGATGCTGAGAAAATAGATAAACCCAAGAAAGAAAGGAAGAAGAGAGAGCCTAAACCAATTAATCCTGACGCTCCTGTCAAGGAGAAGAAGCCACGGAAACCTAGAACACCTAAGAAGATGGTAGCTAGTACATACGAGTACAGTTCTCCAGTCGAGCCTGTGATGTCCAGGCCACTTCATGGATACAAGCCGGAAACAGTCACGAAACCTGCCTACCAGATGACCGACATGTCCATCCCTTCAACTCATTCTAAGTCACTATCACCACCAAAACCCAACCTAACGCCACCTGGTCCAAAACCCGAAAAGTCCTACTCAGCAATACTTTTAGATCCCAGTTTAAGAGTCCCGAAAGTGATACCGCCTTTAAATAAGAACCCTAGTGCGTTTGAAGGGGAATTTCACAAGTTTATGACCAAAAAGGCCCAATCTCCACCCCACCAACCCAGCAGACCGTCCGTACCGCGGAGACCTACGCTTAAAGCTTCACCCCCCAATACTAAAGTTATCGTCGAGAGCTTGGAGTCTCCTCCACCGCAAAGAGACGACTGGTCAATGCCTATTGGGCAATATAATGACTCAATATTCGTGAACTCCCCGCTAGATTATCGGACGAATTCAGGACCTGGGGTACAAAGGTTACAGCCTCCAGCGGACCGAAGTCCGTGGAGACCAGATCTGTACCAGTCAAATCCCATGTCCAGCTCCCCCATGCCTAACTCCCCTGTCCCTCCCATGTACTCCCAAATGACAAATAATTACTACAGGAGTCCATACCAGTCGCCATGGCAGTATGGTTATCAGAAATGAACAGTATTTTTCTATTTAAGTGTTAGATAATTCGCGGGTCTCAGTTCTGCAATGTTTTGAAGACTTTACCCTTCAGGATTGGTGTGCATAAAGTGGTGATAGATACTTAAGTGAGGCATATGGTTACGCAAATCCATATTTCGTCTTGATTACAGATGTATTGTTAAGTTTCTACCGAAAGCAATGTATTGCGTACTAAATAAATATATATGTATATGTGTTTACCTACACGACATTGTTATAAAATATCTATATTTTCTTATAATTCAATCGAATCTCTTAAAGTTTCAGTAGATTCTTATTTACAATTGCACAGAGAAAATATATAAATAGTATAATTATAAAGAGTTTAGTAAATGCAGCAATAAATTAGTTTATAAAGTTTCTAAACACTGCAAATTGGGACGTTATCGATTATTACAATTGACATCGTTAGTTCTAAATTAAGTAAACGGGAGAATCAACTAATTAGTGGCTTTATGCATAGTATAGTAAGTGGTCGAATTTCCGTTGGCCAACCAATATGCCTGTAAAAAGCTTCTTAAAAAATATAATATTGTTTGAATTATGTAAAAAACTATGTTCTAGCACGGTCATAGTCGCGCAAAGTATTATTATGTGATTAACAGACGTCCTCTTGACTATAAAATACTCGCAGTAACCACCAATTCTTGTGTTTACTTAAAATAGAACTCACGATGTCCGTATAGAGAGTAATTTATTTATCTTAAAAATCTAATTCCTTAGAACACCGTAATTGTAAATTTTTTTAGCCAGTACGATGACTGATTTTAAGCTTTTCATTAATTAATATCACAATGTTTCTCTTTTAAGTTTGTATAAATATAAAGTATGTATCGTCTTGTCAACATTTCGCTTCATACCCACGAAGAATCAATTGGCTTTAATATTGTAACTGTATTCACTAAAAATCGTGTGATTTTGTGGCTTAATGACCTAAATCTCGTAATCATTATTTTTTGGGAAAATTTCAATAGGTTTTGTTAAAAATTGACGTGAGCCCAAACTTTTTTTATTTGAGATCGGTCAATAGGATTATTGGACGTTATTTAACATTTAGGCGTGCGTTCTTTTAGTTACTATGCAATTGAGGAAATGACCTGTTTATTAATGTGTGATTTGCAATTTCGGCCATTTTAATTCGACTGCCAAAAGGAGGGGGTCTACCTATGTTTTTCTTTCTTGGGTGTCCATTTTATGTGTATCTATCTAGTACCTGTAGTTGTCTAGTTGGCGAGTTATATGTCAAAGATAAGATATTAATTATTGTTAATTAATAGAAATATAATATTTATGGAAATAGGTAACTACCAATTTCAATATAAAAAGAGATTTATACCGATCTCAAATCAAAATCTGGATGGATTCAGGTTTTAGACAACTTGTGGATTTTGAGATCGGATATTAAAATATTTCGACCATAAATAAATGCTTATGGTATCCATAATGCTTGAATAATATTTTTTAAATTTCTATTTAATAAAATTGACGTATAACTTGCCTTTTCAGCTTTATTTTAGCCGTAATTATCTAGGTTTTATTTTAAAATGTAAGAGTTTTTTTTTACAATTGACAGAATAAGTAAGGAAGTGGAAAATTTTTATTTCATGTTACTCTAAGATGGCGGATAGCGATTCTGTAACATTCATTGAATAATGAAAATATATTATTTTAAATCATTATTTGTTTTCTTGAATCAGTTTTTTTTAATAGGGCGCCTGAAAATTTTGAGCCTAATTAAGTACTACTACTTATTTCCGCGCAGTGTAGTACCCTGCTAGACTTCTATTGGTGATAGCGTAACCTCTCATAGCCTACTAGTTTCCGCTTGCGGCGTGGCCCGCGTGGTATGGCCTATCTACATACCAAATTTCGACCGGTTCTGCCGCTTTTCCGTGAAAGAAAAACATGTATATTTAAACAATCATACATTCTCACAAATTTTCACACTTAGTAGGATAGACTACTTGGATTTTGACAACATACATAAAAATAATCCTTCAAATCATCACGCTACTACAACCCAGTTTTTGAAAGGCTAATCAACGCAAGAATGCTCTAATCGCCACTAAATTATTGGTAAATCTCTTAGCAAGAGTGATGAGAGTGTCAGACTCTTACTGCCTAAAAACCCCCCGTTCCTTCTCCTGCTCTGGGCCGAGGTCGCGGTGCCTCATTGCGCTTACCCCGCAACCCCGGCTGAACATCAGCCCTATAGGGCCCCGTCTGTGGTGGTCTATTGACCCTTTGAGGCATGTCCGAGTCATCTTGAAATACAGAATCGGTTTTATTATCAGAACCGCTAAAGAGTGGAATTCTTTACAGGAGCCTGTGTTCCCCGAATGGTCTAACCTGGGTGTCTTCAAGGCCCGAGTGAATAGGTTGCTTATGGGTAGGCGTGCTTCATCGTAGGTCGCATCATCGCTTACAACCAGGCGTGATAGCAGCCAAATATCGCCGATTACTAAATAAAAAAAAAACTTAGGCTTAAAACCTTTTCGGTCGCTCTTATGTTTTACTAATAGTTTTGGTTAACCAAAGGTAAACAATGTTGGTATGTCTTTTTATATTAAAGAGGTCGTATAAAATACATATAAAGATTATTTAAAATTTAGTTTATTAGCTAACATCAATTTATGTAAATAAATATTTGATTGTAAATCAATGATATTATATTAACACAGATATATTATACGCTCACAAAACGCACGTGTTTCGCGCCAAGCGTCGCGTCGGTACACTCGCATACCTTTTTATTAATTGTACATGTCACTACAAGTTAAAATTGTAGAAAAAGGATAGTACGATAAATCCAACAAGAAAAAACGAATTAGCTATTGTTATCAGTTACGTACTCAACGTAAACAAACATTAACTAAGAGAGACTAATTGCACTTGCATACAATTGTATCCTTTTCGAGTCTTCACTTTTGCGCGCTTATAACATATCTGTTAATATATATTATCATTGTTGTGAACATATTAAGATACTTTTAGGTAATATGACATGCCAAGATTGCATACCTACATTTAGGGCTGGTTTTCCAATGGTCAGATAAAAGTTATCTGGGGATTATGATGCTGTCGCGTCACAATATTTGTATAAGACAGTGACAGCAACAATTTTATTCCTCACATAACATTTATACTTACGACTATTGAAAAATCAACCCGTAGTTACTTAAACGGATAGACCCTAGTGTGAATTTGAGAGCATATAATGTAAATATTAATTTATAGGGACCTAATAATAGAAAATTGGAATCGTACCTTCACAAGTGTTCTCGGTACCTTCAATCAGAATCGTGATTTCGAATTGAAAAACGATTTCCTTTGTGACTCTGATTGACTATATTGCTAGTTTACGCGCTCGAAATGTAGTCGATAAGTTAAAATATAAATATATTTAAAATAAAAGGCTATGTAATTTTGTGAGATCAATTATTCTTGGTGTATTAATTTATAAATAGTTAGGTATTTGATTCTTGTAGAATGGGGTAGTTTCCTAGGTCAAAAATAAATTATTTCGACGTTTCAATACGATAAAATATTGAAAAATAACTATACTTTTAGTCATCGATCGATCGATATACTCATTTTTAGATTTTTTTAGCTAATTATTAAGAAATAAGTAAGCTATTTGACGCAAAAAAGTTATGACGTCATAGCTCAGTTTTTCATAGAAAATTATCGTTTTTGAAGTTTGGATAAAAGTATTGAACTTGACTAGTTGGAAACTACCGTATTTTTAGTAAAGTGACTTAAGAAAACCAATTATTGATCTCACAAAATACTGGTAAAGAAAATGTGAGATATTCGTTATTATATTATTACTTAAATGTAAAAATGATAGTCATAGAATTAAATTATATTTGTCCTTTTGAGAAATGTTGTTTTTTATTTCCTTTACTTTAAACCTTCAAGAAACTGCGTACTCCTTTCTAAAAGGCCGGCACCGCGCCTGTGTCTCTTCTGGTGTTGCCGTTGTCCATGGGCGGCAGCCATTGCCTACCATCAGGCAATCCGTCAGCTCGTTTGCCGACCTCTCCCTTAAAAAAGAAAGTATTTTGTCATGTGTCGTAGGTAGGTACTCTGTACCTCATAAAAATATTACGCAAACTCATTCTGCTAATGACCAATTACAACAAGACTATTATAATTTAACCATTAATTAGCACTTAGCAGCTAATTACGTAGTTTGTATTTCATAACATGACTAGCTCTTACCCGCGGCGTCGCTCCCGTCATTTGACTACCTACCCTACTCTACCTACCTAACTCTACCTACCTAACTCTACGTACCCTACTCTACCAACCCTACTCTACCTACCCTACTCTACCAACCCTACTCTACCTACCCTACTCTACCTACCCTACTCTACCTATCCTACTCTACCTACCAAGTACCATACTCTACACTACTACTACTACTACTACTACTACTACTACTACTACTGTTACACTGTTCTCACATAATTGAACCAACTGTTTGTATAAGGAATCTGTATGTGAAACTAACTTAAAAAGAGTAACCATGGAGTTTCTTGCTCGTTCTTCTCCATCGGAATCTACACTTTGGAACGAGCGAATAGCTTCACTAAGAGGACTGACCGATAGACTGACACTATATCTTCAAAATTTTGTTTGACGTTCAAGTGTCTGTAAGGGTCTAATTTTAATAAATGATTTTTTACTTTGACTTTAACCACTGCCAGCCACCTAGTGGATAATGACTGAATGAATTTTGGTATTACAAAATTCCCTGCTTGCTATTAAGAGTTTATTTATTTAATAATTTATGTACACACAGTAAGTTGGACAAGCAAAATAATACAACAATTAGGTTCAAAGGCACAGCTTATTTCTTCAGAAATCTCTTCCAGTAGGCCCGATATGGGAGAGTTTTATTAAACAGTTATGTAGACTGACTGTGTAAACACAATTAGGAAAAAGAAAAACAATAAGAATTAATAAACTAACTATTAAATAGAGAACTATGAGACAGAGTTCTTTAGCATGCTGACCAAAGACCTCTCATACGAAGAAGGTTTGAACATTAACCACCACGCTTACTCAAGGCGCATTGGCGATTGCTAAATTATAAGTCCTGGTTTTCCCACGATGTTTTTTTACCACACAGTACCTTTATTAGAGCTCAGAGATGTCTAAATTATTAAAAAATAGCGACCCGCCCCGGCGTCGATTGGGTGCAATGCTACTAAATCTCTCCACTATTTAATGGATGTTATTATACAAATAAACCTTCCGCTTCAATCACTCGTGTCTATAAAAATACCACATCAAAATCCGTTGCGTAGTTTTAAAGATTTAAGCATACATAGGTATATAGGGGCAGAGAAAGCGACTTTGTTTTATACCTACTATGTAGTTATTCTTATGTTCTTTGTAAATCTGGCGAAAAGTCAGTCTTTCTCGTCTCTTTAAGGCGTATTTTTTTTCTTAAGGGATAAGTTGGCAAACGAGCAGACGAGGATTACCTGATGGTATGCAATCGGCGCTGCCTATGGACACCCGCAACAACAAAGGAGTCACGAGTGCGTTGCCGGCTTTTTTAGCAGAAGGTGTACGGGTATTAAGGAAGGGATAGGTGAGGGGGAGTCCGGTAACCTCACTCACACGGCGAAACACATCTCTGTGGTTGTTTCACGCCGGTTTTCTGTGTGAGACCGTGGTATCACTCCAGTCGAGCCGCCCCATTCGTGCCGAATTTGTGCTTAATTCCTTTATCTCCAATTTCTAGGCATGTCTGAACGTCCTGACGAAGCAGGAGGCGTCTCCTTGCGTCGAGAAGGAAGAGGTGAAGGTGGAAGTCGAGAGGTTCATCGATTTAGCCAGGCAGATGGAAGCCTTCTTCCTGCAAAAGAGGTTTGTAGTTGATTGCGTAAGATAGATTTCTTTAGTTAAAAAACGTAGTAATATAAAAGGCTTTTTTTGTGAGGGGAAAATCATCAAATGTCTTCTCCCGCCCAGGGTGGGGCAGGAGGGAGTGTTAGGCTCTTCATCATCATCGTCATAATCAAGTCGTCCGGAAGACGTCCACTGCTGGACAAAGGCCTCCCCCTTCGTCCTCCACGTCTAACGACAAGTTGCCATCTGCAACCATTGGCTCCCCGCGACTCTGAAGATGTCGTCGGTCCATCTAGCGGGGGGCCTCTTACTAACTAGAAACCCTCCCGTTCCTTCTCCTGGTTTAGGCCGAGGCTGCATTATTGCTGCTTATTGCGCTTGCCCTGCAACTCCGGCTGAAACTAAGAGTCTATCATATCCTCTCGGCTCACAAATGGCGGTAGGAGGCCATCTATAAAAAAGGCCCCGACTCTTAGCAGAAGAAGGGACAGGGTGAGTTTTAGTCAGTAAGAGTCTGACACTCCCTTTCGCGCCATCCAGGGCAGGAGAAGTCATTTTGTGATTATCCCTCAAGACAGATGTTTTTTATGTGATAGGACGGCAAGTGACCAGGCGGATTATCTGATGGTAAGCAATCAACGCCGCACAAGTACAGCCGCAACAACGGAGGAGTCTTGTCAAGTCAACTGCGCTGCCGAACTTTTGGGGACTAGGGATTCGGAGATTTAGGCATTGGGGGAGGGGAAGGATTGGGCCTCCGGTAACCTCACTCACACGGCGAAACACAACGCTGTGGATATCTCACGCCGGTTTTCTGTGAGGCCGTAGTTATTATTATATCCATTGTACATTCAATGAATAAGAAGTGCGCCATGCCTCGTGTGGATTCCGTTATCAATAATTGAGCGTAGCATTGACAGATAATTCGTCATCAATCATTCATATCTTATCAAAATAATCAGCCGAAAAACAAACAATATTTATTTTAAGATAACATTTTACTTAGTTCCTTATTACACCAATCTATACCTACTAAGTCTATACACTAATATTATAAAGAGGTTTTTTTTTAATGTAATAGGTCTTCAAGCGAGCAGACGGATTACCTGATGGTAAGCAATCAGCGCCGCCCATGGACACTCGCAATGGAGGAGTTACGAGTGCGTTGCCGACCTTTTAGGGATTAGGGATTTGGAGATATAGGGATTGAGGAGGGATTGGCGAAGGGGAGGGATTGGGCCTCCGGTAATAGAGCCCACACTTAATTGTATGTTTGTATGTAGGGATTGTAGGGGGTAATCTTTGCAACCGCTGGTCGGATTGCCAAAATTCTTTCACTGATTGATAGCTACAATGTTACTGAGTGCTCGAGGCTATAAAACATCACGCTATGATCAAGTGGAGTTGAGCAGCGGGTAGCGGCGAGAGTAGCTATAAAATTATAAAGAGGTATTTTTAAGTTTGTATGTAGGGGTTAATCTGTAAAAAAGCTGGTTGTATTTCCAAAATTCTTTCACTGATAGATAGCTACAATGTTCCTGAGTGCTATAGGCTATTAATTATACTTGATTGGCGTATTTTAGTCGAGGTATCGCTTTAAACGGTGCTGTTTTTAAATACAGGGATAATTAACTTTTAAAGCGTGGAAAGCCGCGGGCGGATGCTGGTAAGTCATAAATCGGGTACTTCTCTTTTTTTTAAATGAATTAAATTGTCATTAACGAATCACACTATCATTGATTTTAAGAAACATTCAATTTTCCGATCCTTGTGCGTACCTCTTTTTAAAGGAATTTATAAGCTACTAGCGAACCGCCCCGGCTTCGCACGGGTTCAATACTGATACTTGGATGTTAAGTGTGGGAGAGCCATGCTTCGGCACGAATGGGTCTACTCGATCGGAGTGATACCACGGCCTCACAGAAAACCGGCGTAAACCAACTGCAGCGTTGTTTTGGCCATGTGCGTGCTACCGGGGGCCCAATCTCTAAATCTTGAAATCCCTTAACCCCAAAAGGTCGGCAACTCGTAACTCCTCTATTGTTGCGGGTGCCCATGGGCGGCGCTGACTGCTTACCATCAGGTGATACGTCCGTTCGTTTGCCGACCTATGACATAAAAAAATGTTATTGTACATATAAACCTTCCTCTTCAATCACCGCATCAAAATCCATTGCGTAGTTTTAAAGATTTAAGCATACATAGGGATATAGGGACAAAGAAAGCGACTTTGGTATCAGCCATGATAGAAGATTAGCTTTGCATGCTGGTTTAAAAGATTTAGCTGTAACAGAAAGTGCAGTTACTCTCTCGCTTGGGTATAACATACCCACGTCAAGAGCGACGGTGGTTATTTTTATTTTCTGCTGTCTTCACACGGCTTGAAATTCTGTATGTATGTTTCAGGTTCCTTCTATCAGCTATGAGACCGGAATTGTTAGTGAAAGAAGATAACAATGAATTGAAATGTGAACTCCAGAGGAAAGAGGAACTCCTAAGAAGACATTATGACAAGATTAGCCAGTGGCAGAACTTGTTAGCTGATCTACAGGTGCGTACTAAGTCATCATCATCATCATCATAAGCAAGGTAGCCAAGCAGTGTCTTGTTAAGGTTGATTTATAAACTATAGGCAAACATGGAGATGGATTACCTGATGGTAAGCAAAACTTAAATAAATACTTAACATAATTGTTTGACGAGATACTCGACTAGTTTCAAGCCATGCTAAAGGCCCATATTTACAGCAGCGCGACAGTCGCCGTGTCGCGTATCGCGGAATACTGCTCTTAAATATGGGCCTATAGCATGGCTTGAATTGAAACTAGTCGAGTATCTCGTCAAATTATTACGTGAGTAAGCCGAAAACATAATAATAATTAATTTACTATGTCTCACGAAAGTTATAATAAAAATACTTGACATTTCCTTTACAGGGTCACACAGTTTATAACAAATGTCAACAACAGACTGCGCAGGCGCCGCCCGCCGTGCAACAAGCGCCCGCGCCGCAACACGTTGTGCAACAAAGCGTTCAGGTTCGTTACATTTTTTTATTAGATAAGTCGTGCCGTGGTCATGGCAATGGCAACATTAAAGGAGTTACGAGTGCGTTAACGGACTTTTGAGGATAGTATATATAGTTATAGATATAGTTTCGGATATTTAACAGTTGGGGAGGGATGTGAGAGGGATTGAACCTCCGGTATTCTTGTAACCAGCAACGCAAATATAAGAACTCCACGGCGAAACACAAAGCTGTGGTTGTTTTACGCCGGTTTTCTTTCAGGCCGTGAAAGCGGCGTGAATTAAACACAGCGTTGTGTTTCGCCGCGTGAGTGAGGTTACCTGAGTCCTAGAGCCTTCACCTTACCCCAACCTCCAAAATTATAGCTCCCTAAACGCACTTGTAACTCTTCGAGTGTCATGTTTGCTTACCATCAGGTAATCCATTCTACCAGAATGTATGTTTGATTAATAACATTTTTTACAACCAGTATCATTGGCTCTGGTTATTTCCACCACAGACTTCATTAAGTCACAGAAACTCAATTTTATTTTCAGGCGCAACAAATGGCTGCTGCAGCGGCGCAACAAGCCGTGTTGCAGCAACAAGCGGCGTTGCAACAACAACAGGTACCCCGCCCCCCGCACCCGCCAGCTTACCCCGCGAACGTGCAACGTCGGTAGCTACTGTAACATTGGTCCGAACATTGATCTGATATATGATACATGGTGTAACAGTAAGGGAAGGTTTTTTGAAATTGGTTATGCAGTGGTCTTTTATGACCGTCTGAGTGAGGTTACCGGAGGACCAATATTTCTCCCTCCCTTCTCAATCCTAAGCATCCATAACCCTTATCCCCAAAAGGCTGGCAACGCACTCGTAACTCATTTGGTGTTGCAAGTGTCTATAGGCGGCGCCGATTGCTTACCATCAGGTAATCCGTCTGATCGATTGTCGGCCTAACCCGCATTGAGCAAACGTGGTGATTAATGCTCTAACCTTCTCCTTGTGAGAAGAGGCCTTTGCTCAGCAGTGGGCACTTATAGGCGGATGATGATGATGATGATGATGATTGTCGGCCTATCTCATAAAAAAATCCTCAGCCTATGATAGTCCACTGCTGGCCTTCTGTGCATAAGAGGGGTTTGTCATAATCTCCACGATTGGCAGACTTGTTTGGGATCTCAGTTTAAGAGGTTTAGGTTTGTTAGAGGGCGCTGGTGTTCGACCTTCGTCTAATGTGTAGTTCCTCAGTCGGGTATTACACACCCATGTTAAGAGAAGATGTGGTGATTAATGTGTATTCTAAGACCACACGGTTTATTTCTATAGATAGGTTAAATTTTTTTTTTTCGTGGTTACTATATTTGAAAGATTTCGCGTTCATTTTGTTACACCATGTATACTAAAAAAAAGGTGATTAAGTTATTAATCATCAGGTGATTAACACTTTATTAATTGATCGGTGATTAGTGATTTAACCATTCGGTGATTAGAGAATGTAATTGTTGAACGATTTTCATAATTTATAAGCCAAAATCAACTATATTTTTTGATTCGGTAAACTGGTATTTGTATATTACTTAAGCGAAAGAAAATTTTAAATTTACCTAAATGTAAATTAAATTGAACCTTAATTGCATGGCGATAAAGTTTGTAGTTGTTACTATCTAAATCGAAATATTTGTGTAAAATTAATCTTATTAATAAGTTTATTTTTAGTTCTATTACAGTTATTATACAAAATAATTACCCGAGTATTGACAAATAGTCCTTCTTAATGTCGATTCCGATATCAAAGTAATTTTTACATTCAAAAATTTAAAAACATTAAATCTGTTTTTCTCGGAATTCGGTCGTAAGCTCAACCCTATCGTACAAGGGGTTGTCAACATAAGATTATGAATTCATTCATTAAATACAATTACTCTAGCCAGGGTCGCCGGTCAAGGGGGCTCGGCAGGAGGAGAGACAGGGTAGTTTTAGTCAGTAAGAGTCTTTTTTGTGAGGGAAAAATCATCAAATGTCTTATCCCGCCAAGGGTAAGGCGAGAGAGAGTGTCAGACTCTTACTGGCTAAAAACCCCTCCGTTTCGCCTCCTAACTGGGCAGAGGCCGCGGTGACACATTGCGCTTACCCCGCAACCTGAACTGAAACGTGAGATGGGATGGGATGGGGGTTCAACAAAATCTCATGATATTTCACCAAGGGCGGAGGGAGGAATAGAAAATTAAAAAAAAGTTTTTTTTTTCAAACAATCTTTATTTTCTTATCTAAAAAACTGGGCAAGCTATCTGTTTTTTATTTATATTGGTATTAATTTGTGTAATACTGTAATATTTAGATTTATTCCTAAACGTAAAATTTTAGTATTGAAGTAATTTTCTTTTGTTTTTGATAAGTAGATAGATGCAGGTACCATTTTTTATTTCCAAAAATATAATTTTGAGTTTCGCCTTTATTTTTTGTTTTATTTATTTTTTTACCTTACCACACCGCTTTAGAATGTTTGATCTGGCAACACTTGTAAGGTATGTAGTCTTTTTATCTGTTTTTGCTTTTGCACTTTGTATAGTGGCTCCATCTATTTTATAAATAATGATAATGAAAATAAATGAGAATAGATGAATGATGAATGATGAATACCCAAAGCAAATAATTGTAATATTTTAAATATTCCGAATATTTAAAATATTACAATTATTTTTATAATACATCAATGGCCTCACAGAAAACCGGCGTGAAACAACCACAGCGTTGTGTTTCGCGGTGTGAGTGAGGTTACCAGAAACCCAACCCCTGCCCCTTCTCCATCCTTTTCCAATCCTTAAATGTCTGAAAACCTTAACCCTAATAGGCTGGCAACGCACTTGTAACTCCTTTGGTGTCGCGGGTGTCCATGAGCGGCGCTGATTGCTTACCATCAGGGAATACGACAGCTCGTTTGCCGACCTTTACCATAAAACATGGCGACACCGAGGCCTCAAATAAAACGGCGTAAAACAACGCCCTCCCCTATCCCTGATGCCATCTTTTTGTATAAGTGAAGTTTCCTAAAGCACGACCCATCCTCTATCCTCGATCCCTAAATCTCACAATTGTCAAATATCCAACCCCATGATGCCGTCAACATACTGGACTTCTTAGGTATTACCGGCGTTTTTGGGCAGCGTCGATGATTAAACGAAACATCAACAGTGACATCTATCGTCAAATACCTAACAAGACTTTTGATAAATACCAATAGATGGCGCATTTAGCAAAAACTGATATGTTCATACAACATTTTCACTGCTTAACAATTAACTGCTCGACTATAGACCTCTACATAAGAGTGCTTTCCATAATCGCTTTTCCTGGCGTATGCTATCGCCATAGGGTTGAAAATCGCAGTTCAAAAAGTTCAGGTGTAAGAAGACGACATTCGACATTGCAGAATTTTGAGATATTATTTCCATGTGCATTTATTATTAACTAACTACCTACCTGTGAACTACCGTAGTGTGCAAAATTACGTATCAAAGCATAGAAAAAAAATTCTCACAAGTTATTTATAGACGCAATTTTTTGCTGTTGCCCTGATCTCTCGATGAAGCTGCATCTATATCCATAAGCTGTATTTAAAGAGACAAACAAAACACAACCTCCCAATACTGCTGCAACTCTTATAAACTAGTAGATACAACCATGATAACACCGAAACACTGAAGTCTGGCGCGTCCCAGGGACATTACTAACCGTCTTGGATTCCGCAACGAAATAATTAAACATCTACTGAAGATATTATCTACTATTTGAGGAAACGTAAAACGAAATAGTTATATGTATTACCTGGACGTCGTCAAGGTTCTAGTGCACAGGCTTATGGGCAGGCGTGTTTCATGATCAGCCACATTATCGCTTCCCACCATTAGAGATAGCCAATCTCGGTGATAAAAAAAAATGTGCTGGTATTTCCTCACAGATGCAGAACAGCCTGGCTCAGGGTATGTTCCTGGCCGGTGGACGGGGAGCCTATGCTGCTACACCTCTCCAGGGACCTTTGGCGTACCTTGAGAAAACCGCTACCAATATAGGTATGGTAAACTCCTACTAATATAATAGTCAGTTGATGAAAGATCTGTAATGTGAGTTTTCGAGGATGTTTATAAATAAGTATCTCTTTCTCGTTACTCTTCGAAGCAAAACCTATATCAAAGTTTTTTTAACGTTGCCCCACACTTGATATTTCTCCTGTGTCGTGGGTGCGTTTAGAAATATAAAATTTCACATACACATCATACCCAGAACCGGAATCACAATTTGTGGATCACACAAAGAGTTGTTCCTTGCGTGAATCAAACCCGCGACACGTTGCACGGCAGCCAGTTGCTCAGCTACCGCACCAACCGTGCAGTCATCATACATAAATAATAGATTTTGTTGTGATACAATATTGCTGTCTGTTGTGATAGAAAGATTAAGGTCCGGAGTGTCACTTTTTACTCTAGCTTTACTCCGGCGTGCAAAGATTTAAGCAGTTTACAAACAACAACTCCTGCTTTTTCCTCCAGTTTAAAGACTAGTTTAGAGCACCACCTAGTGCGTTCGTTATATTTCGTTTCGGGTTTGCGGCAAGCAATAATGTCCCGCAGCCACACTCTGGGCGAAATAAGTCACGTTAATCGGCACGGAGGTCACCGGTGACCGACGGTAGCGGAGGATTTCCCTACAATCATTTTCTGAAACAACAATTTGTGGAACACACAAAGGGTTGTTCTTGCGGGATAATCGAAACCGCGACACGTTGTGCGGCAGCCAGTTGCCCAGTCACCGCGCCACTCACGCAGTCATAAATTATATAGGTCGAAGCGTGATGCCATGCGGCCTATCCATTCCAAAAATAATTGTTCAATTTGACCAATCAGTTCCGGAAATTAGCGCGTTTATAAAAAATAATCTATTCAGCTTTATAATACATATGAGTATTGAAATGCGTTATTTATCTTTGTCGCAGACATGGTGGGTCTGGGCGATGGAAGAAGGTGACGCGGCCGCGGGAGGGGCAGGGGCAGAGGCCGCGGCAGAGGCCGAGGTAACTATAACTTTTTTCTTTGTTGGTGTACAAGATTGTTATTATGCGTTTGAAGAAACTGATGATTTCTTATATTACTTGTGTATGTATTGTAATAAAATCAAATCTGAATCTATTTTCAATCTGAAATCTAATAAAATCTGACTGATAATATTCAAGATTTGTTGATTTCATTGTTTGCCTATATGCATAAAGAGTGCATACAGATTGACAGTATAAATAAGCGGTCATACATATGTTTTTCAAACCATAAATAGATACTTTTGAAACGTAAAAATAGAATAAGTCGCTTGGTCAGCGAAGCTAGATGCTCGTTCCAAAGTGTAGATTCGAATGTAAATGGAAATACCATATATTATGAATAGGTATTTTTAAGTATTGATGATTTCAAGTATTTAATAAGTATATGACATTAAACTTCGTTTATAAAGTAACGGTAAAAACTGATCATATTCTCTCTCGCAGGTCGTGGTGCATCCCCTGAGTATGGTGGCAGCATGACTCCTCCATAGCGCGCCCCCTCCCGGCGGCGTCCGAGATCGCGCCGGACACACATTCATACACACAGACAGACATACAAGGTGTTTTTTTTACAATTAGAATTCTGCGCCATCTATTGCGGTATACGGCAATATAGTTTCAGGAATACACTACTAGATGGCGCTCATTGTACATTTTTCTATACCTTAGTTATTTTTTCTTTTTTGCTTGATTATTACCTCAGTTGTGTAACAATTGAGCCAGTATCGTTGTGTTTACTGGAATGTAAAAATGTTGCTACAAAACTTCTTTCTGCCTCAGCTCAGAATTAAAAAAAAACACCTTGTATGATCCTAATACTTATTTAGCACAATATAATCAATAAAAAAAAAACATATTTTTTAACTTGAAATTACAATATGGAAGATGACACACCTTTTTTTTTCATATTTAAACTTTTTTTCAGTATTACCTATAACAGAATATACATGTTTTTGTAATATACCTTAACAATTAAAGAGTTCCTTGGAAAAAACATACTAAACCCTAATTCAGTTTTATTTAAGTGCATTTAGGTGGCACGGGTTTTCATAAGGTCTGATTTTTCAATGGTTAGATAAAAGTTACCTGGGGAATAATTATGATGCTGTCGCGTCACAATGTTTGTATAAGACAGTGACAGCAACAATTTTATTAGTCCGATAACATTTATCTGACTATTGAAAAATCAGCCCTAAAAGGAATTTAAGTCTTTACCTGCAGACAAAAACTGATGAAGTTAAATCCCTCGTTAGCGCATTGACCGCGTGAGCAGTGAATGAGTTAGTAAAGTTCGAAAAAAAAAAAACACTTAAAATCGAATTTTTACCTACGTGATTTTAAGTTTGTGTGGTAATATGAAACCATTTTTTTGTCCTCTATACCATTTTTCGAAATATTTTCTTAATTGTATCATCATCACTGTTATAAGCCTTTTCCCGTCCACTGCTAGAAAAAGGCCTCTTAATTTTTTTTTAATATGCCTCACTTTATGATTTTCTTCCGTGTCGTGGGGACATACGGGGGGCGTTTATAAACATACAATTTCAAATACACATCACACCCTATGAAAATGAACCTATTTGTGTAAAATTTGGTACAGACATAGTTTGGAACTCGAGAAAGGACATATAGTTTTTAAACCAAAATCTGCAGAAAGTCAATATTCCACGCGAACTATGTCGTGGGCAAAAGCTAGTATTATATCAATAAGTATACCTATTTAAAAGTTTTCATGAGAATCCGTACGCCTAAACTATCTAAATAAAACAGAAAGTAAAAGAAATATTAAGACCATTGCTCATTATTTAATGAAGGTCAATTTATTCAAGTCATCTTCCATATGCCACCATGAAGATTCCAAGACCAACCATGGAGTTTCTTGCACCAAAATGTATTAAAATCTAGTCAGAATTAATTAAGTCAAGTATTTAAGTAAGTATACAGGTGTAAAAAGACACTTAACGAAGCCGTTAACTACGCATACTGCAGTTCTAACTAAGTAGCTTTACGCTAAAATTATCACTGGGAAACGACTTTTATTTTTAGATATCAAAAAAATAATAATAATTTTATTGCGCGCAATGTAAAGCAAACGGGCTTCGTGTCAATGTGTGCGTAGGTTCACAGCTTTGCATGAAAACGCTGTGATAAGTACGTAGGTCGACGTTTTACTTCGCAACAACAGAACAATTCTGTAAAATAAAAATCCTACTGAGATGCACGATGTTTTTGTGCGGGTCTGCATTTATTTATTACGTACATTACTGTTCGTAACTTCAAATGCGTAATTTATTTAGAAAAATCGAAATTCAGGTAATGTTTGTTTGGAAAAAAGTTTTGTAATAATATCTACTTAGAATTCGATTGCGCATAAAAAGAAATATTAAAAATGCATCTTTGACCTTCAATATCTCGAGAACCCGTGGAGTCCCAGCTTTGGTCTTAAAGAAAAAAATGATCCAAATAATGGGTAGAATACGTGGCTTTCGGCTTCGTTAAGTGTCTTTTTACACCCTGTATAGAATTATAAATTACTAGGTAATATTATAAAGCTAAAGGGATTTTTTGTTTACTTGGGCGCGTTATACTCCTGAACTACCGGTCCGAATTTGAACAATTTATGTTGGATAGTCCATTTATCGATTGCTAAGGCTATAAAATATAAAAGTGTGGGAGAGCCGGAGGCCCATTCTCTATCTTCCTTCACCTAGCCGTTTTTTTTTTCTATATTATAGAACGTCGAATGAGTAGACGGATTGCCCGATTGTAAGCTATCGCCGCTCATGGACACCCGCAACACCAAAGGAGTTACGAGTGCGTTGCCGGCCTTTTAAATAAGGGTTTCGGATATTAAATGATTGGGTAGGAATGGGAAAGTGCGGGGGATTGAGCCTACGGTAACCTCACTCACACGACGAAACACAACGATATGGTTGTTTCACGCCGGTATTCTGTGAGACCGTGGTATCACTCCGGTCGAGCCGACCCATTCGTGTCGAAGCTTGGCTCTCCCACAAACTTCACGTAAACCCTTAAAAACATACAAGGGCCGGCGATGCACTTGTAGTAAGTAATTTTGTATAACGACTGTCAATGGGCAGAATCAATTACCTACCATCAGGTTACCACTGCTCGCCGTCCTATCACATACAAAAATGGCAGACTGTCACACGCTTGGTAATCATTACAAAACTTTTGAAAAGTAGGTGTAACTTCTCATAACTACAGATCTGCTTAACCCTTCAGGGACTAGAGTCATTAAGATATTAAAGTAAAATAATAATAATATTAAAATGTAGTTTCGAGTAAGTACTTATAGCAATAATGTGACAAAATTAATAAACAAATTAGTATGAAAAATATATTGTTTTATTTTAGCTTAATAACCACCTAGGTACAGTTTAGATTCCGCGCGCGCCAATAGACCACCACAGACAGGGCCCTATAGGGCTGATGTTCAGCCGGTGTGGAGGGGTAAGCGCAATAAGGCACCGAGACCTCAACCAGGAGAAGGAACAGGGGTTTTTTAGTCAGTAAGAGTCTGACACTTCCTCCCGCCCGGCCCTGGGCGGTAGAAGTTATTTGATGATTTTCCCCTTACAAAAAAAAAACGTTCAACACCTATACTGTAGGTTTAGGTGTTGAACACCAGTATTCTATTTACTCCTATCCCATTTCGTAGTAACAATATTCTATTTCATAGTACGACGGAATAGAATACAAATGCAATAATAATAAAAAAATGTTAATTACTTATTGTCGAAAACAAGACGATTGTTGTATTCACATACTTCTATTTTTAATTTACCTGTTTTCTATTTCAAATGTCTTGATTCTCTCTATATTCTGCAAGCTGAAGTGGCAATGGACAGCATACCCACTAAGGATTGTAGTCCAAAAAACCAGAAATTCTGAACCGGAAGACGAAACGGAACCATTTACATCTTCAGAGGATGCAGGTGACTAGTGGTCGTTCGAAGTGGAAGATAAAGGGGGGGGGGGGGGGGCTGAGCTGATGATGCTATATCCATATCAGTAGACCAGTAGGTTCCGCTTCTTGCTATCATAATCTTCTTCTATCCTTTTTCCCACTATTCTACTATCGACTATCCAGTTTCACAATATTCTATTTCACACTATCCCAGTTTAAAAACAAATGTCTATAAGAAAAAAGGAAATAATAACAAAAATCATATTTTTCGAATACATTTATTCAAATTATTCTTATCAATCCCGCCCTGGCCACACGACACTCTCAATCCATGGTACATAATGAAACACTCGTGTATACATCCCGGCTTCGCCCGCGTACCCGCACGCTCGACCGTATGACGTCACGCCAATGATAGTGTGCTGACATTTTGAAAATTGTGACTTCACTTGTAGAGGTCCTCCGCTGTCACCCTAGTGAGGAAAATAAAATTGATGAGGGCAACTGAAGTCGCAGTCAAATCATTTATTTCAATTAGGCACACCTAAGAATCATTCTTTTTAAAAAAAAAAAAAACTTTGCTCTACATTAGGATTTTCTCCTGTGTCGTGGGTGGGGTACAATTTCACATGCACATCACACCCTGACCCGGAACAACAATCTGTGGATCACACAAAGAGTTGTTCCGTACGGGAATTGAAACCACGACACGTTGCGCGGCAGTCAGTTGCCCAGCCACCGCGCCAACCGTGCAGTCGAGAATCCTGGCGAGTACCAATGTGACTTTTTCGGAGTTATATGTACTCTCTATGATTATTCAGACACCACTGACATACGGTGAAGGAAAACATCGTGAGGTAACCTGGACTCATAATTCCTTATAAGTTTGAAATCGCCAATCCGCCTTGAGCAAGCGTGGTGGTTAATGCTCAAACCTTCTCCGTGTGTGAAGCGGATTATGCTCAGCATGCACATTTAAAAATATTTAAAGATATTATCCATCTAGCTATTCCTTAGAGGTGCTATTTGCTCTTACACACCACATACTGTAAACGTAGCAAGAGGGTCAGTTAGTCCAGAGTTTTTCAAACTTTTTTTGCTAAGAACCCTATTGAATGAAAATCATTTTCTATAATTGAATAAACAATACCCGTAATTAATTTCATATACCTATCTATTTTATTTTGTGACAATTATTTAACCTAACGTCATTTTCATTTTCATAATTATTTTTTAATACATTTTTAAACCGAATGCGTCACTGCACTGCCTTTTTTTGTGAGGGGAAAATCATTTAATTCTTAAACTTCTCGCGCCCAGGGCCGGGCGGGAGGGAGTGTCAGACTCTAACTGACTAAAAACCCCCCTGTTCCGTCTTCTGCTCGGGGCCGAGGTCGCGGTGCCTCATTGCGTTTACCGCGCAACCCTAAGATTTAAGACTTTCCTTTAAGATGGTAATGTCTAAATAATCATAGAAAGTACATATAATTCTGAAAAAGTCATTAAGTGTTGGAAAGCTAAGCTTCGGCAGGAATGAATCGGCTCGACCGGAGTGATACCATGGCCTCTCAGAAAACCACAGTGTTGTATTTCGCCGTGGAAGGCTCAATCCCTTCCCTTCCCCCATCCTTTCCCGATCCTTATGTATCCGATATCCTTATCCCCAAAAGGCCAGCATCTTACTCGTAAATCCTTTAGTGTTGCTTACCATCAGGTAATCCGTCTGCTCGTTTACTAATACTATAAATAAACAACACTTAAGTACCTCACACGTATCTTTGGGTTCATTTGGATCCCCATAGCATAGCTGTGTCTTCGCATCATACCCTTTCTTCAGCAGCCGGTGAGGGGGGTAGTTCTTCAGGCACTTTTCATCAGAAAATTTCTCCAGAATAACCTGAAAGATGCGAATTAGTGAAAAAATATAACAAAACAAATCTTTTTTCTTTTCATCCACAAATTGTTGTTTCGGGTCTGGGTGTCTTTTCTATGTGAAATTGTATTTTTGTTGACGCACTCACGACACAGGAGAAAACCCTACTGTACGGCAACGATTTTTTTTAATACTTCTGGTATTACAAACACTAAAAGAGTTTTCTAGAGGGGGAAGACCATCAAATGACTTTTAGCTTGGGAGAGGCGAGGAGAGTGTCAGACTGACTGCTTCTCACAACTCTGGATAGAGGATGTCCATAGGCTTGAGTAACTGTTTTTCACCAGGAGGAGCTGTTTAATTGGTTGCGGGTCAAGCCAATAATTTACTGCGGCCTCGCTTGGAGTAGGAGAAGGATGGCTTTTTTTTGTGAGGGGAAAATCGTCAAATGACATCTCCCGCCCAGGGTCGGGCGGGAGGGAGTGTCAGACTCTTACTGACTAAAAACCCCCCTGTTCCTTCTCCTGCTCTGGGCCGAGGTCGCGGTGCCTCATTGCGCTTACCCCGGCTGAACATCAGCTCTATAGGGCCCCGTCTGTGGTGGTCTATTGGCTCTTTGAGGCGCGCACGGAACGCTACGCGCCGTACGCTCGGGCATGGCGTCAGTAAAAGTCTGACGTTCCTTCTTAACGGTGCGAGAGAAGTCGTTTGATGTCCGTGTGGCGAAAAACTCTTAAGTTCAAAAAGATTGCATTCGTTTTCTATTATTTTTACAGATATTTTGGAAGTCAGATTTGATTTTAAGTTAATGAAACAATGAATTTATTTTTGCAAATAGGCCATAAAACGGCACTTTTACACGTCAAATTATATGTGAAAAACTAGATGAAGCCGGCATTTCTTTAAGTTAATTAATTTATTTTTGACAAACTTATGTCAATGGATCATTTTCTATCTTCTACTTCAAGACATCATAACTTAGGTCTACTTATGATAATTTATTCGTATTTTTTTTCCTATAATGGCCATAAGATTTACAAAAAAGGCATTTCAAGGTTATCCATTCGTTGTGTTGTTGTGGCATTTTGAGCGAGGGACATATTTAAGGACCTGATTCTGGTGCTAAAATTAAACAACTTTTTCCATATTTTCCATATACGGAAAATGATTAATCAGTTGTTGCGACTTGTACCTACGGGGAAGTAAAGTTTTGAGATTTCCATATTGGTGAGCATCAGAATCGGGTCATTGAATACGTCCCTCGTTCAAAATGCCACTCTGTATATCATGAGTTCTCACCATTTGCAGATTATCAGCTAGAGGTTGATTTTTGCCAAGTTTTCCCCAACCAGTTGCCTCGGCTGAGTAGTGTTCTGTACTTCCGAAGTCTAGGCACGCTGGGAAAACGTCTTTGCTGTATTTGACACTGTAATTAGATGAAAATATTTTTATTTCGTGTATCTCGTTGTGGCCCTGATGTGCTCACTTCTGAGCATAACAATGCGCGTTCAAAAACTGACCAGTACTAATGAGACGTTATCAGTGTTAATTTAATTTATATGATTATTTTGTTGTGTCACTATCATACGGCGAAGGAAAACGTCGGGACATTTAATTTCTAAGTATAAGTTTGAAATAATTTGAAAGTATAAGTTTGCTAATCCTTGAACAAGTGCTGTGATTAAGGTTTAAACCTTCTCCGTGTGAACTCAATAGGCTATAGACTGTAAGTATTTTTATCACTAGCAAATGCAGCACGAATAGGTTGGCTCGGTAGGAGAGATACTACAGCCTCGCAGAATACCAGTGTGAAGTAACACTAATAAATATCAATATCCCTTCTCCCCATCCCTCCCCAATCCTAAAATATGTAACCTTAATTTCAAAAAGGCCAGCAACTCCCTCGTAACTCCATAGGCGGCGACAATTGTTTACCATCAGGTAATCCACCTGCTCGTTTGGCGACCTATTTTATAAAAATAAATACAGAAAAGTTGACTTACGACCTGTCGACCTCTAACAAGGCGATGTCATTGTATTTAGAGGGGGGCGCGTACTCCGGGTGCTTTATGATCCTCCTCACTTTGTAAATCTGCCACAACTCCATAGGATCTGAACGCTTTAAGATACCTAAAGCTACCAATGTCACAGGTCCTCTGAAAAAACAATGCACAACTTTCATTAACATCAGCATGCCATCACCAAGAAGGCCACTGCCTAACATAGGCCTTCTCCAATGACTGCCATATCAGTCGGTTCGAAATATTCTGCATCCAGTGGTTCTCCGCGACCTTTATTAGGCCGTCTGTTTACCTAATATTCTCCATTCTAATATTCTTCTTTCTTTTAAATGTAGAAGAGCCATGAATCAGTACAAATGAGACGCCAAACAGTGATGTCACGATCTCACGTGGTACCGGCGTTTAATAACGCGTTCTTTGCGCTCTTTCCCTCCTTCCCTGCCCCAAAATCTCCCATCCTCATCCTCCCTCGACCTAGGGGTTTGAAGCCCTCTAAAAGTGAGTGTACATTGCCAGTGCCAATTGCTTACCATCAGGTGATCCGTCTATAGGTCTGCGTATTTACCGCCCACAAAAACAATGGTATGGTCATGGCCTTGGTCTAGCCATGATGGCATTTCACTATCACATAAATGGAACATCAGTTCGTCTGTCCGTCTGGGTACCCGCTTTTGAGAAAAATATAAAGTCTCCTTACATGACAGTCTCTGAGAGGCAGTGGGCGGCCGTCAGTATGAACCTGTCGCTGATCAGTGACCCACCACACAACCACTGAGCTGAGATGACATCTTCTCCATAGCCTAGCAAAGCCTGTGGATGGAAAAAATCAGGATTATTAATAACAACCACCAGGTAGATGGAATTACAATGACAGTCACCAGGTATCTAGGTTAGCAGGCAAAACCTGAAATATCAAGAAACTTTCTGCCTCTCACGGTAAAACTTTGGAATGATCTTTCGGTGGCGGTATTTTCGAACCGATACGACCTTCAAACCTTCAAGCAATGAGCTTACTCCTTCCTAAGCAACTCGTCTATGTCTCTGGTGTTGCTCTATAACAAGAAAGTGTAAAAAAGACAATCGAGACACCTCATTCTCGACACTAATGATAGTCTGATCATCATCATCATCATCATTGCTGTCTCCGTCCACTGCTAGACTCGGTCTTCGGCTCTTTTCATCAAATCACCTATTTTTCAGGACAATCTTCCGATAACTTGAATGTCTTTTCCTGGGCCTGGGTGAGGCAAGAGATAGAGTCGGACTATTACTGACTAAACACCACCCTGTTCCTTCTCCTACTCCAAACCAGGGTACAGTACGTTATATCCCTTGGATCCGCAACCCCTGAAAGACTTTGCTGTGACGCGGTCTACAATTCTACTTATATCTATTACTTTGTATGAACTCACCATATGTGGGTAACTCGACCTATTAGCACTCTGCCCACCGATAACCACTGCATGGAATTTAGTCTCAAAATTATTGCATTTATCCTGCTTATCCCAAACCTTTTCTAATCCATTTGATTGACATGGGTACGGGAGACGCGATAGATTTTCCAGACATTCTGAAAAGTAAAAGATAAAATTCCAAGTTTTGATTGAATTAAGTTCTTCCATCCTGGGAGGCTACTGCTTACTGACTAAAAACCATCCTATTCCTTTCCCCTTTTTGTGCTGATGAGTGCCCCTGAGACTCTTTGAGGTATGAGACTCGGGTAGGTTTTGATCGGGCAGCAAGCTACCCTTGCTCATCGCACGCAGACCCGAGCCTAAAGTGGCCGGAAATCGTCGCGCAATCCTCGAAGCCCGTAGTGTTTCCTACTGTGGCGGATAGGGCGTGAGGAGGATAGTTCTCTCACGCACTTCTTCTCCTCCTTTGTGATCATAAGTGCTTCGCAGAAAGCGGCTCTCATTTCTAAATGAAACGACTTGCTAGATTCCCCTAGGTAAGTTATTTTTATGACAAAACAAATGTAGTACGGGAATTGGTTAACCACTTGACTTATCGCAGACTTAAAATGTTCATAGTTACTAAACTTGGCTGGGGAGCCGGTACATATAGGCAGCTAAGTTTATTTTTACAAGGTTTATATCTCTGCAAGTAGACTAGATTAGCAAAATTTTGAACCGTATACTCACTATCTCTAGCCTTCTGTCCGTTTTTGAAGAAAATCCCCCCTCCAGTGTCGACAATAGCATTCCTGAAAGAATAAGAATAATTTTATTGTTTAGAAAAAATTTCATGCTTATGAATCTAAGGCAAATCTCTCTAAATGGGAGAGTCATGCTTCGGCACGAGTGGGTCGGCTCGATCGTAATGTCACTACGGTCTCGCAGAAAACCGGCGTGAAACAACGTGTGAGTGACGTTACCAGAGCCCTACTCCTTACTTACCTTCCCTCCACTCCTCCTAAATCCCTTAATCTCCGAAAGATTAATTCCCAAAAGTCTGGCAACGGACTCATATCCTCTCTGATGTTGCGAGTGTCCTTGGGCGGCGGTGATTGCTTACCATCAGGTACTTAATCCACCGGGTTGTTTGCCAGCTTGTTTTATAAAACTTTGCTCAACACTATCATTTTCTTCTTCATCGTGGGTGCGTTTACAAATGTACGATTTAACATACACTTAGACTATTTTGTGAGGGGAAAATCATCATATCTCTCACCCAGGATGAGGCGAGAGGGAGTGTCAGACTCTTATTGATTAATAACCCCTGAGCTGAGCAGGTCACACATAGACCAGGACCAACAGTTTATGGATCACACAAAGTGTTTTGTCTACGTGGAAATCGAGCCCGCCATCCGTAGCATAGAAGTCAGTTCCCTAGTCACCAACCAAACCGTGCATTCTTTGGCATAAAAAGAAAAATATCCTTACCTCGTATCGTTGACTAGTTTGCAATCAGTGCAGCATACAACAGGCTCTCTTTTCTTGAACGAACATATCTGATGGGAAAATTAAAAAAAATATCACTACTGTCTGTACCTAATATCCATATGTAATATCCTCTTGGATAGAGGTATAATCATAAAATTAATAAGAAATAAAAGAGGTCCAGTGTGGGAGAGCCATGCTTCGGTACGAATGGGTCGGCTCGACCGGAGTAATACCACGGCCTCACAGAAAACCGGCGTGAAACAACCACAGCGTTGTGTTTCACCGTGATTGAGGTTACCGGAGGTCCAATCCTTTCCCTACCCCAATCCCTAAATCTCCAAATCCCTAATGTCCAAAAGGTCGGCCACGCACTGGTAACTCCTCTGTTGGTGCAGGTGTCTATGGGTGGCACTGATTGCTTACCGTCACGTAATCCGTCAGCTCGTTTGCCGACATACCACATAAAAAATAGGTCTGCTAATAAATTATTTTATTTTTTAATTTTTTTCATACTACCTAATTCTTTTTGAAGTTTTTTATTCTATAACTCCCTTTTCGATGGCGTTTAAAAAAGACGCCGTATAATCATAGGGCGTCGCGACACAAATGTTGAGAATCACTGCTTTAAAGTCTTCAAAAGTGAGTTCCTCAGTTTAGACACTGTAGACCTCAACCAATCAACCACAATAAATGTTTGGTTGATTTGGTTGATTGGTTGATTGGTTGACCTCCAGGGAATAACGATCGATAAGTTGAGAAACACCGCTCTAGAGCCTTAAAAATTAGTTGTTAAAAAAACGCTGTAGACCAGACAAGTTGAGAAACAACATTGCTTTAAATTAAAATTAAAAAAAAAACTAAAGAAAACCTAGCAAAAGTATCATCGTCCGTCAGCAGTCTGAAAACTTAAACAAGTATTTAACAAATCGTATTTTTTTTTTAGTTTTTCGTTTGTGAGCAGTGAATAGGTTTATAACTACATTTATGTAGGTACGCTTAAATCTTTAAAATTACGCAACGGATTTTGATGCGCGTTTTTTAAGTAGACAGAATGATTAAAGAGGAATGTTTACGTGTATATTATTTACATTCATTAAATAGTGCAGAATTTAGAATCACCATCGCACTCTTGCTAAACTGAGGCGGATTTCCTTTTATAATTGTTGCAATTATCAGAATTGGTAACTTTGCTGTATAATATAATGTTATCATTAATTGTTGTGAAGAATCACTCAGGACAGTAAGGAGCTGGTATAATTACCGCAGGCCGAGATTTAGTCTTAAGGTCCACGATGGATGACAGGCATCTGTACACATGGGCGCATTTGCCAATACCTTGATCAGTTTCGCAGATTTCTCCTGAAAAGGGACGAAAAAAGGATAATCAATACTTGATATAAAACAAAGTCGCTTTCTTTGTCCCCATATTCCTATGTAAAGTGTGGGAGAGCCATGCTTCGGCACGAATGGGTCGGCTCCACCGGAGTAATGCCACGGCCTCACAAAAACGGGCGTGAGAAAATCACAGCGTTGTGTTTCGCTGTGCGCCCAATCCTTCCTTACCTAATCCGTCCGCAATCTCTAAACCACCAAATCCCCAAAAGGTCGACAACGCAATCGGGTGTCGCTGATTGCTTACCATCAGGTAATCCGTCTGCTCGTTTGCAGTTCTATTACAAAAAAATGCTTTAATGTTTTAAACCTACGCAACGGACTCTGATGCGGTTTTTAGTAAATACATTAAAGAGTAAATTCTAATATGTATAATAACATCTGAGTTTGTTTCGGCATTTCTTCTCAGAGTAGTCAGATAGGAAATGCCGGCTTCATCTAGTTTTTCATGGCCTATTTGCAAAAATTAATTTATTGTTTCATTGTTTCATCCATTAAATAGTGGAGAAATTTTGTACCAGCATTGTAACTGTGGGAACCCGGGGTGGGTCGCTAGTTAAATACATATGAAAGAAGAAGAAAGAAGAAAGAAAGAAAAAGTATTTATTCGCGTCTGGGACGCATAAAAGACACAAAACGAACAAGATAATAAAATGAAGTTAAAATAAAAATACATTGAGCCATATATTATTAACTTCAATTTTGAGTGGAGAACTTCGATAACTGGCTTCTCCCGCCCTGGGCAGGATGGCGGAGTGTCAGGCTCTTACTGACTAAACACCGGAAGGAAGAATTCAATGGACTATTTCGCCTCTCAAAAAAGAATTTGTAGTTTATGGATATTCAACCATTTGTTCATGAGTCAGTGAAAACTATGAGGTTTTTTTTAAGTGTTAGGTTCCGTTTAGTTAGGAGCTTTCATCAAAGAAAGAAATGTCATTGTATGTAGGTACCTGTTTACATTTATTATTTAACAAATTTATACTAACAGTGTTTGTATATACATACAGAGTGTAAAACAACAAGTAACAATATTTTTGGCTTATAGATAAAGTTGACAAATTACAGGTTTACTACAACATTCTAAAAAAGTAAAACCGAAAAATAGATTCGATGAATATAGTCTTCTAATTTGCTCACTTACATTAAAATCTAAATTATAATAACTTAAAATAATATCTATAAAGATAAAGGTTATATCCAAAGAAAAAAAAAACAAAAACGAAACGCAACGAAATCAAGAAAAACAAACAAGGATGGAAAAACATATTATAACATAACAAACTATTATAAGCTATGTTATACTCATAGAATTCTATTTCGCTTGCTTCTTGCATCTATTACTGGATTCTCTGCATCACCCAAAGGTCGACTGGTAGAGAATGCTCAATGCATTAAGTCCGCCTAATGTATATCAATTGTGCATGAAAGTATAAATAAAAATAAAATAAGTCCGTCCATTATACCTACATACATACATCTCAAGTTTTTCTGTTTATTTTATGGTAAAATTACAATAGATGAATACTATAAGTCGAGAGATTTGGAATAAGGTAAGAAGGTAACGTTTTAATACCAAGAAAGCGAGCGAAAACGCTAATACGGTAGTTTCCAAATAGTCAAATTCAATACTTTTATCCAAACGTCAAAAACGATACTTTTCTATGAAATTTGTATGAAAAACTGAGCTATGACGTCATAACTTTTTGCGTCAAATAGCTTACTTAATTCTTAATAATTAGCTAAAAAAAAAAATCTAAAAATTAGTGTATCGATCGATTGATGAATAAAAGTGTAGTTATTTTTCAATATTTTATTGTATTGAGACGTCGAAATAATTTATTTTTGACCTAGGAAACTACTCAATTAACAGAAAGGAATTAATGACAATAAACTATATTATTATAAGTAACTTACCTTCGACAAGATCGTAAGAGCACTGCACAGTTGTAAACAAAAAAATCACATACACTAACACAACATTATTAAACTTTAACATGTTAAAAAGTCAACCAAATTGTTAGCTTTAGGTATTTATTTAATATTATTGTTTTAAAGTCGCGCGAACGAACTGCAAAATGTGGTTACTGGTTAACTAAAGCGACAAAGACTAACAGTTAATAAAAAACAGGTTTCCGTCACAGAGTAATTTAAATAAAATGACTAATTTGTTATTTTCCTGTTCTGTTGTTGTTATTTTAATCGGATTCATTCATAAGAATTATCTAATTTGACGTTTATTTGATGAATGTCGTTTTTACGTAGATTTTTATGTGATAGGACGGCCAATGACCTCTTGGTATGCAATCGGCGCCGCCCATAAAATTGCGGGCCTTTTGAGGAATAGGGTTTCGAATATTTAGAGATTGGAGTGGAATTAAGAAGGTTGAACCGCCAGTAAAGTAAACTGTCACACAGCGAAACACAATGCTGTGGTTGTTTCGCGTCGGTTTTCTGTGAGGCCGTGGTATGAGTCCGGTCGAGCCGACCCATTCGTGCCGAAGCATGACTCTTCCACGCTTAAATCGATAGCTGTACTCATAGATATTGGTAGTATTTTTTAATGGGTCGGCTCGACCGGAGTGATACCACGGCCTCACAGAATACCGGCGTGAAACAACCCACAGCGTTGTGTTTCACCGTGTGAGTGAGGTTACCGGAGGCCCAATCCCTCCCCTTCCCTATCCCTTCCCAATCCTTATATCCGCAACGCCCATCCCCAAAAGGCCGGCAACGCACTCGTAACTTCTTTGGTGTTGCGGGTGTGTCCATGGGCGGCGCCGATTGCTTACCATCAGGTTATCCGTCAGCTCGTTTGCCGACCTATTACATTAAAAAAAAGTGGGCATTATTTGTTTATCACTACTTTCTTGGCGGTTGTTTGCAGAGCAGAGGATATCGAGTTCCAATCTCGAAGTTAAAGCCAGGACAGTTTATTTTTAATCTAAAATTAAAGGAACACTAGAAAGGTTGGAAACAGAACTGCCTCTGTGTAAAGATAATCCTAAGATTGGGGATGGACCGAAAGCTTATCCCCCCTAAGGCCCGGCAACGCCCTTTGGTATTGCGAGTGTCCATGGCCGATGTTGATTGCTTACCACCAGGCAATCTATATGCTTGTGGACTTTTCACGTCGGGTATGGGATACCCACATGCAGAACCGTGGTGGTGAATTGTTTTCCTCTCTGGCGTGTCGTGGTTGCCTGGAGGTGAAGGCGCCCGATTCTAATGCATAAGGGTGCGGGTTCGAAATCTGGCAAGTACCAATGTGACTTACCATCAGGTAATCCGTCTGCTCGTTTGTCGACATATCACAAATGTCACGGTATTTTCCTTAATATTATATGTATGTACCTTAGTATGTGCTTCGTATAATAATGTGCCCAACTGAATCATAAGTACAATTAGCCGCTCATCAAGCTACCCTATATCTTTATTTTATAATCATCTCTATCGCATAGATTGTAAGGTTGATAATACAATAATCTTTTGAAAGGATAAGTGTATTTTTATGTGTCTTGATAAATTATTTCCTTAGATCGAAGTTAAAGGTAAAATAAATGGATTTCAATGAGGACTTAAGAGTTGTTACCAGCGTTTCCCTCCATAGAAATAGAGTTGAAAGTAGCCTATATCTTATTCCAGACTATAATCTATCTCTGTGCCAAATTACATTCAGATCCGTTCAGTAGTGTTTACGTGAGAGAGTAACAAACATCCATCCGTACTTACACACTTTCGCGTTTATAATATTATTAGGTAGGAGTATGTACCTTTACCATTTTATTTTTTGTTAGGGCAAAATCATCAAATGACTTCTCCCGGCCAGGGTAAGGCGAGAGGGAGTGTCAGACTCTTACTGACTAAAAATCCCCTGTTCCTTCTCCTACTTTGGACCGAGGCCGAGGTGACTTATTGTGCTTACCCCTCCACCCCGGCTGAACATCAGCCAGAAATGAATCACAAAATGTGTTGGTAAGCGCATAACTCAAAAACGCCTGGACCGATTTTGCTAATTATTTTTCTTGATGTGTTTGTTATTGTCGAGGATATACTGAAAAACATCGACTCTTCCGTTGTACGCGACGAAGTTGGACAATTAAATTATAAGAAGTTCTCAGTTTTGGTCATCATCAAAATTGTCATCAAAGAACAAAGTCAAAATCAAAATCATTTATTACAATTAGACCCTTACAAGCACTTTTGAACGTCGAACAAAATTTTGAAGATATAGTGTCAGTCTGTCGGTCAGTCCTCTTAGTGAAGCTATTTGCTCGTTCCAAAGTGTAGATTCCGATGGAGAAGAACGAGCAGGAAACTCCATGGTTACTCTTTTCAATCAGTTTCACAAACTTATATTTACTTGGTTTCATTATTAAGTAGGTAGGTTAGTTAATGTCAATGTGAAAAAAAAAACAAGTAAATTCCTTCTTACATTTTTATTTTACAATAATTAATTTCAAATAATATACAACATTTTCAATAATTTAACACTTTATTAATGCAATTATATAGAGAAATCAATAACCAATCTCAATACAATATTTGTGGACTAAGATCGAAGTATGGAAGAGCCAAGCTTCGGCACGAATGGGTCGGCTCGACCGGAGTGATGACCACGGCCTCACAGAAAACCGGCGTGAAACAACCGAAAAAATATAATAATTTTTAAATTCCTAACCTCTAAAAGGTCGGCAACACACTTATTACAAAACAATGTTTATGTTTATTCTATACTCGGACTTTTAATTCCATTCCAGATTTGACAATTTCAGTGTTGCGACGTTATGACACGTACCTACTAAATAGTTGCGTTGCGAAATTATTCGATATGGAAATCGAATATTTCTGAATCGATTCCTCTCGTTTATAAATTTATTCTCGTAAAGTAAGTTAATCAGGAAATAAAATATTTCTGAACCGATAATTTAGTTTTGACAATTAATTAACGATCTGATACTTTTCTTTTGTAATTGTGTGTGAAATTAATAAAAAATGTGATCATGAAGGAATATGACAAATAAAACAGAAATTTTATAAATAGTCGCCGTCATCGCTATCGCTATTGCTGTTACTTTCTGTAACATTTATTATGAACTGATTCACTGATTGTTTATCGAATTTTGTGTTCATCACTACACTGTTATATGTGGTATCATTATTTCACAAAATGACAGTAGGTCATGTCAAATCAGGAATCGAATTAAAATTCTGACTATAGGTTTAAACCATTGAGACTGTTGTTGTATTTCAAATTGAAAGAAGGTGAGAATTAGATTCAAAATACAAACTAGAAGCATTTATGTAAAGCTATACTTGACATAAATCTTGTTTCGTTATAAGGCCAATTGTGTAGTTTCCTAGGTCAAAACTAAATTCGACGTTTCAATACAATAAAATATTAAAAATTAACTATACTTACTTTTATTCATCGATCGATCGATACACTAAGTTTTAGATATTTTTTAGCTAATTATTAAGAAATAAGTAAGCTATTTGACACAAAACAAACTATGACGTCATAACTCAGTTTTTCATAAGTAAAAATTTCATAGAAATGTATTGTTTTTGACATTTGGATAAAAGTATTGAATTTGACTAGTTGGAAACTACCGTATTCTGTAAAACTATGGTTATTTAAAAGTGTCTGGGGCCGTGTAGTGACAAATTTTGTATTCAAGTGTATCACTTTAGCTGTATGACTACACGTTCAGATAATCCGTCTGCTCGTTTGCCGACAAAAAGATATCGGTCCTCATATGAGATCAGTTATTAATTTCCTCATTTTGCAACTACATACCAAATCATAATAATTCATTCGTTGTTTACAAAAAAATGCTAGAAATAAACAAAGAAAATAATAAATAAATGCTTTTATACTAATCTTTGGGTAAGTTCGTGCAAAAACGCGGAAAGAAAGGGATGCTAGGTAGTCCCGAAAGCGTAATCGAAACAATCGGATATCCGATGTAAAAAATATATTCGAAACCACCACGCTTTCTCAACGCGGATTGGCGATTTCAAACTTTAAGAAATTATAAGTCCAGGTTTCCTCACCGTATTTCCTTCACCGTATAACATTTTTGCACGACTACGTCTAATTTTTTTGTTGTTTTTAACTAAAAACAGATCTGTGTTCACTAAATCTATAAATATACATAATATATTAGCGACCCGTCCCAGCTTCACACGGGTGCATGCTGATACTAAATCTCTCCACTATTTAATGGATGTTATTATACATATAAACCTTCCTCTTCAATCACTCTTATCTGTTAAAAAACCGCATCAAAATCCGTTGCGTAGTTTTAAAGATTTAAGCATACATAGGGATATAGGGACAGAGAAAGCGACTTTGTTTTATACTATGTAGTGATAAACACGGATCCCAATTTCCTTTTTTTTTCACAGTCAAAATCAAATTATTTAACAATTTCAAATAGTCAATAAAAGGCACTTTTGAACGTCAAACAAAAAAAGAAATAAATATCAAACGTTTCAACTGTAAGTGTGTCAGTCTGTCCTTCACTAGTGAACAGCTAGACCGATTCCGATAATTCTTTTAATGCTTTATTTCCTAAGATCAGGAGAAGGTCCTCATAAAGAACGGATTATGGAGTTTCTTGCTCGTTCTTCTCCATTCGAATCTACAATTTGGAACGAACACCTAGCTTCACTGACGAACAGACTGACAGACTACTATTCTATTTTGACGTTTCAAAAGTACCTATTTATGGTTTAGTTGGAATAAATGATTTTGATCTTTGAATATTTTAAGAAAAGTTAAAAGGAATATTGAGGATAAGCGACCCTTTAGATATCGTGGCGAATTGCTGCCAAAACAAATGACTGAAACCTACGGTGTTCGACATTTGGATGAAGCAGAGACGTATCGCTAATGGCACGTTTACACGCTTGCCGAGCCTTGGCAAGCGTCCACAAGCTTTAAATGTAATGACAGGGTCTTTAGCTTGGCTTTTTTATGGAATAGGACGCAAACGAGCAGACGGATCACCTGATGGTAAGCGATCAGTGCCGCCCATGGACACCTGCAACACCAGAGCAGCCACAAGCGCGTTGCCGGCCTTTTAAGAAGGAGTACGCTCGTTTCTTGAAGGTTTGAAGGTCGTATCGGTTCGGAAATACCGCCGCCGGAAGATCATTCCAAAGTTTTGCGTGTACCGCTTGTAATATGGTTGTAGGCGACCCGGTTCGGTGTCAGTTTTTTGGACACAGTTCAAAAGAAATTTGTGACAAGCGTTTGCGACGTATTTACACGTTGGCAATGTGTAAAAGATTGGAACTTGTGAAGTGTGGGAGAGCCATGCTTAGGCACGAATGGGTCGGCTCGACCGGAGTGATACCACGGACTCACAGAAAACCGGCGTGAAACAACCACAGCGTTGTGTTTCGCCGTGTGAGTGAGGTTACCGGAGGCCCAATCCTTTCTCAATCCCTAAATCTCTAATTCCCTAATCCCTAAAAGGTTGGCAACGCACTCGTAACCCCTCCTCTGCGGGTGTTCATGGGCGGCGCTGATTGTTTACCATCAGGTAATCCGTCTGCTCGTTTGCCGACCTATTACATAAAAAAAAACGTTAACCAAGTCTCGGCAAGCGTGTAAACGTACCGTAAGGTTTATTTACAAATATTTAAGTACTATTTCTAGGTAAGTAGGTACCTACATAATTATATTACAATGTAACAACAAAAAATACTTCTCGAGTTATGTAACATGGTTTCTGTAACTTTTTGAATGATTTTTTTTTTGTTAACATATGTATACCTAAAGTGCTATAAAAATACAGACAGACGTTTTTATAGTACCTTAAACATTAAAAAAGATCCGACGAATTGAGTTTCACCTACGTTTATTGAAGTCGGTATTTTTAAGTCAGAGAGAGCCATGCTTCAGCACGAATGAGTCGGCTCGACCGGAGTGATACCACGGCCTCACAGAAAACCGGCGTGAAACAACCACAGCGTTGTGTTTCGCCGTGTGAGTGAGGTTACCGGAGGCCCATGACTTTTTCAGGATGTTTTCTGAACGCCTCTTTTGACAAATCCGATCTGAGTCGATCGACTTCGTGCTAATCAGTATTCGAGATCACCCTACCAACGAGGCACTCAAACAAAATAATACTTACATACTTTTATTTATTGTCTAATACCTCCCTCTTCCTCGCGTCGGCTTCCTCAGGGCTGAGGGTCGTGACCACCTCGTGGAAGCAGTGTACTGCGTATTACTCTCCGCCATCTATTTCTATCTGCCGCCGAGTGGAGAGCATCGTGGACTGTAGTGTTGAGAGTGGTCTAATACCTATATATGTATATTTTTTGATGGCGAAAAATCATCAAGTGACTTCTCTCTCGAGAGGGACTGTCAGACTCTTACTGACTAAAAACCTCCCGTTCCTTCTCACTGACCAAGGTCGCGGTGCCTCATTGCGCTTACCCCGCAACCCCGGCTGAACATCAGCTCTGATTGGCTTCGTCTGTGGTAATCGTCTTTTTGTATATTTGTAAGTTATTAAGTACTATATAGGCCTATACATAAATACATACTTACACCTGTATTCTATAGTCAAAATATTAAAAATACACAACTAAGCTTTTTCAAAAAAGTTAATAATACTATTCACCACTTATATGTAGTCATAGTGAGTTCTAAACAATATTAACAGCTTACGCTCGTAAATTGTTATGGACTCTCGACTAGTTTCAAGAAGATTTCGAGGAAGATGTTAATATTAATTTTAATATGTCATTTAAATAATTCTTAGTTTAGGAAAAATCCTTATTTTTATACAATAATACTTTGTGTTAGCTAGTACTATATATTATACATATATTAAAGTGCTCAATTTAAGTATAATGACTATCGCGATATATAACAATTTTTTTTTGAAAATACTCACGTTCATTCTTAGTCATATTTCCTATTTCGTAATTCGTCTTTGCTAATAAACAATTTTCGATAATTAATTGTATTTATTAAATACTATTCTAAACTTCGTGATATTTTCTGAGATTTTTTTGAAAATCTCAGAAATATTTTTGGTATAGGCGCAGATGACTCATCCAGAGAGGCGTTGGAGGACTCATACCACAGAAACATAAAAATAAAATAGATGTATGAAAAACCAATGTACAAAAATTATTTTACAAGTGTTCAAATATACTCGCTTCTACCAGCGGCTCCGCCCGATGTACTTGGAAAAAAAGCCTATATGTTATTCCACACTATTATCTTTCTCTGTGCCAAATTACATTCAGATCCGTTCAGTAGTGTTTACGTGAGAGAGTAACAAACATCCATCCGTACTTACTAACATTCGCGTTTATCATATAACTTAATATTATAAATTGTAGACTATTCGAATGCGCTTATCTCCGAAATTACTGGTTCGATTTGGACAATTCTTTTTGTGTTGGATAGTCTAAAAATCAAGGAAGGTTATAGGCTTAAAAGTTCACGCTACGATCAAAAGGAGCCGAGCAGCGGGCGAAACCACTGAAGTAGCTGTTAACGTTTATTTTTTTGTAAATTTCTTGGTATTTTGTACTGAAGTGCTTCTTTGGATGAGCCTTCTGAGAATCGGGAGACCCGTTAGGTCAACGGTCGCCTTAGCCACCACTCGACCAATGAGGCAGTCAACTTTTTATTATAATATTATTGTTATTATTTAAGTACCATTTTTATCACTTACACAGGTAAAATATAACGATGGGAAAGAGCACTTTACCAGGCGATTATTAGGTCTACCTGAAAAGAATTCTGTAATAAAATCTAAGAATCTGAATTACACACACTAATGCCCGGTTTCCGAAAGCCCGATCAATGTTAAAATCAACTAACTAGGTGTCAAATCTCTTGTCAAGTCATCTGATTGGTTGTTGATAATTCAGTCAACCAATCAGATGACTTGACAAGAGATTAAATTTATTTTAACATTGATCGGGCTTTCGGAAACCGGGTGTTAACTTGATATAGTTAAATCACCATGAAACTTGGAAATTGAGTAGTTTCCTAGTTCAAAAATAAATTAATTCGACGTTTCAATACAATTAAATATTGGAAAATAACTACCTACTAATACTTTTTTTATTCAACGATCTGTCGATATACAAAATGTTCGTTTTAATTTTTAAGAAATAAGTAAGATATTTGACGAAAAAATTAATACCTATAAATAAGTTTATTTTTATTTCATTGTAACATCACAATTTTAAACGTCAAATAGCATACTTATTTTTCATAAATCATCCTAAAAAACAATACCATTATTAAAGTATATTAATAAACATATGATTTTTTTAAAGTATTTTCAGATATAGTTTATAAGTTGAAAAAAAAAACTCTTTGACCAGGGAAACTACCCAATTTACACACAGTCTAGCTATCACAATTCATGATATACGACAGACAGACAGAAGCGTTTTAGTTAAAAGACCCCAGTTTTTTACTACGGAACCCTTAAAAGTGCTCAATCCAGTACAAATATCAATCTAAAGTCCTTATAACATTAATCACCTGTGCACAATAAGCGGTACTGTCAATAATTCCCTTTGTTATTTTAAAAGCTTTTCTTGTTCGTCAGCTCTGGCGAAAACGTCACCGTTCCTCCCCTCTGGGGGGGAGCGAGTGGAGAATGATGAACGGGTGTGCGGCGACGCTGATACGGGAAGGGGATGTGGTGATACCTGCGCAAAAACGTTTTGGTGATTAATGAAGTTGTATTTGGGATTATTTAGTGTCAGACTCTTACTGACTAAAAAACCCCCGTTGCTTCTTCTGCTCTGGGCCGAGGTCGCGGTGCCTCATTGCGCTTACCCCGCAACCCCGGCTGAATATCAGCCTTATAGGGCCCCGTCTGTGGTGGTCTATTGGCTCTTTGAGGCGCGCGCGGAACGCTACGCGCCGTACGCTCGGCTCTGGTTCTGGTCGGGCGGCGAGCTACCCTTATTCGCTATCCGCAGAACCGCGATTACGGTGGCCGGAGATCATATTGGGGTCTTGGGATTTGATTTGTTATATGACAAGATCTCCAAATTATTGGGACAAGCCCGCCACGACCTCCCAAAACCACTGCAACTCCTGTGCACCAGGATCTACAGGAAATACAACCATGAAAACACCGGAATACTGAAGTCCGGCGCGTCCCAGGAACAAGAATGACTGTCTTGGATCCCGCAACGAAATAAATCAGAAGATTTTATTTGAGGAGAAGGTAAAACGAAACAGTTTTCACTTCAAGGCAAGATATCTTCAGGATTTCTTGCTAAGAAATCCCATCCACAATCCTCAAATCATCCATTCTTAAATCCCTAATAACCCACAAGACCTTATCCCCCTTTAGTATTAAAAGTGACCATAGGCGGCGCCGATTGCTTACCATCAGGTAATCCATCTGCTCGATTTTCAGTCTTGTCTTGAGTACACGACATCTGTCGAACTATTACTCCGTTTAATCTAAATTAAGAATCATCATCATCTTCATCATCATGAGAGTCCGGCAACGTGCCTATGACTCCTGTGGTGTTGCAAGTGTCCATGGGCGGCGCTGATCGCTTACCATCAGGTAATCCGTCTGCTCGTTTGACTCCTATTCTATAAAAAAAGTACGGGACACATAAAAAAGGGGTACATTACCTGTCTCGAAGGAGTTTTATGTTCTCCTGTGATGCTAATATCTTCGTCCACAGATTGCAATAGCTTGTTGAAAAAAAAAAAGAGAAAACAAATAATTAATAAAAGTAGAAAAAAAATGCATTTCGTAAAGCAATTATAATACGGTAGTTTCCAACTAGTCAAATTCAATACTTTTATCCAAACGTCAAAAACTATGTATGAAATCTGTATAAAAAACTGAGTTATGACGTCATAGTATTTTTGCGTTAAATAGCTTACTTATTTCTTACTAATTTATTAAAAAAAAATCTAAAACTTAGTGTATCGATCGATCGATGACTAAAAGTATAGTTATTATTCAATATTTTAATTAATTGGACGTTACAATACCTACAATAAAATATGGAAAAATAACTACATGTACCTACTTTTATTCATCGATCAGTCAATACACAAAATTTTCGATATTTTTAAAGGCAACATTTTTAAGTAACCGTTATCCATTTGACGCAAAAATACTGCGACGTCATCACTCAGTGTTTTATGCAAATTTCATTGAAGAAAAGTATAGTTTTTGACATTTGGATAAAAGTATTGAATTTGACTAGTTGGAAACTACCGTATTCTTGTCATGACCAAACACGGAACAACAATTTGTGGATCACACAAAGAGTTGTTCCGTGCGGGAATCGGACCCCTGACACATTGCAAGGCAGCCTGTTGGACTTGAGGAGTAATCAGGATTATAAAGGAGGAGGAATTAGTAACTCATACCTGTAGGCCTACCATGAAGTCGTCCGGGCGAGAAAGAGGGATGGAGCTATACACCTCTTGTAGCTCCATCCCTCTTTCTCGCCTGGAAGATTCACGCTTCCGAGGCCGTCTGTATTTCGAAACTACACTGAATAACGTAGCCGAACACGGCTATATAAAAGATTTATCAAGTAATGGAGACTTTTCAGATGAAAAGGAAACAATCAAACAACTTCTCTTACCCCGGGTAGGGGGGAAGGGAGTGTCAGATTCTTACTGACTAAAACCCCCCTGTTCCTTCTCCTGCTCTGGAAGTTATGGAAGCTACCGGCTCTTTTTTAATCATCAGATGGCAGTAGTATCCAATCATGCACCCAAATGGAACGTCCAATGGAATGATACTAGGTTTTTGAGATAGATAGATAGAGATAGAAGTCAGTTGATGACTTTCCTTCGCCCAGGGTAAGGCGAGAGGGAGTGTCAGACTCCTACTGACTAAAAACTCCCCCGTTCATTCTCCTGTTGACGACCGAGGTCGCGGTACCTCATTGCGCTTACCACGTAACCCCGGCTAAACTTCAGCCCTATAGGGCCCCGTCTGTGGTGGTCTATTGGGTCTTTGAGGCACGCGCGGAACGAAATGGAGATGCTCGTTCGATCACGGACGCCCGGAGTGTCATCTACTAGGGGGGCTGGGGCGTGAGGAGGCTAATTACTTATTGTACGACAAGAGGAGAGGTCCAAGTTAAAATAAACCGAAGCCCCCATTGACTAATATCATGAACACCATTTAACATGTGGTGAGACCCGATAATCGAACCGAAAAATCCTTGTATTGCCAACGACTATATCAGTTTTTAGGTAAAGACATATGGTGAAAGAAAACTGGACTTAAAAATTCTAACTACAAGTTTGAAATCACCAATCAGCCTTGAGCAAGAGTTGTGAATAACGCTCAAACCTACTCCGTGTGAGAAGAGGTCTTTGCTCAGCAGTGGGCACTTATAGGCTGATGATGATATCAAAGATACACTACAGAAAAATTCAAAGATCACCACTCATTTCTGGTTCCTCTCCAGCATCTTAACAATCTTGGAGAGCTGAACTAACATCAGCTGTTCGGTTTCAATCCTTCTCTTCTCCAACTGAACTCTTTCTTCTTTCCATTCTCTTTCGTAATCTATCGTGTCTTTCTCAAACTCAAGAAACCTCTCATATCTATCCAAATGTTCCAATTGTCGATCATGGGCCTCGATTTCTTGTTGAATCGATTTATAATCGAGGTCGGTTTTATAATCGATGTCTCGGTTCGGTAAATCGATGTCTGGGTGGGATTTTAAATCGATATCTTCGTGGCTTCGCGGTGAGAGGTTGTGGAAGGTTAGGAGGGAAGAATCCGTGTGGAATGTTGTTGTTTTTTTCTTTTTGTGGTGGTCTAAATCTAGAATTGTTTATTTGGGTTTATTAATCTTCCTAGCTACTAGAACACCTAGCTTCACTGACGAACAGACTGACAGACTACTATTCTATTTTGACGTTTAAAAAGTACCTATTTATGGTTTAGTTGGAATAAATGATTTTAACTGTGACTATCGACTTTGATTAAAGAAATCTGAACTGCGATTTTAAATGATTACCACATCATATGACTCTACTTAGAGATATTTTATGATTGCTTAAACTATTCTTCAGAAATGATTTATTTTGAAAAAAACTTGTTTGGAAAAGTCAAAATCATGACGTTTTTTCTATGAATCTTTTACTATACTATGGTTTTGAGATAACTTAATTCACAATTATACACAAAAAATCCCAATAACTACTTAATTCAAGATTATGAAATACAACTTTTTGGAAACACGGCCGTAAATATAACATACCCTAAACGCATTTATTGTGGGAGAGCCATGTTTGGGCGCTGCTCAACCATCAGACTCACCTGATGGTAAGCAAAACTCACTAGAAGTTACAAGTGCGTTGCCGGCCTCAAAATGGAGTTTAAATATATAGGATTAGAGATAGGCGGGTAGAATGATGGGGCCTCCGGTAACCTCACTCACACGGCGAAACACACCGCTGTGGTTGTTTCACGCCGGTGTTTATTTTGGAGCAAATAGCTTCACTAAGAGGACTGACCGACAGACTGAAACTTTATATCTTTAAAATTTCATTTTACGTTCGAGAGTGTCTGTAAGAGACTAATTGAAATAAATGATTTTGACTTTGACTTTGTCTTTGATGGCCCATTCGTGCCGAAGTTTGGCTCTCCCAAACTTAAATTGGGCTTCAAAAAAATACACAAAAATCACAACCAACCATGCAACTTATCATCGGCGCTTTTGTTAAAGACGTTTTTCTTTATCCAGAAATTATTTTGAATGCATTCAGCGCAATCGTTAGCATCGATTTCTTTGGTAAAACTTTTCGGTCTGTCGCAGTTAATTTTTGCAAATTTTTCGAAATTCCAGTGTCTTGAGTCACTCGCATTCGGATAGGATTTCGAGGGACCAGTTTTTGTCAATTCTATGTAAGATTTCGTGGTCACGCCCATTTTGGGTCTTGAAGTTTCCGAATGTGCGTAATATTGGTTCGGTTTCGATAAAAACTTTTCGGAATCAGTTTCTAAGCGCTCGGACGAGGGATAATTTTGTGATAACTGCATTAGTTCTATTATATTCACTCGCGGTGGAAACTATAGGGGAGAAATTTATATTAAAAATCCTATTATTTATTATACTAGCTTTTGTCCGCGACTTTGTTCGCGTGGAAAAGTGATTTCCTGCAGATTTTTGGTTTAAAAACTATCCTATGAGTTCCAAACTATGTCTGTACCAAATTACACAGAAATCGGTTCAGATGTTTAGGCGTGAAGAAAAGACAGCTACACAGACAGACAGACAGAGTTACTTTCGCATTTATAATAATAGCAGCTTTTGTCCGCGACTTTGTCCGCGTGGTATAGTGACATCCTGCAGATTTTTGGTTTAAAAACTATCCTATGTCCTTTCTCGAGTTCCAAACTATGTCTGTACCAAATTTCACAGAAATTGGTTCAGTAGTTTTGGCGTGGAGAAAACACAGACAGACAGACAGAGTTACTTTCGCATTTATAATATTAGTTTGGATTCTATTAATTCCTATGTTTTTCTAAAACGTTAAGGATTAGGATTACTAGTTAAAGATCTGGTTTTATAATAGTCAGATAAATGTTATCTGAGGAATAAAATTGTTGCTGTCACTGTCTTATACAAACATTGTGACGCGACAGCAACATAATTATTCCCCTGGTAACTGTTAATGGTAATATAACAGCTACAAAGTTCCTGAGTGCTATATGCTATAAAACATCACGCTACGATCAAATGGAGCAGCGAGTGAAACCGTGCGAGAGTAGCTAGTATTTATACAGGCGAAAATGAACCTTATTCAATGTGGAAGTCGATCCTAAATCGTCCGTGTTTCGCGTGGAGACAGTGCTGGTGGATTTGCCAAGCAATTTCTTGGATATCATTTGCAATGGCACGTTTCCACTCGATTTGCTTGAGTTACATAGGTTCTGGAAAGGGGGGAGGGGATTTATGGGGGGTTTTGAGGTCGGTGGGGGAGTATCAAGTCACTTCAAAGAGTGGGTCAGTCAAATTCTTTTCTTTAATTTCTATTTTTTTACAAAAAAACGTTGCCCCACAATAGGATTTTCTCCTGTGTCGTGGGTGCGTTTACAAACATACAATTTCACAGACCCGGAACAACAATTTGTGGATCACACAAAGAGTTGTTCCGTGCGGGAATTTAACCCGCGACACGTTAATTGGTTTCGAATTTTTTGATACATCATCATTATGTACAAAATCAACTCTTATGGGGATAGTAATAAGGTTGATTTTAACTTACCTTATCGACTTCAGTGTCAAATTGCTCGTTTGTAGCGCCTTTAGAAAGAGCGCCTTTCTCCATTAGCGTTGCACGCTTAGCGGCAAGGTAGAGTGATCTGAAAGAATATTGTTACGTGCCTCGTCACGTTCCTGACTATGCGGGCTTGGGTTACGGGATTGGATGAAATGAAACACTAATACCGGTTTTCAGACTTTCTATTGCACTTAAGTTACAGCGTCCACGGTGTTAAGTTATCGGCGTTCCTCTCCAGCAGAGTCCGGCCGACTGACACAACTTTGCCGTTCACGCTGACTTAACTCACTTAACTGACTGCACTTCACTATTTCACTGCACTTCACTATTTCACTCACTTTTCTTCTTTTTCACTTCTTCCTTTTCTTCCGAATCGCTTTAGACTTAGAACTCAACTGCCAGCGGTGAGCCGCAGTTCCGCTTATATACCCCCGGTCAAGTTCTGAAACATTCAATTTCGTTATTCTTTTTGATCGTCATGCCTCCAGAACCTTCCAATAATTTCGTTATTCATTTTTATTTATTCTCCTTCTCGCTCTTTAATTTTTCATTTCTTTTACACAATAATTCCAGAAAGTTCGACAAAACTTCCATCAACTAAAAAACTTCATGTTTACGGCGGAACTCGAACTCGGGGTCTCTGTGGTGTAATCCACACGCCTTACCAATTACACCAACTCGTATTGACAATTCACGACGAAATTTACAATCTCTAGGCAACGTTTGACAACCATCCATTGACGTCATGATGTCAAAGAGTTTGAACCACTTTTCCGTCACACTGCCCCCTTCTTAGATTCGCTCGTCCCGAGCATCGTTGCTGCCGTAATACCTCGCCAACCTGTCTATATGGACAACTTTCAAAGGGCTCCTTGAAGTCTTCCGAATTCTGTAAGTAATGTCATTGATCTTCGTGACTATCTCATAAGGACCTTCCCAACTCGGTTGCAGCTTCGGAGATTTTCCCTTCCTTCTGACTGGATTATGAAGCCAGACCAATGACCCCTCTTCAAACCCAACAGAATTGGCTCGTCGATCATAGCGCGTTTTTGCGCGATCACTAGCTTGAAGACCGGCCTCCCTGATCTGCTCGTAAATGTCCAACATTTTTGCCCTTAACTCGCTTATGTAATCGCTAAACTCGGTGCGAGTGTCGCCAGGTGGACAGCCCGATACAAGATCTGCCGGTAATCTCAATTCCCTTCCAAAATTTGCAAATGCAGGCGTCTTTGCGGTACTTTCATGTACAGCAGTCCGATAGGCAAGCAAGAAGAGAGGTATGTAAGTGTCCCAATCTCTCTGATGGCTGTCAACCACCTTTGCTAAGTGTCGCTCCAATGTTTGGTTGAAACGTTCGACCATTCCATCTGACTGTGGATGATAAGGGGTCGTTCGAGTCTTATGGATTCCCAAAAGTTTACAAGTTTCCTGAAAAACTTGGGATTCAAAGTTCCGCCCTTGATCACTGTGCATCTCCAAGGGCACTCCGAATCGGGTGAATACCTCGTTTACCAACTTCGTGGCTACAGTTACTGCCTCTTGATTCGGTATGGCAAAGACCTCCGGCCATTTTGTAAAATAATCCATAACCACTAAAACGTAGCGATTGCCCGAATCAGTGATTGGAAATGGTCCAGCGATGTGTAAGGCTATTCTCTCCCAAGGCATACCAACATTGTAGATTTTCATCGCCCCTCTGCTTCTTGTTTGTGGACCCTTGACAGCTGCACAACTAGTGCATTTCCGGCACCAATCTTCGACGTCATATTTGCAATGCAACCAATAAAACCTCTCCTTGATCTTCACCAAAGTCCTCCTAATTCCCAAATGTCCTCCAGAAGATCCATCATGGAACGCTTTTAATACATCCCTTATTTTTGAACGAGGCACCACCAATTGCAAATGCTCGTCCTTGCCGTTTGTTGATTCCCATTTCCTGCACAGAAGTCCGTTATGCAGCGTAAGGCTTTTCCACTGTGCCCATAAACCTTTCGTTACCGCGCTGTATTGGGCGACGTCACTCCAACTTGGCTTGTTACCACTTCTTAGCCACTCCAGTATTGGTTTGATATCCGCATCTCTTTCCTGTTCTAATTTCATCGCATCATCTCCCCATGCCTCGTCAACAGTATCAGTCCTTATCACCTTAAGAAAAGCAATTTCCTTCTTGGCACAATGCTTGCAATCTTCCACGCATGGGCGTCTCGATAATGCATCTGCGTTACCATGAATTCTTCCGCCGCGATGTTCGATTTCAAAGTCAAATTCCTGAAGTTGTTCCAACCATCTGGCTACTTGGCCTTCAGGATCCTTAAACTGAAGCAGCCATTTCAAAGCAGCGTGATCAGTTCTGATTAAAAATTTCCGTCCCAGTAAATACTTCTTGAAATGGTGCAGAGTTTTGACTACGGCCAGCAATTCCCTCCTGGTCACGCAATAATTCCTCTCCGGCTTGGATAGTGACTTGCTGAAGTAAGCAATAACCTTCTCCTGCTCACCATCGCGTTGTGAAATCAACTACGAATATTCCTTTCGCGCTGGGGTATCCGAGAATTGGCGTTTTACAAAGCCGTTCTTTTAGTTCGCGAAAGGCTTGCTCACAATCCTCGTCCCATATAAAGGCACGTTTCTCCTCTGTCAATCGATGCAATGGCTTGGCAATGTCCGAGAATCCTTTCACAAACCGCCGATAATACGAGCATAATCCAAGAAATGCCCGAACTTGCGTTTTGTCTTTAGGTGTTGGCCATTCCTTAACAGCGGCAGTCTTGGCTGGATCAGTCTCAATTCCTCTCTCAGAAATAACATGTCCTAGATAATTCACTTCGCGCTTAAAGAAAGAGCATTTCTTTGGACTCAACTTTAAATTTGCTCCACGCAGCTTTTCGAGTTACCCTTTCCAATTTTCTTAGATGATCGTCAAAATCCCGTCCAACAATGATGATGTCATCGAGGTAAACTAGGCAGGTTTCGCCCAGCAGTCCCGCCAGCACCTGTTCCATCAAACGCTCAAAGGTTGCCGGTGCATTGCATAATCCAAATGGCATCACCTTAAATTGCCAGAGTCCCTTCCCAGTTGAGAATGCGGTCTTTTCCTTGTCCTTAGGATCCAAATCCACCTGCCAATAGCCGCTTTTCAGATCGAGCGTTGAAAACCATTTCATGCCACTCAGTGTGTCAAGTGTGTCATCGATTCTTGGTAACGGGTAGCTATCCTTCTTGGTAACATCATTCAATCGTCGATAGTCTACGCAAAACCTCGTTGAACCATCTTTCTTCTTGACAAGCACGACAGGTGAACACCAAGGGCTAGAAGAGGGCTCTATCACGTCATTTTTCCTCATATCGTCAATCATTTGTTCAACCTCTTTCTCACGAGCGAATGGTATACGTCTGGGCCTTTGACGAATTGGCATTGTATCACCTGTGTTTATTTTATGCTTCACCAAACCAGTTCGGCCAATATCACCATCGCTTCTTGAAAACACATCAGAGAATCGAAGAAGTAAATTTCTAGCTTTCATAGTCTCCACTTTTGTCAGACTTCTGTTTTCGTCTAAGATTTTCGTTACAAAGTCTATTCCCGTACTGTCCTTCTTCACAAGATTTTCCGAGCATTTTCTTATCCAGGCCACTTCTTCCAATACGCCCACAGGCTCTCCTTCTTCAATCGTAATTTTTGAATCACTGAAGTTGAATACCGGAATGCGGTTGACATCAGATGACCCCACGACAGTTCTTGCCGGTAGCCATGAGTTTACGTGTTCCAATTTATTAATCACAGCGCACCTTCGAGGTAAACTTCCTTCCCTCCTCCTAGGTAATCCAATTGATACGAGAGTCTGTGATTTTGGTGCAAGAACAGTTCTTCTTAAACAGCAAACTTTCCCCAGGGTTCCACCCTTCATCGGAATTTCCTCAGTTCCACATAGTAAAACTCCAGATTTTAGGTCGATGTTACACTGGTGCCCTTGCAGGAAGTCAAGTCCCAGAATGCAGTCATCCAGAATTTTGGCCACAATAACCTCATGTCGATAAACACGTTCCCCAATTTTGATTGTTACATGCAGTTTTCCACTTATCGGTATGCACTGGCCGGTAGCTGATTTCATTTGTAGGCCAACAATTGGTTTAAGATGTTTCCTGATGTTTTGCCCGAGCAGCCGAACATTCATCACCGTCCTTGAAGCTCCAGTATCTAACGTTAGCTGACTGTTTTTCCCATTTACTTGACCGTCTATCACCAGAGTATTTCCATCGTTAGTTTGCTTGATGTAGATTGTTGGGGTTATTCCACTACCGGCCAGCGCCCACCCCGCAGCCCTGGCTGGATTTAGTTTTCCTGCTGGTCAGAAGTTGAGACCGCCGCGTCCTGGCGGTTCACCTTCTTCGGGCAGTCGCTCCGCATGTGCCCACGCTCTCCGCATCCATAGCACATGAAGTTCCGACGGCGTGGAGGTACCTGCTCCGTTGTCGTCATTTCCCGCAGACGTAAGGTACGGGAGTTACCACGCACGGCTTCCACTTCCAATGCATGGGCCAGAGCTTCTTTCATGTTCTTGTGATGGCCCAGATGAACAGCAGCTCGTACTTCGGGATCCCGAACACCGTCAATGAATGCTTGGAGAAGCGTGCCTTCAATCATTGACGGAGTCGACCGGAAAGCTCGACGCACAAGTTTCTCGATTTCCACGGACCATTGCTGTAGACTCTCATTAGCACGCTGAGTACGCTCTTTTAATTGCGCTCTGTACACGTGCTCGAGGTGGCTGTCTCCAAAACGTGCCTCAAGTGCGTCGAGGAGGGCACTAAAGCTGAGATCCCCACTTGCGCCGATAGCTTCCAGCACTGAGAGCGCTTGATCACGGAGGGCCAGGGTGAGGGCTGACTGTGCTTCCTTCTGAGTCCAACCATAAGCCTCCATAAGTGTCTCAAACTGTAGCTTGAACGCGGTCCAGGATGTTGTTCCGTCGTAATGGGGAATCTTGAGCCCTTTCGTTGCGCTTGAGGCCACATTTGGGGTGTCAAAAACGGCTGCAAGACGGCTTCGGCTCCTCAAAGGGCTTGGGCTTGCCACTTCCTGCTTGATTTTGGAGATCTCTTCTTCCACTCTCTCCTCTATGGCCATGACGCGATGTTCCAACTTGCCTAACCCTTCCTCCACTTCTTGTACCCGTTCGACAGCCTTTTGCAGTCCCTTCGTGAAATCCTTATGCATCTCTTCCAAGCGACGCGCTTGCTCCTCTTGGCGGCGAGCTTGATCTTCTTTCAGCTCCCGTAGCTGTTCCGCCTGACAGCGTGCTTGCTCCCGAAGCTGTTCTGCCTGACAGCGTGCTTGCTCCCGAAGCTGTTCTGCCTGACAGCGTGCTTGCTCTTCTTGGCGGCGCGCTTGCTCTTCTTGGCGGCGCGCTTGCTCTTCTTTCAGCTCCCGCAGCTGTTCTGCCTGACAGCGCGCTTGCTCTTCTTGGCGGCGCGCTTGATCTTCTTGGCGGCGCGCTTGCTCTTCTTGGCGGCGCGCTTGCTCTGCCATCATGTGCTGCAGCTGTAGCAGAAGATCCACCTGCACAGGCTTGGCTTCTGCATCGCTGGTTTGAGCTGCAGCACCCTCTTCCCTCACACGCTGCGCTTCTGACATTGAACGGGTACTCACTCCTCTTACGTCCTGCGGCACTAGCGGCATTTTTCTCCAATCCCACTTCTGACACCAAATGTTACGTGCCTGACGTCACGTTCCTGACTATGCGGGCTTGGGTTACGGGATTGGATGAAATGAAACACGCAAGTTACAGCGTCCACGGAGTTAAGTTATCGGCGTTCCTCTCCAGCAGAGTCCGGCCGACTGACACAACTTTGCCGTTCACGCTGACTTAACTCACTTAACTGACTGCACTTCACTATTTCACTGCACTTCACTATTTCACTCACTTTTCTTCTTTTTCACTTCTTCCTTTTCTTCCGAATCGCTTTAGACTTAGAACTCAACTGCCAGCGGTGAGCCGCAGTTCCGCTTATATACCCCCGGTCAAGTTCTGGAACATTCAATTTCGTTATTCTTTTTGATCGTCATGCCTCCAGAACCTTCCAATAATTTCGTTATTCATTTTTATTTATTCTCCTTCTCGCTCTTTAATTTTTCATTTCTTTTACACAATAATTCCAGAAAGTTCGACAAAACTTCCATCAACTAAAAAACTTCATGTTTACGGCGGAACTCGAACTCGGGGTCTCTGTGGTGTAATCCACACGCCTTACCAATTACACCAACTCGTATTGACAATTCACGACGAAATTTACAATCTCTAGGCAACGTTTGACAACCATCCATTGACGTCATGATGTCAAAGAGTTTGAACCACTTTTCCGTCACAATATAATATTATAAAGAGGTACAATTTGTAAGTTTGTATGTAGGGGGTAATCTTTGGAACCGCTGGTCGGATTGCCAAAATCCTTTCACTGATAGATAGCTACAATGTTTCTGAGTGCTATAGGCTATAAAACATCACGCTACGATTAAATGGAGCCGAGCAGCGGGTGAAACTGCGCGAGAATAGCAAGTAATAAAAAAAACTCATTTAAAAACAATATTTTACTAGGCGGATAGATAAGTACCGGGACTAAACCCTTTCGAGACATCTATATATATAAAAGAAAGTCGTGTTAGTTACTCCACTTATAACTCAAGAACGGCTGAACCGATTTAGCTGAAAATTGGCAGGGAGGTAGTTTAGAGCTAGAAGAAGGACATAGGATAGAGTAGGTAGAGTAGGTTAGGTAGAGTAGTGTAGGTAAAGTAGGGTATGTAATGTAGGGTATGTAATGTAGGGTAGGTAGAGTAGAATAGGTAAAGTAGGGTAGGTAGAGTAGGGTAGGTAGAGTAGGGTAGGTGGTAGAGTAGGGTAGGTAGAGTAGGGTAGGTGGAGTAGGGTAGGTAGAGTAGGGTAGGTAGAGTAGGGTAGGTAGAGTAGGGTAGGTAGTGTAGGGTAGGTAGAGTAGGGTAGGTAGAGTAGGGTAGGTAGTGTAGGGTAGGTAGAGTAGGGTAGGTAGAGTAGGGTAGGTAAAGTAGGATAGGTAGACAATAAGACAAATGACGAGAGCGATGCCGCGGGTAAGAGCTAGTTTTTATATATTAAGAAGTGTGTAGACTGTGACTTTATAAAGTTTTTTTTGTCAGGGGAAAATCATCAAACGGCTTTTCTCGTCGTGAGTGTCAGACTCTTACTGACTAACCACGGCGTTGTGTTTCGCCGTGTGAAGGTATGAGGGTTCGCGGCTACTAAAGACCCATTTCCCCTCCTCCACCCCCATACTTGGTCTTCAAATCGCACCTCTAACTTTGCTTACCATCACAGTTTTTTTTTGTCAGGAGAAAATCATCAAATGACTTCTCCCGCCCAGGATTAGGCGAGGAGAGAGTGTCAGACTCTTACTGACTAAAAATCCCCCCGTTTCTTCTCCTGCTCTGGGCCAAGATCGCGGTGCCTGATTGCGCTTACCCCGCCACCCCGGCTGAACATCAGCCCTATAGGCCCCGTCTGTGGTGGTCTATTGGCTCTTTGAGGCGCGCGCGGAACGCTACGCCGTACACTCGGGCCTGGTTCTGGTCGGGCGGCGAGCTGCCCTTACTCGCCGACCGCAGGCCCGTGCTTACGGTGGCCGGAGATCATCTCTCGTCACATAGGGGTGTTGGGATTTGATAATAAACTTACCGTTTGACAGTTAAATAAAAGAGTTCTGCCACAGCCCTGACTGAGTAGTCAGGCACGAAGGTATGACGCAGCATGGAGTCCATGTTTATATTCTGGAGGGAACCCATCGCCGAAGGGGTTGGGGATTCCGCTAGAAATAACAGAAAAACAAAATTCTTTACTATTATTATTTAATATTATAAAGCTGAACTAACTAAACTTTGTGTGTTTGTTTAAACGCGCTAATCTCAGGAACTACTGGACCGATTTCAAAATTGTTTTTACTATTAGATAGTCCATTTATTGGGGAAGGCTATAGGCTTTAAGACATCACGAAAACGATCTGTGGGAGCCGAGCAACGGGTGAAACCGCGCGATTGTAGCTAGTCTGCACTAACTGCCTTACATAAGTTTTTACCCTCTGACGTGGATGCGTTTACAAACATAATTTTTCTTCGTTTTAAGATTCTGTGTGTGCTGATCTACGACACTAATTATTTTTAATTCATCATCAGCCCATAAGTGCCCACTGCTGAGCAAAGGCCTCTTCTCACACGGACAAGGTTTGAGCATTAACCACTATGCTTACTCAAGACGGATTGGCGATTTCAAACTTATAAGGAATTATAAGTCCAGGTTTCTTCACCGTATGTCAGTGGTGTCTAAATAATCATAGAAAGTACATATAACTCGGAAAAAGTCACATTGGTACTTGTGGGGTTTTAAGCCCACACCATCATGTATGAGAAGCGGGCGCCTTAACCTCCGGGCCACCACGACGACCAAGTAATTAATTTGACTAATTGAAAACTACCGGTTATTGTAGGTAGCAAAACCACAAGTAATCCAAACTAATATTATAAATGCGAAAGTAACTCTGTCTGTCTGTCTTTTACGCCTAAACTACTGAACCTATTTGTGTGAAATTTGGTACAGACATAGTTTGGAACTCGAGAAAGGACATAGGAGTTTTTAAACCAAAATTCTGCAGGAAGTCACTATTTCACAAGAACAAAGTCGCGAGCGCAAAAGTTAGTAAGTTATAAGTAAAGATGCATTCTACTGACCGACTCCAACGTTCTGTGTGAGCGCCTGTACTCCGAAGTAGGTGAAGGGTCCTGCCTCGAAGACCAAGTTCTCCCGGCCCACCGTCACCTCCACACGACCTTCCAGGATCAGCACGAAGTAGTCCACCTAAGAAGGAAATTGGTACACAAGATTGAAGTCAGATATTACTAGGGTGTCCTTGTAATACGGTGGTTTCCAACTAGTCAAATTCAATACTTTTATCCAAACGTCAAAAACGATACTTTTCTATGAAAATTGTATGAAACACTGAGTTATGACGTCATAGTATTTTTTTGTCAAATAGCTTACTTATTTCACAATAATTAGCTAAAAAAAATCTAAAACTTGGTGTATCGATCGATCGATGAATAAAAGTATAGTAATTTTTCAATATTTTATTGTATTTAAACGTCGAATTAATTATCACTACATACAACAATTAATAATCACTACATAGTATAAAACAAAGTCGCTTTCTCAGTCCCTATATTCCGTTCTACTTTTAAACAATGGTCTTTTATAAGGACCTTGTCTTGACTATAACAAATACAGCATTAAAATAATTATCGGAATCGGTCTAGCCGTCAAGGATAGACTGACGGACAGACTGACACATAAAGTTGAACCGTTTGATTTTTTTTTGTTTGATGTTCAATAGTGCATATTGTTGACTATTTGAAACAGGTTAATAATTTGACTTTGTCTAAGAAAAAAAGGGGAAACTGAGTATGTAGTTTAAAACTAACTCACTTTTTCTGTCCCTACATCCCTATGTACGCTTAAATCTTTAAAACTACGCAACGGATTTTGATGCGGTTTTTTAATAGATAGAGTGATTGAAGAGGAAGGTTTATATGTATAATAACATCCATTAAATTGTGGAGGAATTTAGTATCAGCATTGCATCCGAGAGAAGACAGGACGGGTCGCTAGTTAATAATCATATTCAAAGAGTAACGTTAAAGCAAACATGTTTGTGAATTATGGTAATGTTCAAATATATTTTTAGTTATTTAATTCAAAGTCAAAGTCAAAATCATTTATTCCTACTAAACCATAAATAGGTACTTTTGAAACGTCAAAATAGAATAGTAGTCTGTCAGTCTGTTCGTCAGTGAAGCTAGGTGTAATTGACTTTAATAATCAATTAAATATATCTATGTCTACTTTTATATTTTTGAAACTTGTAATTGGATAGTTTCTTAGGTCAAAAATAAATTAATTCGACGTTTCAATAAAATAAAATATTAAAAAATAACTATACTTGTTTTAAGTGTGGGAGAGCCATGTTTCGGCACGAATGGCTCGGCTCGACCGGAGTGATACCACGGCCTCACAGAAAACGGGCGTGAAACAACCACAACGTTGTGTTTCGTCGTGTGAGTGAGGTTACCGGAGGCCCAATTCTTCCCCTACCCCAATCCCTTCCCAATCCCTAAATCCCCAAAATCCCAATCCTGAAAAGGTCGGCAACGCACTCGTAACTCCTTCTTTGTTGCGGGTGTCCATGGGCGACGCCGATTGCTTACCATCAGGTAATCCGTCTGCTCGTTTGCCTATTACATAAAAAGAAAATACTTTTATTAACCGATCGATCGACACACTAATTAGATATTTTGTAGCTAATTATTAAGAAATAAGTAAGCTATTTGACGCAAAAATACTATGACGTCATAACTCAGTTTTTCATACAAATTTCATAGAAAAGTATCGTTTTTGACGTTTGGATAAAAGTATTGAATTTTTCTAGTTGGAAACTACCGTATTGGCCTTATTAATGTTATTTACAACCGAACTATATTGTACTTGATCAGCTGAGAGTTTTCCTAATTCTTTTACATGAACGCACTTTAAGTAACTCGTTTGGTGTTGCCAGTGTCCATGGGCGGCGCCGGTTGCTTACCATCAGGTAATGCGTGGTTGAAAACAATGACACCAATGACTGACCGGTTTCCCCTGCTGGAAGACGTAAGTGCTCGGATCCTTCTTGGTCTTTCCTTTAATCTTGATGTGCTGTATCACGTCCTGCTTGAGAAGACGACGGAGTACCGTCTCAGATACAGTGTCTGGACGGAACGCGTCGACACCTGGAATTGGAAAAAAAATAGTTTTATTTTTTGTATCTCATTTAATAATATTTGATAGTCAAGAGTTGACTTATATCCCTATGTATGCTTGAATCTTTAAAACTACGCAACGGATTTTGATGCGGTTTTTTACGACAGAGTACTTTAGGTACCACAGGTAACACATAGATTCATAAAAAAATAGAAAAACATAATATACTTACTGGTACTCAAAAACTGGAAGGTAGCTAGAGTAAGTTGTGGTGATATATGTATTCTTTGGTTTTCGTGTCGTTCAGCAAACGCGGTGAAATCTTGAAGCTTGTTCATGGGCTTGTTGCGACGCCGCTTGGACCTGTTGTCCACTGTTGGACAAAAAAATTACCTTTTATAGTTTTTTATATAGTCAAGAGACTCGTAATATAATGCTAAAGCACACTAACCCTATGAATAACATAAGAGAAACAACATAACTTTTGGTCGTCTCATCAAAAGACCAAGTAGACCACGAGTAGACCGGAGTAGACCAAACACATTTTTAGATCTCTTACACAGAGCAATCAATATAAACTCATAAAACGACCAAAAACTTACAAAAGACGTCGGTCTCATCAACGATTTCTGCTTGAATCATTTCTTCGATAACGTCTTCTAGAGTCACCAATCCCATGGTCTCGTAGAAGGGGTCTCCTTCGCCTTCATTGTTGATACGGTGGACAAACGCCATGTGGCCTTTATGTCCTGTAATAAAACATAATAATATGTAGACATTAGAAAATTGATAAAAAAAAGAACTAGCGTTTAGAAACTGCCTCAATCTGCCTTTCTTTTTCTTTCTCTCTTTTTGCCTTTATGACGACACAGAGAGAGTGGACCATACTAAAAAATGGACGACTTCACTTCCACGTCACAGGAGCGGCTCTGTAGCTTTTTCCAGAGAACATTTCATAGAAACAAGTTTTCTTCTATTGAACTACAAATGGAAGTCAAATGTTTGAAAAGACACTTCTCCCATCATTATCATCACACATTTCCGCTGCAAATTAACCGTTTTACGGTAAAATTAACATTATTATTTTTATAGGATTATTATAGGATACGTCGGCAAACGTGTATACGGATCGCCTGATGCTAAGCAAATTGGTGCCGCCCATGGACGGAGATGGAAAGAGGGGGAGGGGTTCGGTTGAAACTTGGACTTCTGATAATCTCACACTCAAGGCAAAACAACGAAATTTTTCACAAACCTTCCTTAAACTGTTTAAACATAACATCAAGAGTGACATCTTCGAAGACGAAGTTGCAGGGGTTCTGGTAGTACTGGCAGAGAGTGCGCAGAGGCGTGTTGTCGTCAGGGTCCACGAAGGCCAGGTCCTTGATGAAGAGGACCGTCACTATGTTGCCGCGCGTACCCTCGTACACTGGGATACGGGAGTAGCCTGGAAGAAAGTCAAGAGTTAAAATGAATCTTACTAATATTATAAATGCGAAAGTTACGATGTTTGAATGTTTGTTACTCAATCACGCCAAAACGCCAAAATGGACGGATCTGGACGAAATTTGGCACAGGCATAGGATACTATCCGGAATAGGACATAGGCTTTTTATCAACATACCACGCGGACAGAAGCAAGTAAAAATGTAACATTTTTTTTTATATATATATTTTATTTATTGTCCTGTAATTTCGCATTAATAAGTAATGTAAGTCGTGGTGGCCCGGAGGTTAAGGAGCCCGCTTCTCATGCATGAGGGTGTGGGTTCGAAGCCTGGCAAGTACCAACGTGACTTTTTCCGAGTTATATGCACTTTCTATGATTATTTAGACACCACTGACATACGGTGAAGGTAAACATTGTGAGGAAACCTGGACTTATAATTTCTAATTATAAGTTTGAAATCGCCAACCCGCATTGAGCAAGCGCGGTGATTAATGCTCAAACCTTCTCCGTGTGAGAAGAGGCCTTTGCTCAGCAGTGGGCACTTATAGGCTGATGATGATGATGACTACAGGCACATCACGTTACGATCAAATAGAACAGTGGGGTAAAAACGCGCGAGTAGGCTAGCTAGTATTACTATTAAATATTGTACTCATAATATACATATAAAGCGAATGAGTCACCATCCGTCAGTTTGTCATCAATTACTCATGACATGCTAATATGCATAATTATACCTAGATGTTATGTTGTATTGTTTCGTAGCTCATATAAATATATGTCTATATGTTTGTATTAAAATTATGGTATTTTGTTAGAAACTTGAAAACTACTAAATATACAAAAGATGTATTAATTTAACGATGTTTTATATATAATTTAACGTTTTATATATAATTAGCTTAAAAAATAAACAGAGATACTATATAACAAAGAGACTGACCTCTGAGTTTGTTTCGGCATTTCTTCTCAGACTAGTCAGATAGGAAATGGCGGCTTCATCTAGTTTTTCACATATAATTTGACGTGTAGAAGTGCCGTTTTATGGCTTATTTACAAAAATAAATTCATTGTTTCATTGCCCGCGACTCTGTTCGCGTGGAATAGTGACTTCCTGCAGATTTTTGGTATAAAAACTATCCTATGTCCTTTCTCGAGTTCCAAAATATGTCTGTACCAAATTTCACAGGAATCGGTTCAGTAGTTTAGGCGTGAAGAAAAGACAGACAGACAGAGTTCGCGACTTCGCACTCGTGTAAAAGTAATTTATCCAGACAGTTATTATATATTTAGTTTAAAAATCCCTTTCAAAGGGATAGCTCGACTAAAATACGCAAATCTATACTAATATTATAAAGAGGTAAAATTGGTATGTTTGTAAGTTTGTATGTAGGGGGTAATCATTGTAACCGCTGGTCTGATTTCTAAAATTCTTTCACCGATAGATAGCTACAATGTTCCTGAATGCTATAGGCTATAAAATATCACGCTAGGATCAAATGGAGCCGAGCAGCGGGTGAAACCGCGCGAGAGTATCTAGTCAAGTATAATTTTGCGAGCGAACTTTTCACCATCTATCTAACGAGGTTTAGATTTTTTCATACAAAATGATTTTCCCGCTAATTCCCGTTCCCGTGGGAATTTCGAGAGTTCTTTTCTTAGTGCACCTCTTTTTTTTTGTGAGGGGAAATTCATCAAATGACTTCTCCCGCCCAGGGCCGGACGGGAGGGAGTGTCAGACTCTTACTGACTAAAACCCCCTGTTCCTTCTCCTGCTCTGGGCCGAGGTCGCGGTGCCTCATTGCGCTTACCCCGCCAACCCAGCTGAACCTTGGTGCACCTCTACGGTATCTAAGCTACGTCCCTTCCAAATTTCAAGAGCCTACGTTTAGTCGTTTAGGCTGTGCGTTGATTTGTCAGTCAGTCCGTTTCTCCTGTTATATATATACTAGCTACTCTCGCGTGAATTCACCCGCTGCTCAGCTCCATTTAATCGTAGCGTGATGTTTTATAGTCTATAGCATTCAGGAACATTGTAGCTATCTATCAGTGAAAGAATTTTGGTAATCCGACCAGCGGTTCCAAAGATTACCCCCTACATACAAACTTACAAATTTGACCTCTTTATAATATTAGTATAGAATAATATAAGTATAGTTATGTGTATTTTGTATATTTTTAAATGAATAGCTCTTTAGAATTCGATTAGAATGTCTCACGAAAGTTATAATAAGAATAGCTTTTTGATATACTTAGTAAAACTTGCTTGCTTCTTGTACTACTTCCACACTGTCATTATAAGGATGAGTAATTGGGTAGTCTCCTAGGTCAAAAATAAATTAATCCGATGTTTCAATACAATAAAATATTGAAAAATAACTATACTTTTATTCATCGATCGATCGATACACAAAATTTTAGATTTTTTTTTAGCTAATTATTGTGAAATAAGTTTGCTATTTGACGCAAAAATGTCATGACGTCATAGCTCAGTTTTTCATACAAATTTCATAGAAAAGTATCGTTTTTGGCGTTTGGATAAAAGTATTGAATTTGACTAGTTGGAAACTACCGTGTTAAAAAAAACCTTTTTCTATGTATACCTACATTTTAATAAAATCCAGGACTCACCCGACTTGACAATTTCCGACATGGTCTCGAAATCCAAAACGGAGCTGATGGGCAACATGAAGACATCTTCCAGCTTGGTCATCACATCGGAAACTGTCTTCTTACGGAGCTCCAGAGCTCCGGAGATGATGTTCACCTCGTCCTTGTCGAGGTCATTGACGTCTGTGGTGACCTGAGGAGTTCGGAAGGTGGAAGTTAGTTAGGGAAGATAGGTGTCTTACCAGGTAAGCTATCAGTTCAAGTCATCATCATCATCATCAGCCCATAAGTGCCCACTGCTGAGCAAAAGCCTCTTCTAACACGGAGAAGGTTTGAGCATTAATCACCACGCTTGCTCAATGAGGGTTGGCGATTTCAAACTTATATTTCGAAATTATAAGTCCAGGTTAATGACGATGTTTACCTTCACCGTATGTCAGTGGTGTCTAAATAATCATAGAAAGTACATATAACTCGGAAAAAGTCACATAAGTACTTGCCAGGTTTCGAACCCAAACCCTCATGCATGAGAAGCGGGCTGCTTAAAAATAACTTATTGTTGTCTTTGTTTCATTATTACTTTAATTTTTATAATAATCATGTTTTTTTATTAAATTTAAATTTTTTGTTTGAGATTAATATTTTTCTATATTGATTTTTTTTTGACATGTTAAATTATTATCAAATATTTGACGTGTATAATAATAAAAATTGCATTGGGTGTCTATAGGTAAAAACATTTAATATCATGGATTTCCGCGAATAAATGGCTGCTTCTATAAATTATCTTTAGAGGCCTTTGCTCAGCAGTGGGCACTTATAGGCTGATGATGATGATGATGGAGTACAGATAAAGACTTCCACTGACCTTGACCAGCTCCTTGAGCCTCTCCCTATTGTAGACGCTTCCAATTTCCTCACCCAAGAAGTAGTCCAATAATTTACTAACAGGAAACGCCAGAGGCGCTGTGAGTGCCATCACTGCCTGTGGAACAATACGTAAAATATTATTAAAATAAAAGCTGGCATGTCAGTGTTGGAGAGCCATGCTTCGGCACGAATGGGTCGGCTCGACCGGAGCGATACCACGGCCTACAGAAAACCGGCGTGAAACAACCACAGCGTTGTGTTTCGCCGTGTGAGTGAGGTTACCGGAGGTCCAATTCCTCCCCCACCCCTATCCTTCCGGCTCCTTAAATATCCAAAACCATTATCCCCAAAAGGTTGGCAACCGTCGTCGGTCGTAACCCCTCGATTGCTTACCATCAGGTATTCCGTCCGCTCGTTTAAAAAAGTAGAAGTTATTTGATGATCTGCCCCCCCTCAAATAAGTCCTTACCTTGGTAATCATGATACTCTTCGCTCCAATCATAAGTCCATGCCTTGAGCATATCGCCTGAGGAGTAATCTCACCCAGAAGCACAATGGATAAGGTGGAGAATATCACAGCGAAGAGTCCAGAAGTCAGTTCATCCAGAAGTATGGTGAAGGTGGAATTGACTGCTACATTGCCGAGGAGTATGCTGCAGAGAAGGTAGTTGCCATGGTCACGGACTGGCATGATGGCTCGAGCGTATTTGCGCTCTTGTTCCGTGCCTGAAAAGGGATGATGAAGAGAATTTTCTTAGAAAATTTCTTCAGGTTTTAAAATTATGTGATAGAATAGGGTTGATAACAAGGTTAGAAAATCTATACTGATATATTTATTTTTAATCAAATCAAATCTAAATCATTTATTCCAACTAAACCATAAATAGGTACTTTAAAACGTCAAAATAGAATAGTAGTCTGTCAGTCTGTTCGTCAGTGAAGCTAGGTGCTCGTTCCAAATTGTAGTTTCGAATGGAGAAGAACGAGCAAGAAACTCCATCGTTGCTCTTTTTTAAAAAACCACACATTAGGGTTTTCTCCTGTGTCAAGGGTGCGTTAACAACAATACAATTTCACATACACATCACACCCAGACCCGGAACAACAATTTGTGGATCACACAAGTATTATTCCGAGCGGGAATCGAGCCCGCGACACATTGCAGAACAGCTAGTTGACCAGCCATTACATCAACCATGCAGCGTCAATCAGTTTCAAATTAATTTACAGAATGTTAAAAGAACAGCTCTCTCACCGGTATTAGAAATAATCTTCAACTCTGTCCTGTCCAGAGACATCAATCCAAGGTTGAGGCCGGAGAACAGGGCGGAGAAAGTGAGACAGGTCAAGATGAGGGTCAGGGACACCCAGAGCGGGAGCAGAGTATTGTGTGACGCTATCATCTTGTACACTTCCGTTCCTGGAATGAAACAAGACAATTTAGATCAGGTAGACAGAAAGAAATCTCCAGATCCTCGTATCTTCAAGAGTTGATCTCCGGCCACCGTAAGCGCGGGTCTGCGGACGGCGAGTAAGGGTAGCTCGCCGCCCGACCAGAACCAGACCCGAGCGTACGGCGCGTAACGTTCTGGGCGCGCCTCAAAGAGCCAATAGACCACCACAGACGGGGCCCTATAGGGCTGATGTTCAGCCGGGGTTGCAGCGTAAGCGCAATTAGGCACCGCGACCTCGGCCCAGAGCCGAAGAAGAAACGGGGGTTTTTAGTCAGCAAGAGTCTGACACTCCCTCCCACCCGGCCCTGGGGCGGGAGAAGTTATTTCATGATTTTCCCCTCACAAAAAAAAAGATTCCCCTATCTTCAAATCTTCACCCCCAAGAGGGCGACAACACACTTGAAGGTAATTTGCGGGTGTCCATTGGCAGCGCCCATTACTTACCATCAGGTTATCCGAATGATCGGTGCCATGCTTCGGCACGAATAGGCGGGCTCCAGCAGAGTGATACGACGGCCTTACAGAAAACTGGCGTGAACCAACTCTTATATTGCGTTTCGTTGTGAGAGTGAGGTTACCGGAGGTCCAATCTTCCCTAATTACCTAAAAACCTTCCCAATCAATCCTTAGATCCTCAATAACCCACAAGGCAACGCACTTGTGGCGATCCTTTTAACATTACGAGTTTCTAGAGGCGGTGTAGATTGCTTACCATCAGGTAATCCGTCAGCTAGTATGCCGACCTAAGCCATAAAAATTGAATACTTTTAAGAAGGCGTGCAACATGTAACTCTCGAAGATTACACATCCTTCATTATCTTGTTATTAGAGATTGTTACCTATGACAGGGCCCTACCCTAGATTACACTGTTTTTTTTTTCATGTGATGGGTCGGCAAACGAGCACACGGATTACCTGATGGTAAGCAATCAGCACCGCCCATGGACACCAACAACGCCGGAGAAGTTACGAGTGCGTTGCTGACCTTTCGGGGATTTTGGGAATGGGGAGGGATTGGGGTAGGGGAAGGATTGGGCCTCCGGTAACCTCACTCACACTGCGGAACACAACGCTGTGGTTTTTTCACGCCGAATTTATGTGAGGCCGTGGTATCATTCCGGTCGAGCCGAAGCATAGCTCTCCCACACTTAAATGGTAATTTATATTAAATAAAAGGTTTACATACCTTGATGCAGATATTTCTCCTCATCCTGAAAGGGATCATCTACTCCAGCCCTGAGGTTTTTAGCACAGATGTAGAGCTTGGAGTCTGTGATCGGCGCTGGCGCTACTATGTCGAAGAGAGCGGTCCGAGGGCGCAGTGTACCTTCTTTTACCTGTGGAACACAAACAAATATTTTGGATATATATAAGATTTTAAGGTGACCTTTACAGCGATCACATCACAGAATCAGCCTATAAGTGACCATTGCAAGGCAAGGCCTCTTCTCACACGGAGAATGTTTGAGTATTAATCAAAACGCTAGCTTAAGGCGGATCGGAGATTCCCAACTTATAATTTTATAAGTCTAGGTTTCCTAACGATGTTTTCTTGTCAGTGATCTTACTGAGGACGCTGCATGTAACTCGGAGAAAGTCACATTGGTACTTGCTCGAACCAGCACCCTCATGTTTCTACGTTTACTTTCTATATTATTTAGACACCACTGACATACGGTGAAGGAAAACATCGCGAGGAAACCTGGAGTTATAATTTCTAATTATAAGTTTGAAATCGCCAATCCGTCTTGAGCAAGCGTTGTGATTAATACTCAAACCATATCCGTGTGAGAAGAGGCCTTTGCTCAGCAGTGGGCTGATGATGATGATGAGTAAAAATTGCAAAAAAATATGAATATCCTAACTAATATTATAAATGCGAAAGTAACTCTGTCTGTCTGTCTTTTCTTCACGCCTAAGCTACTGAGCCGATTTCTGTGAAATTTGGTACAGACATAGTTTGGAACTCGAGAAAGGACATAGGATAGTTTTTATTCCAAAAATCTGCAGGAAGTAACTTTTCCACGTGAACAAAGTCGCGGGCAAAAGCTAGTTATTAATAAAAATATCGTAGAACCAATGAATGGAACTAATGGAAGTGTAATTCCTTACTTTTTTTTTCAGTCCAGTATAGTTTAATTACCCACTTTAGGGGCGTGGCTTTGTTTACCTTACGTGTCATGTACCTCGCAGGTTCGATTACAGAAAAAGCTTTTGTTTTTGGGGTGCGTCCTAACTAACTATCCAATACTGTGTGTGTTTAGAATGGACGTAATTCCGCAAATTTCTAACCTTCTGGGAATCGAACGCGTTCATTAGAGGAACCGACGACAAACAAAATTAAACTAGCTCATACTCGCTACTTCGTCCGCGTAAAATTTGATAAACTCTATTGCGTGGGAACACTGTATGCTTTCGAGTTAAGAATAAATGAACTTCTATTATTATTTTTCTAAAATAAAATTAAGCTTAGTTACTACTTGTGTTATCAGCCTACCAATGAAAATCCAGTCAAATTCAGTCCAGCCATTCCAAAGATGATGAAAAGAGAGAGAGAGAGAGAGAGAGAGAGAGAGAGAGAGAGAGAGAGAGAGAGAGAGAGAGAGAGAGAGAGATAGATTGATAGTATACACGAAAAAAATAATGTGCCAGTGGATTTTTGCTTGAACGTAACTTCTCAAATTGAGTAAAATTGCAACCATGCTGCTTATAAACATAAAAAATTGTATATGTGAGTGCCCTGTAACCTATTACACTTAGTTAGACTAGCAGAATGTCGGTCCTTATAACAGCTTGGAGTTATCATGCTCACTGAAAGGTCACACTGGCGCTGGATCGCTCAATTCTCAACAATATGGTTGAGTTGGGCGATGCTGGTGTACGTGTCATGTTCGTGAACGGACGCCGTCAATTGGGACTGGTCAGCTCCGGACTGTCTATTGTCCTTAAGGTTATTTTCTTTTTATATTTCTCCAAATAAATATTAGTGTTACCTACACTGTTCTCACATAATGTAACGTTTTTACGGCTTAACAGGCGCTTAGGCTCTTGTTACTTAATTGAGAGATAATCATGACTTAGATCGCTCGGCCTTACTGTGTTTTTACCAAACGAAATGCCAAGTTGATATTATGTAAGGTCAATGTCGTGGTTCCAGGTTCTAGATAAAGCGCCCATTGGGGTTCAGGCGTGGCGAATTGATAATGTGAAGGTTAGAAACTTAGACAAATGGGGTCAGCAGAGAGGTTTAGGGGTGAAACGCGTTAATGTACTAAAATTCAAATTCAAATTTATTTATTTGTTAACTAAGTGTATACATAGGTCTTATTGCTAGTGGCACTTAAAAACTTAGTAGCCTTTTCCAGGCATTGCAAACATACTAGAAGGTAGATACTATAAGGAAAAGAAGGAACGGATCTTTATTTGTCCGGCTAAAATCATCAAATGACTTCTCCCGCCCAGGGTAAGTGCGAGAGAGAGTGTCAGACTCTTACTGACTAAAAACCCCCCTGTTCGTTCTCCTGCTCTGGGCCGAGGTCGCGGTGCCTCATTGCGCTTACCCCGCAACCCCGGCTGAACATCAGCCCTGTAGGGCCCCGTCTGTGGTGGTCTATTGGCTCTTTGAGGCGAGCGCGGAACGCTACGCGCCGTACGCTCGGGTCTGGTTCTGGTCGGGCGGCGAGTTGCCCTTACTCGCCGTCCGCAGACCCGCGCTTACGGTGGCCGGAGATCGTCTCTCAAGGAACGGTGGGGTTTTAAGTCAGTAAGAGTCTGACACTACCTCTCGCCGTACTCAGGACATTAGAAGTCATTTGATGTTTTTATCATCTCTTAAGAATTGGATCGATGATGATGATAATAAAGTCCAAGTCATCATGCATTCTCTCTTCAGCTGAAACTTCCTGGCTGTCTGGTGACGTTTCATTGGTGAACATAATCTTTACAAAACAACCCCTATTACAACGGCATAATGTCCAACTTACCATGTACCTATTTTCCTTTCTCATAAGGCTGCGTTTCATATGAGAAGGCAATCATTTCAAAATAAACCCTATCTCAAAACCTTAAAGTCCAACTTACCGTGTATTCTCTATTTCCATAAAATCAATATTCCATACGTAAACGCATTCATTTAAAAATAGACCCTATCAAAATGATAAAAAGTGCAAGTTACCATGTATTCGCCCCTTCTCTTAAAGCTGCGTTTCATATGTGAACGCAATCATTAAAAATTAACTTCTATTTCAAAAGTCATATAGTTGAACTTACGATGTATTCGCTTTTCCAAACAGCTGAATTGCGTATGTCAATTTAATCATTGAAAAATAACTTCTATCACAAAGGTACAAAGTTCAACTTACCATGTATTCTCCCTTGAGTAGAAACTTGCAGGGCTGTCCACCTATTTGCGTCTCGTGTGTGAACGCTATCACGGTTCTTGATGTGAGCCCGTCACCGAATAATCTAGAACAAATAAATTTAATGAGAAAAGGTACACATCATCATCATCAGCCTGATGTCGTCCACTGTTGGACATAGGCCTCCCCAATACGGTAGTTTCCAACAAGTCAAATTCAATACTTTTATCCAAACGTCAAAAACGATACTTTTCTATGAAATTTGTATGAAAATCTGAATTATGACGTCATAACATTTTTGCGTCAAATAGCTTACTTATTTCTTAATAATAAGCTATAAAAATCTAAAACTTAAAGTATTAATCGATCGATGAATAAAAGTATAGTTATTTTTCAATATTTTATTGTATCGAAACGTTGAATTAATTTATTTTTGACCTAGGAAACTACCCAATTGTACGGCACTGAGCTCGATGTTCAGCTCTTCTCATCCAACCACTGCCCGCCACCCTGCGGATGCAATCAGTCCACCTAGCTGGAAGAGGGTGCACAGAGACGCACAATTTTTTTTTTTATGTGACAGGAATGCTGACGTTACCCGCGACAACAGAGGACCGACGAGTGCGTTGCCGACCTTTTGGGGATAAGGGATTTAGAGATTTAGGGATTAGGGAAGGCGAAGAATTAGGCTTCCGGTAACCTCACTCACACGGCGAAACACAACGCTGTGGTTGTTTCACGCGGTTGATGTTTGTTTCAGGTGAATGTGGGAGAGCCATGCTTCGGTACGAATGGGTCGGATCGATCGGAGTGATACCAAGGCCTCATAGAAATCCAGCGTGCAACCACTATTACGTTGCGTTTCGCGGTGTGAATGAAGCAACTGGAGGACCAATGCTCCCCCCATCTCCAATCCTCAAATCCCCTATTCTTAAATCCCTAATAACAGACAAGTACGTTGCCGACCTCTTATCTGTGGTAATACAAGTGTCCATGGGTGGCGCTGATTGCTTACCATCAGGTAATGTGAACGTTTGCCAACCTATTACTTTAAAAAAGAGAGCAATACTCAAATTTTGACTGCACGATTGGCGCAGTGATTGGGCAACTGGCTGCTGTGCAACATGTCGCGGGTTCGATTCCCGCACGATTCCGAACAACACTTTGTGTGATTCAAAAATCGTTGTTTCGGGTATAGGTGTGTTGTGTATGTGAATTTGTATGTTTGTAAGCGCACCCACGACACAGGAGAAAATCATAGGGAGAGGCAAAGTTTTTTTTTTAAATTACGAAGTAATTGGAAAAAGAAAATCACTTTAATCACCAACTGCAATGCCTGTTAGACCTCTAAAATCAAGGCCAAGATGTGCAAAGCCTAATTTTTTGCTAGATCTGTTTTAACGCCATTCACTGATGCAGTAAAGGTCTTCTAGACAATGCAGATTGACCGCAAAACACAATTACTGACTCAGAAATAGAACTTAATAGCTATTGTTGGCAAATTATTGAATTGTTAAGGACTGTTCTATAGGATAAGGGGTTCCTATAAAACTATATTTTGTGTGGAAGAGACATGCTTCGGCACGAATAAGTGAACTGAAGTGATACCACGGCCTTACAGAAAATCGACGCGACGTGACACAACAGACAACTAAGGCGGTGTGTTTACATAAATTACTAGCTACTCTCGTGCGGTTTCACCCGCTGCTTGGCTCCATTTAATGGTAGCGTGATGTTTTATATAGCACTGAGGAACATTGTAGCTATCTATCAGTGAAAGAATTTTGGCAATCCGACCAGTGGTTCCAAAGATTACCCCCTACATACAAACTTATAAATTTTACCTCTTTATAATATTAGTAGGAATAGATTAGCGACCCACCCACGCTCTTATTCGCTTAACACATGTGCGTAATAATACATATAATTATGTTATGATACATATAAACCTTCCTCTTCAACCACTGTCTATTAAAAACCGCATCAAAATCCGTTGCGTAGTTTTAAAGATTTAAGCATACATAGGGATATAGGGACAGAGAAAGCGACTTTGTTTTATACTATGCAGTGATTGACATAACTAATTTTACGTCATACATTACCTAAATCACTTAGGACATAGAAACCAGCTAACACTATGGAGAAGATGAAAAAGATCAATAATTCTAAGTTGTTTGTAGACTAGACGAGTTTACGTCATCTTTCCGCCATTTAATAGACAAAATGGCGCCGTCTGTCTGTCACCATTTCGCTTCAGATTCCTCATGACATGTATACATTACCGGGGTTGAAGATTGGAGAAGCGATTTCTGAGATATTCAGGGTCAAATGTTTAGGGGATAATTTATACATCTATAACATCACTACATGGTATAAAATAAAGTCGCTTTCTTTGTCCCTATATCCCGATGTACGCTTTAATCTTTAGAACTACGCAACGGATTTTGATGCGGATTTTTATTAAAAACTAGCGGCCCGCCCCCGCTTCGCACGGGTCCAACTATCTCACTATCAAAGGGTCCCTTTTTCCAAATCTTCACCTCTACTTTTCTAATATTTTCTTTGATAAGACAGTCTCCTGACAATAACAAACATAACAAAAAAAGAATTAGCAAAATTTGCCCAGGCGTTGTTGAGTTATGCGCTTAAAAACAGATTTTGCGATCCATTGTTATATATAAAAAAATAGAGTGATTGATTAGAAAGAGTTATAGGTAATCAATGTACAAATTTCTCTACTATTTAATGGAACACCCATTAAATAGTATCAGCATTGCACTATTAGAATTAGAAATTATAAGTCCAGTTTTCCTCACGATGTTTTCCTTCACCGTATTATTTAGGCACTAGCTAGTCTCGCGCGGTTTCACCGACTGCTCAGCGCCATTTGAACATAGCGTGATCTTTTATAGACTATAGCACTCAGGATCATTGTAGCTACCTATCAGTGAAAGAATTTTGACAATCCGACCAGCGGTACCAAAGATTACCCCCTACATACAAACTTACAAATTCTACCTCTTTATAATATTAGTATAGATAGTATAGATTAACGCATTAAATTCTATGACTCACCTTAAAGTTACTCTGGAATCAGCCAGAACGCTTGGTATACCTTCTTCAATAATCCTCGGCTCCTTGTCGGAGTTCTCAATCCTTAATCCTTCAATATTCACGATGGAAGGATCACCCCTTACACTGACAAAATCCGATACAGGCATTGTAACGTCCCTTTCTTTTCTGCTGGTCACGCCTTCTGGTGAAGTTCTGGAGTCTTCTGGAGGCCGTATCGTGGTCGGATTCTTTGCTCCTCTCTTAAATCTTTCAATAGAATTGTCATTGAAAAGTCCTAATTCCTCTGTTTCAAATTCTCCTGTATTTTTCTTCTGCTCCAAATCAGCTAGGGGGACATATTTGTTGTTGTATAGAACTTCTACGTTTTCTCTTTCTTCTCTTGTTAATTCTGGAGTCTTTTTGAGATGGTTCACGTCTGTGTCGTGCGTCATGTCTACCCATTGTGATTTTTGTTTCACTTCTGTTGTGGTTTGCGGTTTTGTTTGTCTGTGGGCAAAAGAGAAAGTGTTAATATTATATCGAAACGGTAGAAATCGGGCAGGGAATGTATTTGTGGGAATTAAATTATATGCTAGCCGCCGAACGTGTCCCCAACGCATTTGATTATTTATACATAGTTTTTAGTACAATAAGTAATTATGGAACCGGCTTTTTCGACCGGACAAAAAAGCTAGCAGAAGCACCTAAAAAGTGCCTAACTTATTTAACCTAACCTAACAAACTTCGCCAAGTTGATGGCATGGCCTGCAGTTCCCTATGTCTTATAGATTTCTGGGCCCTAACCTGGGTTGAAACGAGCAAATAGCTTCACTAACTGACCGACAGACGTTTTTATATTTGTTGGACGTTCTAAAGTTTTCAAAACCACTTACGATTATGTATGAGTTATAAATGCAATAAAGATATTGATACATAATAAACCTATAAGTGTCGCCTCAAAGAACCATGACACCACCACATATCAGCCCAACAGGGCTGATGATCAGCCGGGGTTACGGATCAACTTGATAGAATAAAAAAAACTACCGAAAACAAGACGAAAGCCCAAACAAAAGCTAGACGGTAAAATAAAAATGTCAAAAAACGAAGGTAATACGCCAAACCCAGCACATATCACTACGTAGTATAAAACAAAGTCGCTTTCTCTGTCCCCATATCTATGTATAGAGCACGCCGTGACGGCCGCAGTGGGTGACGGGGCCCGCCTGACTATCTGGCGGACCAATACCCGTCTGACAATATCCGTCCCTCCTACACACCGGGTTGGTTTTTAGTCAGTAAGAGTCTGACAGTACCCTTCGCCCTTCCCCGAGGACGGTGGGTCTCCATGAGGATTTTCTAAACCGATACCATAAAAAAAAATCTCTATGTATCAAATGCTTAAATCTTTAAAACTACGCAACGGATTTTGATGCGGTTTTTTAATAGATAGAGTGATTGAAGAGGAAGGTTTATATTTATAAATAACATCCATTAAATAGTGGAGAAATTTAATATGAGCATGGCACCCGTGCGAAGGCGGGGTGAGTCGCTAGGATATCTACCTACATATATATTATGTTGTATAATGTGTCAGTTTATGTCAAAACAAAGTGTCTTGGCAAGCCATTAGCGTAATGAGGAATACAAACGCGTGCAGGGAGCAATTTTCTTTTTTTTTATTTATGTGATAGAATGGCGAACGAGCGGACGGATTACCTGATGGTAAGCAATCGGCGCCGTCCGTTAACACTCGAAACACCAGAGAAGTTACGAGTATGTTGTGGACTTATGGGTATTTGGGGTTTTGGAGATTATGATGGGATTGGAGAAGGGGTAAAAGTTTTAACCTCCATTATCCTCACTTTTTTGTGACGGGAAACGACCAGACGGATTATATGATTATCTGATAGTAAGCAATCGGTCCAGAGAATTTACGATTGCGTTGTCGGCCATTTAGGATCTGATTTGGATTTTTTACTCTTCAGATGGGTATAAGAAACCCACGGGAGGAGTGAGGTTGGTGATAATTATTTCTTATTGCGTGACCACATGATCCTATCTACTCGTTGGATAAAAATAAAAATATTGAATAACTCATGACGACTACTTTTCTTGTTTCAACGCATTTCAAAACATCACACACTCATACAATATACATGCAAGCAAAAACCAACCTTAAACATACGAAACAAAGTAGACAATGATAAATCTGAATTAGAATTCAATTTTTGACAGAAGTGAAATACGATCTAAAATCAACCTTAACACTGACAAAACAAAGTTCATGTTGGTAAATCAATTTTTTAACGCCAATTTTTGGTAGAAGCACAAAATAGAAATAGTTTGGAAGCAACGGGTGATCAAATAGCAACCTTAGAGCTATTGAAATATAGTTGTTAGTTACATGCAGTTACTTGCTGTTAGAAATCTGAAGGTTATTTTAAAAATAGAATAGTCTAAGGGCTTGGATAGTTTGTATTTGAAGAAAAATTCGTTTAGCCTATAACTAGCGACCCGCCCCGACTTCACACGGGTGCATTTTTGATACTAAATTTCTCCACTATTTAATGGATTTTATTATAGACTAGCTTCTCTCGCGCGGTTTCACCCGCTGCTCGGCTCCATTTAATCGTAGCGTGATGTTTTATAGCCTATAGCACTCAAGAACATTGTAGCTACCTATCAGTGAAATAATTTTGGCAATCCGACCAGCGGTTCCAAAGATTACCCCTTACATACAAACTTACAAATTTTACCTCTTCACAGAAAACCGGCGTGAAACAACTACAGAGTTGTGTTTCGCCGTGTGAGTGAGGTTACCGGATGTGATCCTTACTCTGCCCAAACCTTCCCCAAACACAAATCTCCAAATCCTTAATCCCCAAAAGGTCGCGAACGCACTCGAAGGTAACTCCTTTGTTCCGAGCGTACGGCGCGCAGCGTTCCGCGCGTGCCTCAAAGAGCCAATAGACCACCACAGACGGGATCCTATAGGGCTGATGTTCAGCCGGGGTTGCGGGGTAAGCGCTATGAGGCACCGCGACCTCGGCACAGAGCAGGAGAAGGAACGGGGGTGTTTTTAGTCAGTAAGAGTCTGACACTCTCCCTTGCCCTACCCTGGGCGGAAGAAGTCATTTGATGATTTTCCCCTGACAAAAAAAAAGGAAACTTCTTCGTTGTTGTTGTTCATGGGCGGCGCCGAATGCTTACCATCATGACTTTCCAATGCCACTTCATTGAAATAATTCTTTAGAACGGTAATCTCGTACATAATGACAAATAAATATTTGACATAATGCGGTACATTAATAAAAAAGAACAGTTCCTTTATTCAATGATTACGTTTAGAATATTAATGTGCAGTTATTGTTTATAATTCGTTACAAGACATCTCGTACTATAATTCTATTACGACATCGCCGAACGCCAATGATCAGCCATTTTGAATTAACAGATTACGAACTTTTAGCAAAATGACAATGGAATCGTGTAGGAATGACAACACTTTGAATATGTCGTAGTAGTAGTAGACTCCTAGAAATGTCGTGGCGGCCCGGAGGTTAATGAGCCCGCTTCTCATGCATGAGGGTGTGGGTTCGAAACCTGGCAAGTACCAATGTGACTTTTTCCGAGTTATATGTTATATGTACTTTCTATGATTATTTAGACACCACTGGCATGCGGTGAAGGTAAACCTCGTGAGGAAACCTGGACTGGACTTATAATTTCTAATTATAAGTTTGAAATCGCCAACCCGCATTGAGCAAGCGTGGTGATTAATGCTCTAACCTTCTCCGTATGAGAAGAGGCCTTTGCTCAGCAGTGGGCACTTATAGGCTGATGATGATGATGATGAGTAGTAGACTCAGGCCCCAGGTAATACGTCGACTTTAAAAAAAACCCTCCTATTCTAGCCCTCCTATGTTTTCAAAGCACCCCTATTCTGACGTAGCAGATTTAAATTTTCCCTCTCAAACTAAGTGCACTTGCACGCGACGTTTAGTCATGCGATTCAGTCTAGCTAGCTTGTTTTTGTTTTGCCTAGTAAATAAATATAGATTGACCGTGTATTCTGACGTCATTGTAAACTTGGCCTATATGAATGGCTCTATTTTTAATGGCTTTATTTATGTAATAGACCGGCAAACGAGCAGACGGATTACCTGATGGTAAGCTATCAGCGCCGCGCATGGACAATTGGACACCCGCAACGGAGGAGTTACGAGTGCGTTGCCGACCTCTTAGGGATTAGTGTTTTGGAGATTAAGAGATTGGGGAGGGGAAGTATTGGGCCTCCGGTAACCTCACTCACACGGCGAAACATAACTCTGTGGTTGTTTCACGCCGGTTTTCTGTGAGGCCGTAGTATCACTCCGGTCGAGCCGACCCATTCGTGCCGAAGCATGGCTTTCCCACACTTAAACGTAAATCGAAGTGATATTGTGAGTCGTCTCGTGTATTATCAAGAGTGATGTTTGTTTAATGCAATTATTTTATTGATAGGTTGGCTGATGGTAAGCAATCAGCGCCACCCATGGACACCATCAACGCGTTGCCAACCTTATGGGGATAAGGGATTTGGAGATTCAAGATTTGGGAAGAGATGCGGGCAGGGGAACTGGTTTAGTCAGTAAGAGTCTGAGACTCCCTCTAACCCCACCCTGGGCGGAAGGGCGGGCGGGCGTCATTTGACGATTTTCTCCTCACAAAAAAAGACCCGGAACCGAGACTTGTCAAATACAGTTTTACACAAAGAATATTTCCAAATTCCCGATCCAAGAAAGTCTCTTAAAAATTTGCTGCCCATTGTGCCTTTGACCTGACCTTGACCTAGTAGTAACTCTTCACCAATTTTCAGTAGACGTATCGTGTTTGAGGGTCATTAAAACTGCTTATGTGGCTAAAATATAGATTAAGTACGCAGGTACATACGTAAACTAATATTTTTAGACGCTTTCTTCATCTGCCGCTCATGAATAAGAGTCCCGGTGTGACTCGAAACTAGTAGAACGTTTCTCTGTTAATTCTAAAACCCTCACACCGACCTTCGCATCATATTCGAGAGGGCTGAGATATGCTGCGTTTTATTTTCATGCCAGAATCTATTTTTTTTTTCTCTCTATTTATTATTAGGGACTTTTACACGGACGTGTATGCTAGTCCCATCATACCTTATACTAATACAATCTAACTAAAACGTAATCTAGCGAACATAAATACTTTGGCGGCAGCCTCCGAATTAGGTGTAGATAAAAGATTGTGATATACACCTACATTATACATATTTAAGTTTAAGTCCTTAAATAATTTTACTCGGTCAGACTGAAATCTGGCACATTCCAACAATAAGTGTGAGTCGTGAGTCAGATTTTTTCATTAAAAATCCAAACTTATTGAGGGGCAAGTGTCCAGATCGCAGTCTGTGCGCGATCACAACCATGCCAGAATCTTCAATTATCTTCTTCCCCCGATGGTGGGACAAAGGGGAGTATTAGACTTCATTG